AGCCTGTACACGCACCAATCTGGGGTCGGCTACTGCTACTACTGCTGGAGGGCCTCGGAGTTATGTCATCGGTGTGCGCAAGAGCCATGGCAGGCCCAAAATCCTTCTACTGACGTGCTGCATCTTTCTCTGTTGGATGGTTCATGTCTATCCAAGGGCCACTCTTCAATGGAGATGGCATATTCCCCGCCTGTCCGCCCTCTGACCTTTCCTCGTCAGAAGACAACTTCAACGGGTCTTTCAAAGAGATTCCGCCACCTCCTCTCGGCCGTGCCCAAGCGAAGATGTGGATGCCAAAGTCCAACGGACGAGAAGATGCAAAGCTGATGGCACGGAGGCTGCGTGTTGCCGCTCTGCCCGCTCACCGACGATTGAACGTAAGCATATTGAGGCTGATGTGAAACCTCTCCAACGTTTTCGTGATTTACGGACAGGAATGGTGTTTGCCTGGCAGAGTACCCTTCACCGTTTTCGCGGAAGACGTGCACCAAAACGAGTTCACCATTCGTGAGATTGACTGTCGACTCGAGTTTTGGCAACTTAATCTCGCTAGGTATGCATGTGATTTTCCACAGCCTCTCAAGGTACGTTAAAACTTTTGGTCAGATAGAGGCAGAACTTTGGGCCGACGGAAGAATTCAAAGATCGATATGTCCGGCGGTTTGGAGGGCTTTTTTACTCACTCCTGCTTCTGCCAAAATGTGTTGGGCAGTGAAAGACCAGGGGTTTGTTGTCGATATTGTCTGATGTGATGGGATCCTGGGTTTGGACATGATCATTCTCTCTCTCTCTGTCTCTCTCTTGATTTCTGCTCAATCTATTGTCTGGCGGCTCAGGAAACGGAGACAGGAAGACTGGTTGACCTCTCTATGATGGGGTCGGGCTCTGAACTGTGGTAACAGCTTCTCAGAAGAACCAGCCGAGTGCATTTCAGCAGAGAGTGGTGTCCCACGGTGTTGTGAAGTCCCGGATATCTTCATTCTCTTTGAAGCCCATAAAGTTGCAAGCCGCAGAAACCATAAATCTTTCCCCTTCTCTGGTCGTTACTGACGCTGTAGACACGCGAGACACAATCTATTCCTCATTCAAAGCGCAGGGCCGGCCTTTCGAGGCATCTACCCTGAATTTTCAGACCGTCCTAGCGATCTCGCATGGACTCAAGGCCCGTGGTCGATCTTTTGAGTGCACATTGGCTCCTTATGATGGGGCTTATGGAATCCAATAATCGCGTGGTCTGCTACGACCCGTCGCAGCTGCACGCTCCTTCGAACAGGTCCGATGGAGAAGTCATTTGTCTCTCGAGAAGCATCTGGCTATCGCCTGCAAAGTCACAGTCAAAACGTGAGGCACATGGCGGTCAGCAGAAAGCATGAATTGCGGACTTGATAACGCAACTTCCTATGCAAGCCCTATTCTTCTGGACGCGGCGCATGCCTTTTCACCACGGCTCAGATAAAGCCTCCAGTTGATGAGAAAAGGCCTGTGGAATATGCTGGAAAGGCTCGTCGCTGTACGTGCCGCAGTGTAAGCTCTCCCGGAAGGCCAAAAGGAAAGAGGGAGAAGGAGACGAGGGGCAGAGTTTCGGTGTCGACGGTGCGATGTTCCTCCGAGAGAGCACAACGCTTGCTTCTCACCTGGTCCTACAAACACATAGTACCTCGTACATACTATATTCTACTGGGTACGCCCATGGGGGCCCCCTTCTCCTTTCGCCTGCAATCCCCCCGACGATGAACACCAACTGACTTGGCCCGGGTAAATACTCGACGAAAGCGTTGCGCGAAGAAATAAGTCTGCCGTGCAGTCTTGGGATCGAAAACGAAAACATCAGCGGCGCATTCCTGCCCGTTTGTGCTTCGGATTGTGATCTGGCATTGCTGTGAGCAGTTGCCACGTCCATGCACATATACATACGTCCCTAGTTATATACGCCCGCATATATATATATATACTCCGCACAAGGTGTGAGTGGGCCGTGGAGACATCATCGACAAGCATCAGCATGTCTGATTTACAAAGCGCCAACTCTTGACCCATCTTTTGATTTTGCAGTACGTCTTGCTAGGTCTGAGGAGACTCCAGTGTCAGTACATCCTGGGAGCTGTAGGCGCAACAGGAACCAACAACGCTACAGGACACTACACCACACAAAACCACCAGAGTATAGATTACCGCAGCATCCCAAAGCATCTGATACCATACCATATTATATCATACCACAAAGCGAAGAGCAGCAATGACGCTCCCGCCCCTCCTCGCCGGGCAAGTCTGCGCGATAACTGGAGGACTCACGGGCATTGGACGAGCAATTGCGATCCTCTTCCTGTCGCACGGTGCCAAAGTCGCGATCAATTATCTGCCGTCTCACAATAAAGACGAAGAGGATCTGCTCACCTCGCTGCGCTCCGAGGCATTTGACGCCATAAAATCGCGGGCGCAATCGTCGTCGTCATCGGCATCGGCGACGGCGACGGCTTTGCAGAACCTCCAAGACGTGCCCCTGCTGACGGTCCCGGGAGATATCTCGCTGCCTGAGACAGGCCAGGAATTCGTCGCCCAGGCAGTATCCCGCTTCGGGCGGCTGGACACGTTCGTGTCGAACGCGGGCATCTGCAAATTCGAAGAGTTCCTCGACATCTCCCCTGACAGCTTCCAGCGCCACCTCAACACGAACCTGTCTGGTGCCTTCTACGCCGTCCAAGCGGCGGCCCAACAGATGGTCCGCCAGTCGTCCCCGCAGGGCGGGAGCATCATTGGGATCTCGTCCATCTCGGCGCTGGTCGGCGGTGCGCAGCAGTGCCACTACACGCCCACCAAGGCCGGCGTCTTGAGCCTCATGCAGTCCACCGCGACCGCGCTGGGTAAGTACAACATCCGCTGCAACGCCCTCCTCCCCGGCACGATCCGGACGCAGCTCAACGACGAGGACCTGAAGGATGGCAGCGACAAGAAGGCCTACATGGAGGGACGCATTCCTCTTGGACGCCTGGGGAAGCCTGATGACTTGGCCGGCCCCGCACTCTTTCTTGCCCAGCCTGAGTTGAGTGGCTATGTTACCGGGGCGGCGATCTTGGTGGATGGAGGCGCGTTTGTGAATTTCCAGTGACGTATGTTATATGGTACATAGTACATACATACGGACATTCACAGAGGACGTCAAAATTTATTGAAGGTCTTCAGATGTGGGCAGTATGATGCCGTATGCTTTGATAGCTGTGCCAGACCAGATTTGTCCCCTCTCGTCGGGCGTCAGATTCTGCGAAGTGAGAATCGCTTCCACCAGGGCGTGCCAATGACTCCATGACTTGGCGACACCGGGACCACCGACGTTACACACTGGCCAGTCCGAGCCGAACATTATCCTGGAGGGCCTAAAGGCCTTGAAGACGACGTCAACCCAGGGTTTCGTGCGTGCGACAAGAGCTGCGACGTCAATCGGAGTGGCCTCGTCCTGCTTCGGCAGTTCTGAGAAAAGGCCCGAGAGTTTCATGTAGGTCGACTGATATCGGGCCATTTGCTCGATGCATTCTTTCCATCTCATGAAGTCTGGGTGGCTGCCGAGCCCGTCACCGCTCGCGGGGGCTGCCTGGGCAGCGGACAGCCGCAGGTTCGGCTTGCAGAAATGGTTGATGACTATTTTCAGGACGTTCCCACTGCCGCCGGCGTCGGCGTAGAGCCGCTCCATCATCGTACATGCCTCTTGGAGCTGGTACATCCCCCCAGACCGGGCGTCGACTCCCAGATCGAATGTGAGGCCGTGAGTTCCCAGCCATTGCAGTCCGCTGATGAACTCTTCCTGCAGCATCACCCCGGCGGGCTTATCCTGGACGAGATACCGGAACCCCTTGATCAGAGGCCACTCTTTGCCGGCACGATCTTGGACCTGTCGAACGTAGTTTGCAAGACCCTCTTCACCGGCCGGCACTGGTGCCCACGGCACGATTCCCAAGACTAACTTGGCGTCTTCGGGCTGGTGGCCTTCGCCTTCTCGAGGGCTGCCTCGGGCGATTCGGAGCAAAAAGTCGACTTCTGCGAGGGCGTCCTGCCATTGAGTGTCTGGGAGACCTGATTTGCGGTCTGTCTCGAGGAAGACGAAGCCTTGTAGTTCGTCAGAGAGGTCCTGTGTGGCGACGCGGTACTCGTCGAGCGAGTACTGTCTGTTTAGCGGGTGGCCTTTGGCGAGATCGCGTGTCCAACTCAGCGACGGGATGTGTGATGCTGCGTACAGGTGGATGTGGGAGTCTATTTTGTAGTTTGTGGCGCTGCTGACTAGTTGAGAAGCCATATTTGTAGAGTCTCCAGTTCGATATGGAGGCTGGTCTTATGAGCTCCTTGTTATACGTACACTGCTAACCTTGAGATGAGGGATAGGATGGGCCCTTTCAAATGGAGGGATGACATAGCCTATAAAACATTCAGCTTTTACCCAATCAACCTGTTGAACTTTTGGACAGAAGTTAGCTTGTGTGCCTTCGGTGTTTCGGGATAATGTTTGTAGAGATTCATTCTATTATTGCGATGGCACAGAACTTTGGGCGGCTCCTGTAAATATAACCTCGTCAAGATAGGCTCTCCGCTCTCGCCGCATTTTGTGAATGGGATATTGGTCCCAATATACGGGCGGATGCGAAACTTGATCTGGTGGTGTCACCAGTTTGGCCAGCCAGTCAGTACTCGCTGGGTATTGTTGTGCAAGTCTTGGCAAGTTCTGTCAAATGTCAATGTCATTTGAAATACTCCGAGGATGAGGACGACATTCCCAAGGCGAGAAGGTCTTCAACTGCGGTGGCCTGACCATCTGCAGTTCTGTTGCCTTCACGATTCCATATTTTCCCTGCTATTCTGTGCCTGAAGAGTATATAACTCACGCTCGACTCCCTTGACATCGAAGAGGGGGATTTTACGTTTACAACAATGGTTACCCATATCCTATTTGCCACTAGACAAAGTGTGCTTTGAAACACAGGCTGAACGTGATGACGGCTCTGTTTCCCGCAACAATGGATCGTTCCCAGACTCATCGCCTCCCGACTCCTCCTGCTTCTGCAGCCTCTCCTGTACCGAGCACTGCTTCGATCGGAACTCGAACATCTACCTTACCGACCCCGCGTTTGCACCGTCTGCAGCCTGGATCGCAGAAAGAGATTGCCCTGATTAACTACCTGGACGATCGCATTTTGAAGATCACGAGGAGATACGCCAAAAAGTTCAGTCATGAGGGGCCCGAGAAAGATGACACGCCAGGATATACCACCTATGACCAGTTTGTGGTCGACGTTGATCCTCTGGTAGACGTTGTTTGGATAAGTGGCACGCCAACCATCCAAATCCCCTACCTCCTGTCTCTGGCTGGACTTGCTTGTTCCTATCTCCAAGCTTTTCCCTTCTCTACATCTGTGTTTGCTCTCACTAGCAAGATTGATCAGGGATTTGCTACTCTGCTACAACCCCCGGAGAATTGTCCCACGCCAGTTACCATGCCTTACCACGTCTTCATGACGGACAAAGTTCGCATCAAGTCGCTAATTGAGGAGACGCGCGTCGCCGCTGTGAATGCAGCTTCCGGCAGTGGTCACGATGCCAGGATACATGACCTTTCTGAGACGGAGACAGAGGATGATGAGAAGGACACAGAGGATGACGATGAGGGCGAGGATCTACCGCAGAACATGTCCATATCTCTTGGGCTGTCGCGGATATACAAAAGAACGTTGGAGATCCTCGGTGACTCGCTGGTTGCTGATGTCCCACCTCAAGCACAAGACAATGATTGAGACGTTGTCGACTCGCAAGAGCTCTCCCAGCCAGAGGAGGGGAAGCTATGAGTTCAGGGATTCACAGATCCATGAATCCAGCTCTTCCATCGCCCAGAGACTTCTGTTTGTTCTGGAGCCAGCGGCCAGCCTCAACTCTGGGAGCGGCAACGCAGATGGCGCATGCAAACCTGATGCAAGAAGACTTCAAGCACCTCCTCGATTTCTCCATATCGAACGCCAGCAGATCACGCTCTTCACCCTCTCAAGCTTCTAGTCCCTGCATGCCGGCCAATGTGAAGCTGGTGATGGTCTCTAGCTGCAGTTTTGGGCGGCCTCGAACGCTTCCGAGGCGACCAATCAGCCCTGGCCACGCTTGTGCGCCTTGCGCTCACCGACATCAGCCACGCAGCAGCAGGTACCAGGATTGCCAGGAACAGGAAACTCTATTGAATGGCCCGATTTTCAATTGATGCCCGAGAAGCTCTTGGGTCGCACAAATCAATTCACTGCTATGTCACAGGCCGTGCAACTTAAATTTTTGCGAGTTTGGAGAGCTTGGCGGGCAGAGCTCCGGCTTTGTCTCTTAACTTTGAAGCTCGACCTCCCACCCCGCTGCTTCGCATGTCTCAACACTTTCCAAATATTCAAGATGGGCTGGTGTATATTCCTATTGTTCGTTCAAACGGCGCTCAGCTTCGCGATCACACCACTGCCGCGACAAACCGAGGAACTACTCGTCCCGACGACAACACTGACGGAAATTGTCTCTTCAGTTGTACCTACGACATTTTGGACAGCTACTTCAACTGCCACTCCAACTGGATCTCAATTCCAATTATCGGCTCTCATCACCATTGCGCCCTTGTCGGTAAATCCTCTCGAAAAGCGACAGTGTTGTTGGAATGACCAAGGTTTTCGAGTGGATTGCGCTCAGTGGACCGGCTACTACTATACTTGGGGACCACCAGGCGATCCGTATCAAGGAGGACCTCCGGGCTGTGGACAGTCTGGTGGTGGAGGAGGCTCTGGAAGTCCTGGAACCGTGGTTGTTTATCAGAACGGTGCAAACCAAATGGACCTCACTAGTTGGTCCGCAATCTTGGGAACGCTTTGCCTCGTGCTTCTCATATTCATATGAAGCTTCCCGCTTTCTGCAAGAGAAGCTTGGAAGGTCGGAAAGTCGTCTCGGATCCTGTTCACCGTGAAGACATGGCTTCTGTGAAGGGTCAAACTCAATGGCACAACACTTTCAACTACCGGATTAATCCCCTTTTGCAATCGTCTTTCGAATTCTTCACGATGAGATTGAGGTCCGATGGTCTTGTGAGCAACCACCGTGATCTAGGAATCGGTTTGTTCGTCACCAGCTGTGGCACATGCGCTGCGTTTGCGTCGGTGATGGGTGCTGGTCAGCCATATATGATCCCTTTTCTGTCCTCTGCCTTTGGTTTCTTGCTTGTTCAGACCAGAATCTACTCATGAAAGACCAACAACCCCCTACATCGCTACTTCCGGCCGCTTGAAATAAATATAGAAGTCTCTTCTGCAGCATCGTGCTGACTAGAGTCTACCCGGATATCTTCTTCTACTTTCGGCAGATTAATTTCCTGCAGCAACCATCCTACGCTTCTGGTTAAGCGAAACCAGTTGTGTCTGCAATAATGCTCGTGTCCAATTGCCGCCTAACGGCTGCGAGACTCTCCTTCCGAGCCATGCTTTGGGGGATGCCTTTGCTTCTTACCCTCGGTCAATCTTCCGATATTGAGGCGGGCAGTCTGAGCGACAATGCCGCTCGGGTTGTTCCTGTGGCTCCCTTGACCGGACCAGGTGTATCAACACTGACAGATCCGAACACCGTCTCCAGTCCGGTCACCTCTTCCTTTGCAGGCTCATTCAGCTCGGCGCCTACCATTGCTGATGGCTGGTGGTCCTCATTCTGGTCTTCAGTTGCTGCAGGCTCTACATCATGGGATGGCGATGGGTTTGGGACCACTGATATCGTTCTCACGTTGTATTCGACCGATTCAACCACCACGGATTCTGCAGGGATGGTGAGCTCACAGCCTTTGACAACAGTCACGGGCACACTGTCGGCAAGTGTTACAAGTTCTACCTTCGTTGCCCATGGATCAGAGTCGCTCATTTCATCGGGGCCTATCGTTGTTCCGGCCTCCAAGTCCATGTCACCCGATACATCAGCTGTTGTTGATTCGTTGTCATCTGATAAGACAACCACTACTACGCTCACAACACGAGTTAAGACCACATTGTATGTGACAAATGTCACCACGGCTCCTCGTTTGTCTGCAACGCCAGCAACTTCTATGCGGAGCTGGAGCGATTGGACTTTGAGCCGGTCCTGGCCAGCTTGGCTGAATTCCACAGCCTCACGAAGTGCCTCACGAAGCATCTCGACTGCTCATTCAACTACCGCGGACTCGCTTTCGACGGCCTCGAGTGCGACCCCAGAATCTCTGCCTGAGGTGACAGTCACAGTCTATGTCACACCACTTTTGCCGACAAGCCCGTCAACCACTACGCTTACCGTGACTGTATTGGCCACATCGACAAGGACAACTCTGGTTAGCTTAACTACAGGTTCAGATGTGGCTCTAACGTCAGGTTTGATGACCATCAGCCCCATCAGCCCTCACACGAGCGCCGTGTCTGTAGCCAGTATTCATACGCCGTCATCCACCTCGTTGCCTGTCCGCAATGCTACAATCAGTCCCAATGTCGAACCGACTCTCTCTCTTCGGTTGCCCGGCGGAGTGTTCTTGTCGACAGAGACAAACGGGGTGGTCTACTCATACAGTGGCTATACATCGGCGAACACCACCCACTACGTGAGCCTTCTAGCACCCATAATTACAACTTGCGTTCCGACGACTACAGTAACCTATTACAATGCCCAAGGAAGTCCTACTCAAACCATTCTCCAGTGTGGAACCGGTATCGGCCCAGATGTGACCCCGGGATTTGGGATCGCGAGTCTAGACAACACTGCGACGCCGCATTCGACATCAACACTGTCTATTTCGCCACCAACTGCAAGCCCATTGCCAACAGCTCCTGCTGCGTCGCCGCTGTCTCCTGAGAACCCTCCACCCACACGAGTGACCGCGAGCCTTGACAGTCCGCTAGCGTGCAGCCTTGGTTTCGGAAATCCCACGCCGCCAGGCCGCACCTTAACGCCAGCAATCACGAACCACGCGCATGGAACTGTTGCCAGCAGTGAGACTCCTTCTCCTTCCCGACTATGGCAAGACGGCAGTGGGCTCGAAAGCGCCGGAAGCGTTTCTTCTCGCACTTCTGCATCCAAGCGGGATCGGGACCAGGATGATCGACCGCAACGAACTCGGGCTGCCAATAGGACCTTCCTGCGCAGCAGTGAGGCCGTTGGAGGACAGCGACCGAGCACCACGCTGATCACCGTGCCTCGATCGAGCTAAGAGCTCATCTCCGGTTCTTTCTCGCGCGTGATACGCGGCGACGACCGTATCTGAACGAAGTTTCTTGCTCCGTTCTCGCACGCGGGGACGAAGGCGCCGTCTTCAACGAGGGGGAGCGAGACAAAGCGATGCCACGCCATGCCACGCAATACGTCACGGTCTGGGAGGTGACAGGATCCCGACCGCGTCGGGGGACGTACATGTCATTGTACGTGGTATTTTGATACCCTGGCCGGGTGTCCATGACTCGAAGCAAGACGATCGAAGTCTCGACAAGGGGTTGCTCTTCTCTATAATTGCGTGCAAGCAGCGCCTGTACACATATGCGCCTTGCTTCGATGTTGGGTTTGAGGGATCGTGCCGAGCCTTTGTAGATGGGCCGAGGAGGATGGACAGCACAGGACAGCACATGGCATGGCTTGGCATAAGTATGCACCTGTCCCTGTGCCTGTACATGCACATGAGCTTGCACTTGTTAGGTACCTATGTTACATGTATATAGCGCAAAGAGGAAAAAAAAGGGATTTCCCCCCGTCCTTGGAGATTTCAGATCTCATACCCCAGATCTCATTTCACTCCCAATCCCATGCGTTCATCACTACCTTCCAACTTATCTACGATTCCCTTCGCGTACGGTGTGCAAGCACCGACTGATACATTGTGATCCTAGGGCTAGGGAGTCTCAAGTTTTTGACCTTGACATCAAAAGGGTGTCGCGGCCCCGACAGAGCAGACGGTATAAACGTTACTTTTTCTCATCCACCATCAATATTGTATGTAGCCTTTGTTCATTAGGCTAGGTAGCTAGCAGTGTGTCCTCCGCGGTCGGTCGGTCGTCGGTCTATCGAGGACTGTACTTTCACACGATGTCGATTCCTCCCCTCCTTCGTGGTCTGTTGTCCAAAAGGGCGAGAGAGAATACGCAGCTCCAGCACTAGCGACTCACTGTTGTTCAATTCATGCAAGCCACCTGCAGTCTGCTTGGCTTCCTCGGTCGATCGAATCGATCTCGACCTCGAGCGTTGGTCAGTCTTTCTTATGGTCGTCAGCGTCGTTGTTGGGCTGGAAATTGAGCTGGTTGCCGTTGTAAAACTGCTGGTCTCTCTTCACAGCCTCTTCGGCGCGTTGATCAGCCAGTGTGCGGATCCGGACGTTGTTCCCAACCCCGGAGCCTCCAGCGCCAGGAGGATGAGGATCCGCGTTCTCACTTCGACCGCCGGTAGTAGCCGGTATCTGTTCTGCATTCTCCGAGCCATATCCAAGCAGTGAGCGTACCCCTCCAAAGACCATCCCCGCCGCCCCGCTGACGAGATTATACCCTCCCGTCACCACCCCTCCCAGCAGTCCGCTTCCCATACCGCCGGAAGAATACGACTCAACGTATCCTTTTACCGGGACCATGACAAAGGTGCAACTCCCGACGATGCCTAGGTCAGAGAGCTCGGCCTCTTCTTCCCCTGCTTCAATTGTGCGATTGGGGAGGGGCGTCAGGATGAGCTTGAGATTGTATGGCACGCCGCTTGTCCTGTCGGGTGAAGAGGTAGAGTTGGCAGAGTCGATCCAGGGACGAATTTCTTTGGTGATGGTTGAGGTGGGAGGGAATGTGTTGCGCAAGGTTGACCCATCGAACGTGCGGACCTGGACCCTCACATCACCCCCGGCATTAGTTCTTGATGTTCTTGATCTACCATAGGAAGAGGAGGTTAAAGAAGTTGGATTCTCCTGCGTTTGATCATGCTTCTTCATCTCATCCATCAACCGCCTCTCCTCCCGATCCGCTTTGATTTGAGCTTTGATCCTTTCACGCTCGTCGCGTTGTTTCTGTTCGCGCTCTCGTTGCATTTTGATGTACTCTGCCCTTTGGGCTTTTTGTTTGGGGTCCATTTCCGCATTAGAGCTCGATGGTGGCGGGATGGGAGCTGGAGCTGGAGGTTCGGTGTGTGTTGACCGTACTGATGAAGGGGAAGGCGCCAATGTCGCGCGATCCTGTGGAGGGTAAACTCGTTCTCCTGCGGGCACGGGCACTTGGGGATTTGACGACGGTCTGGACGGCATAGATTGATGTGATCCAGAGGAAGTAGTGGCTTGTGACGGAGTAGGGCCATCCTGCACCGGGACCCCGAGGGCAGCAGCTGGGAGCCGCAGTAAACTTGATCTAGCAAATTCCGACAGTTCTTTTATGTGTCGTAAGCGTCCCAATTCTGCGCGAAGGATGGGGATGTTGTTAAGAAGGGCCAATTGGGTCTGGAAAATCTCTGAAGGAGAATTGCCATCGGTGAGGAGCTTCTGGGTATGGTTTCGCAGGGCGTCGTAGGCATTGTTCGGATTCCCAGGCGCGGGCTCAAGGTGGAGGTACTCGGTGGGCTCGTCTTCTAGTTCAGATTGCTGGGGCCTATTGACAGATCAGCGTCGAACAATGTCTGGGGCACCAGAGCTGCATACTCGGGCTGCTGAACTGACTCTCCGTCTCCATCGTGTCGGATGCCAAAAGCAGAGGCCAGGCGAGACTTCAACTGCTCGGTCGATACGTCTGCGGACTGAAGATTCTCTTGTACCCGCGCGTTCCTGCTCTTGTCAACATGTGGATTGCTTCTTCCAAATCGTCGCCTACTTGATCACGATGATTGCAGGTGTGCTGTTGATGGGGCAGATTGAGGCGAGGAAGCCGGCTTCCGTAGAGTCCTTGTAGAGTAGAACCGCGACAGCTTGGGCGGTCACCGCCGGGGATATCTGCGGGATGTCGTCAGGGATTTGAAGCAAGGACCCGGCGGAGATGGCTCACGGATGGATCCCTCAAGACTGCTTCCCATTCTGTGCTGGCTCGTGTGTTGCTATCTGATCACGGTTAGAAACACTGGCCTGCAGTATCAACATACAGCTTACCAGATACAAAGCACAGAACAGCTTTTCTTTCGCGAAGAGCCGTTTCTATGGCACTCTGCAAATCTCCATTGTAGAACATCGTGTAAGCAGGGCTTGTTGCCAGTAGGTCAAGGTCTTGTGTTGGAAGTGAAAGTACTCGGTATTTGAATCGATATTTCCTATGGAGATGGCGCTACGAGCGCTCCGTACCTGTTCCGCACTTGGAGACGTCATTAGAGATCATCAGCCCCGAGTACAGAATTAATTGCGACTCTCTTGGACTCTCCTATCCGGCTCGCCAGTACACTTGTCAGCTTCCCCCAGCCTGATCTGCCACCAGGATGTGCTTGCTACCTCGCTACGTTGTCACATTGCTCGCTCCGTAACGCGCACTTTGTCAAGATGCATCACTGCTACACGAGTTTGCAGTTCTAGGCGCCGGGTCTTGCGAATCCTGCTAAATATCCATCTTCCTGCTGTCCACCGCACTCGGTCCTCCGATGATGCCCCAACGGTGTGAGCCACGATATCGAATGAGTCCCAGGTTTCCCTTGGCTGGGTGCCTGATCCGCGATATGCACAGAAGCATGTAGACTATCTTCGAACCCGTGCGGACACACTTGATTTCTCCCCTGAGTGGTATCGAGGACAATGAATGAGGCAAAGAGGTGAACACTGTCAAAATTGGGATGAGTTGTCATTCGGAGAGGTCATAGGTGTGAAAAATTCAATCCTTGCGTGAGTAGTGAAATGTGGAAACGGACTCGCCAAGTGGCTGTGAATAAGGGAGAGGGGTATACACGATCCTGAGGACCGCGCCCTCACTGTCAAAGTATGCAAGTACAATGATGCTTTCCGGGGAATCTTTCTAGGTATATCACATGGTTCTAGGAGCCATTCTGACGAAACAGAGATTGCCGCCTCTGAGAGACACGAGCAAGAGCCGAGTGAGAGCGTCTCTGAGGAAGAACACGAAACAGGTCTAGAAATCCACCATCAGAGAAGGACAGTAGAAGGTGAGATGCGAATATTTACGCACTGGGGTCTTCCGAGGTATAGTGGCTAACTTTGCTCTAGGTCGTTGATCTCTTTTCCGGCGCTACTCATGGTTGCTGTGTTCATCATGTCCATGACCGGTCTCGCTTTTGCTATTCAAAGCTACCTCAAAACCAGACGTTATATTGCAGGCAAGCGAAAAACAGCGTTGCTGTGCGGGAATGAACAGGTCGAGTTAGAGAGGGTCCTAGAAAGCCCAGAGGTATAAAAAATTGTACGAGGTACAGGGTACTCCGCACGTATCTCAATACCAGGAGACATTCAGGGCCAGGTGCATTTATGTCGTTGAGAGACAATGAGCCGGCGTTGTGCCCTTGACTGGCTGCGTAGAGGCACAGATCGGCCCATGTTGTGTCTCTGTTTGCGCCTCCCCATGAATGCGCCCGTCCCGCATCTCAGCCTGACCCTAGTTAGCAAGCAACGAGGATGGGAGCTCCCACCTATTACTCGTTGTACCTGGCGAGCTGGTTCGTCACCCTTGCGAGCCCTAGCGACCAGACTAGGGTTCTTGCATTGGCACTTACCATTCAAGGCAAGGCACATGTGTGCGGCTGAACGGTTACGCAGACCTTTCCTGAGGAGCCTTCGAGAAAGCGAGCCGAAGTGAGACTTTGGAGAGACATGCAACAACTTGCTCACGTCGCCTAGTCGTTCCATAACAAATATGAAAGCATGTCTTCTCCCAGAGAGTATCGTGAGTATATGATAATCATCCAGTAAGCCGGATGAGACTGAGATCATTCTGGATGATTTCCTATGGACCTACCTATGTACCTCAGTGTGGGTACGTACCAACAAGGCTTTGGGTTCTGGTAACGAGTGTTGGGCTTCAAAGGCTAGTGAGGCTGCTTGGGGCACCAGGCAAGACCAGACTAGGGAGGCCCAGTAGCCCACTCGAGCGAGCTGGGCGGACGCCACAAGCGGCATCACCCTCGTCCTAGTCCGAGGTGAGCTGCGACCTCAGATTTTACTCTACCTACTTGTAGGTAGGTAACGAGTACCTCGTACAGGGCTTTTATTCCACTCATCCTGTTTCCCTGAGGAGAAGACATGGCCAAATATGACCTGAAGGTCCTCCGGTCACTCCTGTCACGCTCTAGTGCACCTCCTCGTCCTTTCAACAGGACCCAGTCTCGTCGTCTCGCAACCGAGAAGCCCTCAACTCCGACCAACAACAATGAGGACTTTGTCTCAATTGTTGACGCCCCTCCACGTCTCGTGCGGATCGGCCAGAAGCACAATAAGCTCGGTATCGTCATACTCTCGCTTATCCCCATCACTGCCTTCGCTCTTGGAACATGGCAAATCCAACGTTTAGATTGGAAGACCAAGCTCATCGCCAAATACGAAGACCGTCTTGTGCGGCCACCTCTACCCCTACCACCGAGAATTGACCCCGACGCAATCCATGAATTTGACTATAGAAGAGTGTATGCTACGGGATGGTTCAGGCATGATAAAGAGATGCTCATCGGGCCGAGGACGCAGGATGGAAAGGACGGGTTCATGGTCGTGACTCCTCTAGAACGGGAGGGAGGGAGTACTATCTTGGTGAACAGGGGGTGGATCAGCAAAGAGAAGAGATTTCAGGTCGACAGAGATCCTGAAAGTTTGCCCAGGGGCGAGGTTACGGTCTCAGGGCTGCTCAGAGAACCCTGGAAGAAGAATTTATTCACCCCTAAAAACCAGCCCGAAATAGGCAAGTTCTATTTTCCCGATGTTAATGAGATGGCTCAAGTGGTGGGTGCCGAACCTGTTTGGATCGAGGAGACCATGACTCCAGACCTGTTGGTTAGCTACTCTCGAGAGGCCAAGGGGATTCCGATTGGGAGAGCGCCAGAAGTGAATTTGAGGAACAATCATTTGCAATATATCTTTACGTGGTGAGTTTGTATACTAGGATCAACCGTATCGTGTCTCATTAATCCATCAGGTACTCATTATCCGCCGCCACCACGCTCATGATGTGGATGCTGCTAAAGAAGAAACCAATTGACAAAGCTCGCCGGGTCCGCCATGTTACCAAATGGTAAATTCCCAATAATAATAATCAGAGATCCGACGACTCATCGAGATCCAACCCCGCCACAATCTCATTGGGAAGCAATTCTTTCGCAGCTCTCAGAAGCTCGCCGTCATTCTGGAGCAGTCGCTGCCGGTGCATCAACATCAGCACGTCGCTCTGGTCGATACGTTTCCGGCGCGCGTGGGTTGAGTAAGCCTCCAGATCTTCGCCAACTTGCTCGAAATACCATTCGGTCGCCTGTTCGAGGGCCTGCATGTGGTCCCTTCCGAGTTTAGGTCGACGATTGCCGAGGCGGGCTTGTGCTTCGATGGCTACCCGTCTAATCAGGCTTGAAGGCAAGGATGGTACCATCTCGCCATGGCGGGTAAGCTTTAGTCTCTTCCGACGGGGCTGCGGGGGCGCTGGTCTGGGTATCTCTTCACTCATAGAGCCTTGTTCGGACAGCTGTCTAGCTCGAGGCTCTGCTTCTTGCTCGGGAGTCTCTTCCCGCCGATGTTGATCAATCGTCGATGGTGATGCTTCCACGAATCTTGCTTCTCGAGCACGTTGAGCATAATTCGAAACTGTTTCCACGTCGGGATCAGGCAATTGAAAGTTTGAGTCGTCCAATGTTGGGAGATGTATATCGCTCTCGTCAGGCCGCGCTGGGGATGGGGATCTCTGAAGAATCTGGAGGCTTTGCAAGGCCTCAGCCTCTCCTCCTCCGTCTTTCAGGGTTATGTACTCGGGGGCGAGCTTTACAAGATCATTCCGCATTTCCTCCGGACCTTCGGGCAGATCCTGATTGTGCGACTCTCTTCTGATCTCGAGCTCTGAATGGAAACCATCCATGTCGATAACCCCAAAGTCGTAACGCGATATGTTTTCTGTCTGCTCAACTGTTTCGGCTCTTCTGCCTCTCTCGGACAGGAATGTTGATTCTTCGTCTCCGCCATTAAAGCTGACCTTTTCGATAGGATCTGACGCGGGGAAGGAATGCCTTGACAGCCGCCGGCTATTGTCAAGCGAATGCGCCTGCGCTCTATAGTCAATTGACCTGAGTGTAAACGTTGGGTTGTCATTTTGCCCCTCGCCCAGTCCATCGTCGTCATCTAGTAGGACCGAAGGCGTTGGAGCTGGCAGGAGCTCACTGTCCTCGTCATCCTCTTCCGTAGGTCGCGGCACCTCAATGCTCTCTAGGCTGTCTTCAATATCCAAAGCAAGGCGTGGTCTTTTGAAATTCTGCCCTTCATCGTCTTCATCATCCCCGTGCCATCCCCCCACCGGCGCTTTGTTTTCCTTCCCCCTCCCAGTTCCAGGTGTCGGTGCAACTTTTCTGGTAATGGGCGCAGTAATCTTGGCCAGCTGCCTCAATATGCCTCTAGCTGAATCGGGCCGGATGGTGTCGCTGAATGCCCTCCTCCTGCGCGCCGAGCGCGTCTTTGCACCGCTTCGCTGTTGAAGAGCGCGGAGTGCATGGGGGGTTGAAGGCGCATATCGCGTAGGAGTTTGGGAGGGTTGAGTCTCAATTGAGGCATGGGGCCGAGAGGACATTTTGGAATAACTGAAGCTAGAGAAGGTCTGAGGAGTGTTGTTCTCGCATGCAATTGGGGGGGGGGGATCCAGGCTTATGGAAGACGCGTTTTGATCGATAACCGAATGGCACGAAAACACGTGACCGGGCCATAAATTGGTCCTCATCTTGCAGTTTAATAACTGGGTTCCGCCAAGCGCATTCCATACCCTTGCTCTGTAAGTTCGATATGATGGGCTAATAAGCCACTGACTGATTCTTCTATGCCTTGTACGTGTTCGTTGTTATCTTCTCTTCTTCGCACAAAATCGTCCTTGCGGCCATGGATCAGTCGCAAGCTAGGAATAAGCTGGAATCGCCTGCAACATGTTACTACTCAGGCCACTGCTCCAGAGCTCACTCAACAGCTCGATGACATGAAAAGCCGCCACATGCCGACTGATGAAGGTCTCTGGGACAGCTTCAATATTCGCGCGCTACGGAAATCCCTCCAGAGCCACCTCTCACTTTCGGACCTTCGACCAGCAAATGTTGTCCCTCCTGGTTATCATCAAGTATCATTCAACAAACTACCTTATGAGCATGAGCTAGGCCACGACGGTGCTGAAAAGCGCCATGCGCCCAACGATGAGTGGAAGTATCGGGTCTGGGCTGGAGGCTACATGGAATTCCAGATCCCCAATATATGGACCGACCGGCCCAAAATCGTCGCTGTCAATGAAAGGATCACAGACACTCGACTAGTCGGCGATCTTGCCAGTGAAAACGCCAAAGTATTCGTCACGTTAACAAGGACTCTCTTTCCCGCCATGGTGGATCCCCAAGGGAAGCCTGTGCGCAGGAGGCTGGGAGGCCTTCGCGCCACGAACCAAAGGGACAACATCGTGCTCAAAGAGGAGAAATACCTCTGCTTCATGCGAGAAATCCCAGACAGTCTCAAATCGACGGCTTCGCCTCGCCGTAAGCTACCGCCTCCTTCTAACCCGGTGTATTCCCAAAGCATGGTCCCTTCACCAACGCTGCTCTTTAGATTCAGCGCACTGTCGAGAAACGCCCACGCCATACATCTCGACGCAGAATATACCCGACTGGTCTACAACCTCCCAAAACTCATAGTGCACGGCCCGCTCACCTCTGTCCTAATGCTGGATATCCTTGGAGAAGCGCTCGCTCTCTACACGGCCGGGAAACCGTACACCTTCGCCGTGCGGACATTTCAGTACAAGAATCTTCTGCCGCTATTTGTGAATGAACAGATCACAATTGCGTGCAAGAAGTTGCACGACATTCAGCCGCAAGGGACGAAATTTAAGTCCGCGTTTGGTGGAGTGACGTGGGAGAAATGGGAGGTCTGGATCCAAAAAGGAGTAGGCGAAGATGCGACCGTGGCGGTTCGAGGATCGGCTTGGGTTTCGCCGGTGGCGCATCGCGGCGCAGAGGCCTCGTCGGAAGCTGCTGCTGAGGCATTGGGTCCGTCGAACGTGGAAACTCAAAATCCAGATTTGAATGGGGAGGAAGAAGAGAAGCAGGCGACGAAGACTTCGTCGGAGTGAGCCGCGTCCTTGAGGCTGGGCTGGGCCGAAAGAATCACAGACCCTGAAGCGATCGTACATTGCACTGAAGAAGACGAGGAAGACGAATTGAACGATTGTAGGTGGACCGCGATGTTTCGGGAGACGGAAGTAGGTTCTCTCAATAGCTCTTGTGGCTATCCTGAAATATAGACGGCTGTTGTATCTGTCTGGGTTGCCACCATGCTATTGTGAAGAATACGGGTGCCTTATGAAACGATTTTCTGAACACATAATCCCAAAACGCTGAGCCGCCAGGTATCACCCCCCATGCATTTTGTTTCCCCCTGAGATGTGCCATAATGATATCCTTATTCCCATTGTCGACTCCGAGCCCAATGCCGGCGGGCTGTGCTCCCAACCTTGCCCGTGCAAGAAATGTAAGCCGAATGGCAAAGTCAGAATCGCAACAGAGAGCTTATACGTGCTTCCACCCATTCCAGATCAAAATATGCTGCTCATCAATGACACATAATCCCCCAGTCTCTTCCCTCTTCTCCAGAGAATTCGCTCCTTCCTTGACCCACCTTTCCATCTTCCTTTGAACTTCTTTCATAGTTTTCGTCTCACGCGGCAAGATGTTTCTTCTAAGACGGTTTGTCCACACTCCAGTCACGTATTGCGTTGCAGAAACGAAGTTTTCGCCGGGACCTGTATGCGTGGTGGTGTAGGCTTCCACAGTATATCCAACACGTACCGACGGGTTGACATAGATTCGATCAGCGGAGCCCGGAGAAGTGATGTTCATGTCCGTGTGAATGAGACAGCATTCACTTGCTTCGAGGTGCTTGCTGGCGAGACTATCACTCAGCGCACGGAACTGAAGTCCGTCGTAGAAAGGCGTGCTGTCCATTACAATCATCCCATTCCAGCATGATGTGACTTTTGTGGGGAGACCCTTGAGCATGGACTCGCGAGACTCTTGAGAGCGAAAATAGGGGAAGAACGTCTGTATTGTGCCCAGCCTTTCGGAGTCCCGTAGCGCAAAGGTATCGTAATAAGCTGGCGGCAAATGAAAATCGAGGGCACATGCGGCGGAGAAGGAACCTTGGTTCGTGGCCAAGAGTGTGAGGACGTCCTGCGGGCGGAAGACGACATCATTGAGAAAAAGGATCTTGTCGAACCTCTGTCCATGTTCATCACGGAGTCTGAAAAGGGGATTTAGAGATGTATTCCGTAAGCGAGCGAGGTAGGGAATCCTCCGCATCTCTTTACCCCATTGAGTTCCCACACTCGTGGTCTGGATCCATCCCTGTCGCGGATTTCCCTGATCGTCGAGCGGACCGGCATTGATTTCGTCTGCGTGCGTGGTGGGATCCAATATCGTCTGATGAGGAATGTTATTCTGCTCCAACACATCGTCCAGCATTTTCAAGACGTCCTTTGTGTTGTCTAGACTCCCTGATTCATAGATGCTCACGTAGATATTCTCCTTTCCCAACACTCCTACCAGATCGAGAAGAGCCTGACCCCATCGCTCGGAGATGACGCGTGCGTTGGTCCAGAATTGCGCAACGATGAAGATCTTTTGATTTTGGACCGGCGTCGGGAGGACAGACGGGGAAGTATATGTGTGGGTGAGTAGGTTACGGGTGAATTCGCGGTAGTGTTTAAGGGTAGTGAGTAGGTCAAGGACAAAGAAGGCGACAAGGGCGTAGAAGAGAAGTCGGAGGAGACGGCGTTGGAGGGAAGAACGACGGTAGGATCGCAGTAACATGGCCACGGCTGAGGAAGAGGGCCATCTGTTTGGGAGTTGAGAGCATCGTGGAAGGGCGCGAGACAAGGCCTTGAAGACACTCTCCGGGGCCGTTTGACATGTCTTGGTTCTTGCTCAATCTAAAGGAAGATGTGGGCTGAGGCTGATGAAAAAGGAGTCGGACCGGAAAAGCTTTGAGCCGAAGCTAAGTCACCTTGCCTCGCTTGATGCACCATGATCCAAATGCTGAAACTCCAGACATGTCTTTCTCCTTTGCATTGGACGACCCTCTTCTGGCACTATAGCTCTGTTGGAGCTGCGAAGAATGCAACAAGACCAATTTCATGGAGTACCCAAGGCGGCGCCGTTTCGAAGTTGACAGGTTCACGGCTCGGGGGAAGACTCACACGCCTAAGGGACTCAATCTTCTTGCCGCTTTCCTGCAGTCATGGCCTGTGTTTGGCCTTGTGAGGACAGTTCTCGGCAACTCAGGCGTTACTGCTCAGATTGATGACTTTGTCAGACCCCTGGAAGATGACCAAGATGATGAAAGCCGCCACAGTATGGATGATGGCGATGATCTTAAAGAGCAACTGCTTTTCGTGGACGTCACCAATCTGTCGTTGCACGCTCTGTACTGGATTGCCCAAAAAATACTATATCGACGACGATACGCGAAGAGAACGCATATGGGCAGAAAATGCTGCTTGCTCTTCCCAGGCAAATGCCGTCGTTAACAAGCTTACAGCCTGGCGGAGGGAGTACTACATGATTGAAGACAAAATTGACGACGAGCCGCACATATTGAATACTGTGATCTTGTCCGTCGTTCTTCTAAGTGAATATCTATTCGACGCCTGCAGGAGGATTTTTAATACCGATACCCGGAACATCGAGTGGGAATTGGACAATGCACTACGATGGCGCTTGTTGCGAGCAGGCTGGTGTCATATTGTTTTGTCTTGAATATCTTCTGCATACGCCTCAGTCGGCTCTAGAAGAACTGCTAATCGATCATTAGATCGCAGTTTTGCAAAAGAAAGTAATTTACTCCACGAGCCTCTATATCATAGGCGGCTTTGACAGGTATTGTTTGACAAAGTGCCATTCTCACTGCTCGGAGGATCCATGTGTTGCTAACCACATTGACGAGGTTACTTATAAGACCAAACATGGCTTTGCAGACTGTTCCTGCGCTCACTACGTTGAAGAGACCGAAACATCTGCTATGATAGCAGACATCCTTCGGTCTGGCTCAATCCCAGTCATCACGGCACCTCTCGCGGGTGCTGCCTTAAACAGCGACTTTGTCATATCGGTTCAGGAATCTACTCGAGTGCCTTATGTCGCAATCTCTCACGTCTGGTCCGATGTTTTGGGCAACCCTAACAACAACTCGCTTCCGCAATGTCAACTCCGTCAGCTTTAACTCCGCGTCAACAGCTTCTATCCCGAATCCTCTCGTCCGATTCCACTTTGGATCGACACCATTTGTGTCCCGCGACAGGCTGACCTTCAGAGGGATCTCTGGAACAGACCGTTTTATTTATGAAGGAGTCAGTTTCATGGCAGACTTGATTGCAAGCGACGGCGATAGCCTTCAAGAACTTCATCCTAGAGAAACTCATGCATTGATTCGAGCAGTGGAGCGAGTCAAGGAGCTCCATGCTAACGTCCTCAAGCATGGCCCTCTGGGGAACCCTGTCAATGTCGACCCCGACTTCCCTTGGTGGCAAGATTTTCCTATGTTGAATCTGGTCGACTCCTGATTTGCCAGCAATTTCGTTTGGGTGGAAAGGCGCGACTATTTCCATGAGATGCGCTGGCCGGGTGGTCGTCAGCAGAATGATGAACCCATGCTTGAGGCGAATGCCATCTTGATTATGGGGGGTGCATGAGATTCCGCAGCACCGGTTGGATCGAAGACGAGCCAATCTGTTTCGCGACGTTGCTGGGACAAGACCCAAAGGACCTTCTAGGGGAAAAACCCATCGAAGGCCGAATGGAAATGGTGGTCTCTAGAATGGGGCACGTCCCTGGGCAGATAATATTTTCTCGTCGACCTCGCGCTGACGCGCCTGGGCTCCGATGGGCCCCTTTGTCATTTAAGGCTACGACAGTTGGCAAAGGATATGGTCCGGGGCTGTCATTTAACACGGTCGGCTGGATTCGGCCAGAGGGCTTTCTTGTTAAGCTTGATGGGGTCTTATTGAATCACGAAGACTGTTCCAAGGTATGTTCCAAGTTCCCGGTCAAGTTCGGGTCTGCGCTACTCATTGCTACGATGAACGGAACCCATTACTTTATTCGCCCGTCTGTGGATAGAGATATAGAACGTGCACAGGTGGTTTCTGGCCGAGGTTTGCAGAAACAACAATGGTGCATAGGATAGCAATGGCCACGAGCTGGCAAAGGTCCACCATAAAGAACAGGTGGGCAGGAAAGTATGAGATCCAGCAAGGCTGACAGTTTCTCAGTACTTGCCCTATGTGGAGCGGAAGCATATAGTTCTGCTTGTCTACAGATCAAGCAAGGGTCAACGGCTTTAATGTTAAGCAGCCGGAGCTCTATTCGACACCAGCATTGCAGCCGAGGAGCGCGCAAGTACTGATGGGCCTACCCCTTAATCGCTTGAGCTTGTACATGAATTTGGTATTTGGTCTTTGCTTTCAACATGCGCCTTGGTAAGGCGCATGGCTGTGCATACCAAAACCGCATTTCAACGTGCCTCTTCGGGGATCAACTACACGAGAACATCCTCGACCCAGAAAACAGTCCAAGGTAGCTCCGCCGCGTAGGAGGACTATCATGCTACAGGCGGTATTGCGATCCTGGTGCTGCTCGCGTGAGGGAAAAGAAGCAAACTTTGAGAGAGGCTTCGTCCTTCTCGAGAGGTGGATGGATAGAAGGTCCTGTCACTGTAGACGAAGTCCTTCTCTTTCCCCCCAGCAGGCATCTTCCTTCTCAGCAGGTCCACACACCGATGGTTATGGATGGATGGATGGGATGGCTACCTGCATATCGTCCACGAGTTGAATGGATCGCTCTAAAGGCTACCTGCATGGTATGCGTGATGCAGCGCTACAGCATCCCCCATGCAAGACGCAAGGCCCATCGAATCAACAGCGACCCCGCCGCATGAGCAAACACGCAGCTGGGTATGCGCAACGTTGCGGTATGCTGTGCAGCAACAGGCCAATTTCCTTGCCCAGATTGGGCTATATTGACTGCAGCAGCATACAACAACAACAGCAAACAGCTGAAAGTGTTGACTGCCCGGCCATCAGGTAGGTCCATTTGTATGACCACACCTCGCCCACGGCACCAATGATCGCAAAGTTCTGGGACTGCCACAGCAGATGGTCCAGGAAAATAGACAAACAGTCGGCCTGGGGATCTTGACGACCGCTTCATACACGTCGAAAAGGGAGAGGGAAAAGGGGCCATTTTCAATGCATTTTGCCCTGCATATGATGATTTGTTTTGTCTTCGCTCCAATGCTGCTTGTTGAGGCTGCTTGTTGAGTACATCTTCTCAACCTCCCAACAGTAACCCCAACGAGCTGACATACCAGACTGTCCTACAACTTCTAACGCTCGCAAACATCTTCATCATCCTTTTCTTTTGCTGTTAAGCCCTCTTTGAACCACCCTGAGCTGGCTTTGTGCGTCGTTGCCAACCTCGAGACAAATATCCAGACGTCCCTCCGCCATGTGGCTCCCGCTCCTGATGCTTCTCGTGGTCTTGCTCGACCTTGCAAGTGCCGTATCAGTGCCTCGTCGATTGAAGAACTGCACCCCCAGCCGTCGATGTCCGCAGCCTTTCATGAAACGAAACGCCACAGCCGGTTCCGATACCCTTTCCCTCGACATCGATCCCGACCTCGTTAACCCGGTCTGTGGCGGGATTTACGAGGCTAACATCAATGTCCAGAGCGCACCGGACCCGTTCTATCTCACCCCAGTATGCAACAACATCCTGAGCTACATCGGCGGCCCCAAGGGCGATAAAGACGTGGACATCATCTTCACTTGCGCCGGGTTCAACAACTCTGGCACGGGAATTCGAGATGTCAAAATTGTATTTAGCACTGAGGACGATTCGCCGATAGATGCCGGCAAGAGCGGGACCCAGCTGATTCCGGCGAACATGGAGCTTGTGGCGGAGAAGCAGAATGTGTTTTTCAGTTCGGCTGTGAGCCTCGGGGTAAAGATGAAGGGCGGGACAAGCGATATCGTTTTTCAGTACATCTATTGTTGACCAGGTCGAGGGCATAGAGGTGAATCATCGATCGGAAACAGGTGTGTGGTGTACTGTCTTTTTCAAGTGCTGGAGCGTTGTAAGGCGTCAAGGTATGCCTTTGGAAGGAGCCCAGCATGTCCTCAGGCGTTGTGTGCATCATTCTCAACCCGTCTTCAGTTGCTCTTGTGGGATTTCTCGTGGAGAGGAGACAACCTGGCAGAGATTGGTAGTAGAAGGCCACTCGTCTGACGGCAGTAGACCAGCTTTTGACATGATAGAAACCAACTTAGAAGACGCTCTTCCTCGGTGATCCATTCGTGCTCAAGGCTCCAGTGCCCTTGAACTGGTGTTGGTGCCTGGAGTTTCAAGAAATCTGCGTCGTATGACAGGGCTTTTGAAGTAGCCATCGAAGAAATTCCTTGATGATCGGCTCGTCAACCAAGCCTGTCAAGCAATTGCCTGCGCCTTCGATCCACCAGTTCTTCTTGGACCTCTTCCAACGTGGGCAGACGCCATCTCACACCATCGCCGGCGTCACCGGGTAAGGGCTCCCAATCTTGGTCCTCATCCTCTGTGCCTGCCAGCTTCGCCACCCTTTCGACAGCCTCCTTTTCTTTCTTCCTCTCATACTTCGACAGTGTCCCATTTTCCTCGTCCGGCCCGAACCCAAAGTACCGCGCGTCGAGGTTCCTCCGGTTGATCTCCAGCTGCGGCCTTTTGGCTGCTTCCTCCTCCTCATCGCCGCGGACCCTCCTCTTTGCCGCCCGCTCAAACATCTCCTTGACACCAGGTAACTCCCTCGCCCTCCCGAAATACCTATACCCTTTCCCTCCACCGGGCACCTCTCGGCCCTGATCGTCAAACACCGTGCCTCCGCCCCGCATATAGTTCGGTCCTCCCAGTTCCCGTATGCGCCGTTCCCAACCCCACTTCTCCTTCATCAACTTGTTGATCTCATCGTTTAGATCCCTGATTTGGAAGTCCGAGAGCGACTCGTCTTGGATCTTTGTCACCTTCCGCGAGATTTCTTTTAGGATTTGACCGCGCCATTTTTCGCACAGGGGGACCGTGTCCACGGTAGACGGGGCTTTGGGACGACGAAGGCTGGCGGAGGGGAGGAGACCAGATTCGGCGGCCTGGGCGGCGCGGAAGCGGAAGAGCATGGACTGCGCTTTTTCTGAGTTGCGTGCCATGGCTGGGAGAGTAGACCAGCTGCGGTTGAAGAGACTCTTGTCAAAAGAAAGTTGTAGAAGAGGTGCTGAAGAGGTCCCTTGAGGAATGCGCTGAAGCGCGCAGAATGCAGTCGTAGACAGGCAAACTCGAGTGGCTGCTATGTTCAAAACAATAGACTCGTGGCATACGCGCCCTGGCCGAGCAGAAACACTTGGTTGGACTGTTAATGAGTGGGTTGATGGTGGAAGTCGATGAGGGCCGCGAAGACTGCGAGGAAAATAATGCGGAGATGCGTGATTGGGGGGAATTTTGTGGGGGGATTAGTTTCGAGGACTTGCGCAAGATGTCTCTCACACTACCTCGTACTATTCCTCAGGTTAGTTAACTCCTACACAGATCTAGTTCTGACGATATAGGTGCTGAGTGGTGCCTGCCTGTTTGTGATTTAGCATAACCCATTCTTTTACAAAATGCTGTAACATGGTTGTCTAGCCGGCTGGCTTTTTACAAGAAATACTCCTCCCGTTAGATTCCTGATATCTATCAATCTCCTCCCACAATGTCCCAATGGCTCCAAAGACAAACCTCCGCAACTGCCTTCCAGATCGGCCTCGCTGCGACGCTGGGTGCAGTCGCGGCCACCACGGTCATCTTCGCCACGGCCGCGATCCACCGCCGTCGGGCCACCGAAGACCTTAAAGCCTCTATTCCCGAGCTTTCACGCAATCACCACGCCCTGCAGCTTACCGAGTACGGCGGGGCCAGTCGCCCCACGATCACGAACAAGGAAGACACGCGCGCAGCGTTGATCGCGGCGAGAGCGAGGAAGGGAGACTACGATGAGGAGCTGATACTCGAGCAGTTGGCAAGGAACAGGGTGTTTTTGAAAGACGAGGGTTTGGCGAAGCTACGGAGCGCTTTTGTCGTCGTCGTGGGACTGGGTGGCGTGGGAAGCCACTGTGTCGAAGCGCTGGCTAGGAGTGGTGTCTCTCGCCTACGGGTTGTGGATTTCGACCAGGTCACGTTGAGCAGTCTCAATCGGCACGCTCTTGCGACCCTGGCGGACGTGGGGACCCCAAAGGTCAACTGCGTCAGGAAGAGGTTGGAGCAGATTTGTCCCTGGGTCCGGATAGATGAGCGGAATGAACTGCTAGGGTCACAGTCGGTCGAGTGGCTGCTGGGAAAGTGGGATTTTGAACTCAGGGAGGGGGAGGACGATAAAGAGGTGGATTGGGTGGTCGATGCTATTGACAATATTGACACCAAGGTCGAGTTATTGAAGTATTGCGCGCTGAGAGGCATTAAAGTCATCAGTGCCATGGGTGCAGGGTGCAAGAGTGATCCTACCAGGATCCAGGTAGGAGATATCTCGACAAGCGTCGAAGATCCTTTGTCGAAGGCAACGCGGCGGCGGCTGCGGGTCATGGGCATCACCAGTGGCATTCCCGTGGTTTTCTCAACGGAAAAGCCTGGTGAGGGTAAGGCTGAGTTGCTTCCCATTACGGACGAAGAATTCCAGAAGGGCCATGTCGACAAATTAGGTGTTCTGCCCGAATTCAGAGTCAGGATCTTGCCAGTCCTTGGAACGATGCCAGCCGTCTTCGGATTTACGGTGGCCAACCACATCATTTGCAGCGTTGCTGGGTATCCGATGGACTACCGAACAGGCGATAGAAGGAGAGAGAAGCTATACGACGCCATGCTATCAGCCTTGCAGAGCGTTGAAGAACGACTCGTGCGGTCAACCAATGGGCAAGACACCATTGGTCTCCGGATCCCAGTGAGTCGAGACGATGTTGCTTACCTTGTGGAAGAAGTCTTCCGTGGCAAAAGTGTCATCAGCGGGCTGGGCACCAGGCTTGCTCTGATCAGATGGCTGAAGCCTGCGGGAGGGTTCAAAGTCGACCCTGAGTACGAGAAGGAGGGACAGATAATGATCAAGCTGCCCTTAACGGACTTGGTGCTCATGACCAAGGAGGAGGCACAGCGACACGAGAAGCTAGTCCTGAAAGGGGACATGCAACCTGAAGCCCTGTACGACCCCAGCATCCTAGCGCAAGTCAAGAAGCGCCTTGGTGACGAGAGAGCATATGAGCGGTACAGGTAGAAAGCAACCCGCCAAATCCGCCATGCTGTTGCTTCGAACACACTCGACAATGGAACAGTTGTGCGGCTGCAACGAGGTAGATGGTTACGCCTCCTCTTTCGAGCTCTCGGCCGCAGTTATCGATCGCTCTGTCGGAAAACTTCGACACGCGTCATGGCTTTCCACTTGCGGACCACAGCATTGTCTGTTAGTGATGCCGGAACTCCACCTGCTCCGCTCATGTGCGATGGCTCACCATGCTCCAGCTTCTTCGTTCTGAAACCTGGGCTCGACCAGCCTTTCCCCTCTCGGTGGAGGACTCTGAGCAAGAAGCAAGAATTGATCACGCTGGACCTGCCATTTCATCACCTCTGTGCAAGCCTTGAGGAGACCTGGAAATATTCGCCATCCCATACTTCAAGAGTGCCAGACCACATCCGTGAGCGGACGTGTCCATTCGATATCGACGGCACCTCGGCTTGGTCCTCAGCTTTGATCAGGCTAGTGGGCCGTTGTATAGATAAGCTGGCGATTGGTTGAAACGTGCTGGTGGCAGGGTGGCTGTGGAGGCTGTGCAGGCTGGATTCAAGCGTCTGAAAAAGAGTGACGTTTCTCGTTGATGTGACTGCTAGACAGCTTTGCAATATATGTACCTAGGTATATCGCCAACCTCATCGCCAACGACTTCAATGCGAAGATGGACTAATATTTGAATTTGTATCGAAGGATATCTACCTAGACTACTCGAGAACGAAAAGCCTAATTGCTATATACGGTTTGAACCTTGAGAGTGAGCGAAGGCCGCTTTAACCTGAGCTCTAAACTAAGCCTTTAGCCAAAACATTCACTGAGCGCTTAGGGAGCCTCCCTAAACACTCCCCGAGGAGGATACCGGGGGGGCCAAATTAGGCCTGGTAGTATGACACGAGAATTAAGATCCCTACCATTTCCCACTTCCTCAGTTACACGTGCTTTCCAAACGACGAGGTGTAGTCATTAAGTAGCTTCGCACCATCGGCGCCCCCGCTTTGTTTCATCCTCAGGTCCGACCTCTTCAAGGAAGTGCTGAGAACTGCTAGCCTGGGGAGTTACAAGGTCAGGAGCAAGTCTGCTTAACTTCGGCCCTGCAAGAGCGCCAGCACGAAGTACGAATGACACCCTATGCTCTCTGGATCACAGATGCGATAGGTGGACGATTATGTGGAGTGAACGAGACCCACGATCTGAAAGCACGAGACGAGTCATAGTAAGGGAGATATACCTCGTACTCGGTACGTCGTCAAAGAATCTAGCTTTTAACCTACTTGTCGAGATGCAGGAAATTTCAAGTCGAGGGCTGGCCGAAATCTAAAACCCACCCCCAAGATTAACTCGAATAAGTTAGGTTAAGCGACCCCTGCACCCAGGCAGGTGCCGACCAGCCCAATCGGCGTCTTAGTATCAGGGGCGTAGGCAACTCATTACAGTGTAGCTGGACGACCTTTGCATAACCGTGAACCGTATGGAAGATTATTTCGGCATGAAGAATAACGCATTAAGCACATTAGACCGGCGAATTTGCGCATGGTCTGCTCGGCTAGCACTTTGCAAATCCTCGAAACCATTTTCAACGTTGGTTCTTTATCAGAAGATAATTAATACCACATCGACAACAGCCATGAGCTCCCGGTCGACTTCCAAAAGATCCAGACCCTGGCTCCGGGACGGGTTCATGATCACCAACGACACCAGCATGATCAATTTTGAGTCGATAAGGTCGATACTCTCCTCGGCCAAATATACCGAAATAGCGAGGACGGATGTTTTATATCCTTTGGTTCTTCTCACGCCTACACCACTGAGCCAGGAATCAGAATCTCAAATCGGGTTTCTCCTCGTTGACGTGCCCACACGGGGAGGACGCTCAATCACAGTCTTGCACGTGGAGAGCCGATGGCAGAATAACGGCCTCGAAGAGTGGTTGGAAGCCTGTGCACGGGAACTGGAGGGAGAATAAATGGTTTCTTACATACACGCACGGTAAGTGCAACGCCTTTCCGCATAGAAGAGATGAATTCATAAGTCAGGGAAGCAGGAGGTTTGAGGCATGGCCATTACGAGCTGAGCAAGGCTCAGGTCTGGTACCCCCAGCTGATATTCTCGTGTTCATATCGGCTTGATTATGAAGACAACAGCCACCCTTACGATACCTTGTAGCGCCACCGATTCAGCTGACCAAATGATGGGGAGCGACGCACGCAACACTGAACAAATTGGTTAAGATTTTTTTTCTTGCCGGTTGTCGTAGTGCTGAGGGCTGGCACTATTGGGGTCTGAGAGTGACTCAGTCCTCAGCCTTACACCGGAATTAGCGACTGATATTGCTTTGGAAAGTCCTCGACAAGTTCATACTCTGGAAACGCCGATATGCCATGCATGAAGTTGAGGCTACGGGCAGCGTTCTAGGCTACCTTTTCTTTGCACTAGTAACGTCCAAGCAAGTGCAAACCAGGAAATAAGGGATAAAAGGATGCATATGAGCAGCTACACCGTTTGAGGTCACACCCTAGGTAGCAGTAGGGAGAAATCCAACTCGGTACACTGCGACGTTAGCCTGGTGTCGCGTGATCTCATCAATAAGTCCTTTTACGTCTATATTCTTTCCCTCCATATTCCGATCACCGTCTTTCATCTCACGCCATGCCATGGCAAGGAATGTGCTCTTTATTGTCGATCTGTCAAGTTCAAACAACCTCAGTACTAGTTTGCACTCTTAGAGGTCTCGTCTCTTGTTTCAAAAGCCCTTCACCTCTTTCAGCCATCGCATTCCTAACCGGCACTCCTTTGGGTGCTCTGCCTCCCCACATTCCTTCTGCAAGGCCTCGCTGTGCTCATCGGCTCCTATTTTCTGCTCTATCAGCATGGTGGAAGACGGCGGTCGCTCATCAGAAGCAGTTTTGGAAAGTTGGTTGCGCGAGGCACCACTGCTACCGTAGTCAAAACGCACGTCCTCACTCACTTCAACCAGAGTATGTCCTGCATGCATGACTATTACACAGCTTTCACTCAACCTCTCCACTGGTGATGATGTTGAACTAGCAACTGTTCACGAGTTGTATGGAATGGTCTGTCTCTCTGTGCTCCATCTGAAAACGTTCCTTGCGGTTTATATGCAAAATTGGCCCGTGAACAGAAAACAGATCTCCCCAATCCTGCCACTGATTCCAGATTGTTATACCACCAGCGATCCTTGTTCAGGAATGACGGCAGATCGCCGGATTGGCGTTTCTGTAGCAGGATCAACAGGATAATCGTCAATGGATGGAGTACCGCCTTGCAACCAAGGACACTGATCGGAGTGCAGCGGAAAGTGTGGGGAGGATACGAAGAAGGAGCACCGGTGGGAAACCTAGAAAAGCGATATTTCGACGTTTCGAGCTTGTGCAAGTTGCTTTGCTGTTCTAGCGGGGCCGCCCCAGAGCTCGTGGATCAGGTCCAACGGAGCGCGGTAATACTTGATCATGACGCCATCGTATGTGAAACATTTAGTCCAAATCTTGTCGATAAGTGTCTTCTGTACTTCACTCAGCCATCGGGCTTGGGATGCGGCGATGAAAAGAGGGAACAGAAGAGTATTCCAGACATAGTCGTAGCTTTCGTGGCTCGCCTCATTGCCGATTACCTCGAAGGTGCCGAGAATATCTTGGATCAACACGCCCGTCGATATATCGCCTTTCGTGGTGTGATGTGGATGCATCAGCTTGGCAGTATTTGAACCACGTTGTGCTTGATATTCCCTTGCAGAGATGATACCCGCAAGGCGCGTCGCATTCCACATTCGCTGTTGCGCAAGCGTCGAGACTTCGACATATGTCCACGCCCAAAGTTGATCCTCGATGTCAGGATCCTCGATCGTGGAGAGCAGGTCGAGCAAGGTGTAAGGAATACCACTGATAGATTCGATTCCACGTTTGAAGCGGCAAAAATTATACCATATGCAAGGCGATGGGGTTCGTCTACCGATTGTGTGAGTCGGAAGGTCGAAGATACCAAGGACCGTAAGAACCTCAGACGCAAAGCCGCTGGGATTGATGAGCCAGCCTCCACTTCGAAGTAGGGAGAATGCGCCGTTGAGGTGAACGGTCCAAGACGGACGCGAACCCATCTATTCCAGAGGTTATCATTACCGCCGGACGTGACGGGACTAAAACCGGCTTACCGTAGTGTAACATAGGAGGAGGCCGGCAGCTAAAGTTGGCTCCTGCCGCATTTTGATAGGGTCACAGATATCCTGGCGGTAGGACTCTATACTCTTGGCATAGTACTCATCATACCTCCGTTCGCCTTCCGGGTGCATGACCAATTGGTACGTAAGGCAACTGGTGAGCAATGATTTCGACTCTATACAACATGGCATCACCCTAGAGATAAACAAGTTATACGGTTCGATCCCCGAACCTAGGGTACAATAGCCCCAGTCTGTGACTGAGACTAGTAGTTAGTCAAGGGCATAGAAGTTTTCAAAACGTACTTGAAACCTACAATCCCGCATCAGACTCGTTTCCAGTTGATTGTTGAAGATGATTGGTAGTGAGCTTGTCCAGGGAGCTCTCGCGATCGTGGGGTGGACAAATTCTCCGTAGTAGAGCCGATGCGCAGACTTGGGTTGGTAGACACTCTCGACAACCCCATCCTCTCTCACACTCAAGTGGTTGCTCCCTCGCTCCCATTTCAGCCGGAGGTCATAACCGCCACAAGGGAGCAGTAACTGAGTGCAGGGGCCGCAACGTGGACGCTTCTCGTCACATTTCTTTCGACGAGCTTTGCAAGTCCAGCAGCCTCGACGTGATCGCGTATTGCTTATCCGGATAGCTTGATTGGCATGAAAAACGTCTCCCATCCTTGCTATTGGAACATGAAAACAGCAAATGAAGGGTCTCTCGGCACAGGCGAGCGACGTGATATCCGCACTAAGTGTGCCGCGACTGCAGATGCCGCACGTTAGCCCAGTACTGAGTAGCGGTAGGGTCAGTCTTGCAGCTTACTGCACCGGCACGGTTTCTTCTCTATATTTGATCAAGGCATAAGTGCAACGAACTTGTATGGACAAAAGTCACCAGCGGGAAGTGAGTGAGAAGCTCGGAGAGAGGACCCCTTTTTGTTCCTCCTTTTGCCCAAAGCCACTCGTCGAATCCTGGCTAGATCATTTCGGGCTAGTGGGTCACCTGCAGTCCCCCTTTCGTCCCAGGAGGCAGTGCGAAGTAGCAGCCACCCAAAGCTGGGCATATAAAAGGCAGCATCAAGTGTCTTCGAGATTAATTAGCACCAGCGCAACAATGGGCAATCACGGGCTTGCTACTGGAGGCTGCTGGGGCTGCTGGGGCTTTTCCAATCCTCCTGTTGCCGTGACTTCCTCCTGGTTTGTGGTCGCTGCCTGCTATGCCTCGTTCTCTAGCACTCCAGTGTCGACAAATCCAATGCTACGCAATACTCAACATGGTCTCACTTTTTCTTTTGCAACGCTCTTGTCCTCTTGCGAAGTAATCATGATGGCTAGAGGTCCTGATGTCCTTTATGTAGACGATTTTGACATTTTTTACACGCTCTTCTCGACCTTGGTCTGGCTGATCTTGCTTCTGAGCCTTACCGATGCTGTAGACACCTCCTCATATCCTTTTGTGACGTAGGGTCTATCTCCTTTCTGGGCCAATGCATAATTCTATTGACTGAATCGAGCGACACATTCTCGTGGGGGCGCCTTCGCGGAAGATGTATCATCCAAGCGTGCCTACTCGCCTTCCAGGGGCTCCTGATTGTCGTCGCTGTTCTCGCCAGGCTTGGTCTGCCATGGAAGTGGAAGTGAGAGGTGAAGAGACGCAGCCGCAGCCGCAGTTGATCGAGCCGAACAGCGAATCGAGATCTGACGTAAACAGCTCAACGGAAGAACCGGATGAGCAAGATCTCGACGGACAGCGTATCCGAGGTCGACGTCGATGGGAATATCTTGTGTTTTTCAAGTTTTCCACCCATTTATGTACCCTCGCGGTAGGGAAAATCGGGCTGTTCTTGTTGGCTCCATTGTCTGTAACATTCCAAAGAGATTTGCGACCATCGCTGTGTCCTTGAGCCTAAGAGCTGTGTTGGACGAACGTCCGTTAATGACTTCATTGATTGACTGGAGAGAGAAGAGGAATCCACCCAGTGGTAGAGGGATCTGGGGGCGGAGGATCCTGCTGTGCAATTATGCGATTGGGAAACCTACCATAGAGGGTTAGGACTAGGCCAACAAGCCGTTGTCGGTGGTCTGGGCGGATCTGTTACATATGAATTGACGTCCCCCTTGAAAGCGCCAGGGGTTTCGGAGTCTAAACTAAAACTATTAAATTTGGGAGTGAAATTGCCAAAGATGATGTTCAAAGAAGGCAGGGTAGCTCTCGAAGAGATAGACTTGCCAATTGCGATCACGATAAGCGTCTAGTCATATTTATCAGCATATTTGAAAATGCGTAGGTAGTTGTTCATGCTGTCTTCGGGCTCCTTCGCCGGGGAGCCATCGCGGCTCAATGCTAATTTCCCAGTCATTTGGACGAAGGAATGATAGCCTTTAGATGCCAGTCGCACCCATTCCTTGGAGAAGTGCCGAATCGTCAAGGCAGATTTGATGGCGTGATTGTCTTCGGAAGAGGGGGAGGAAGAGACTTACTTCTGGAACTATAACGGATGGTTCGATCGTATTTTGGTTCATTCATTCTCAGGTACACTCGTATGGGTTTTCGAGATGGAGGGCGAGCCCAAGGCAGCTTGCCTCAAATACAAATGCTTTTGGCCCCGATATATGAATTGCCGCAAGTTATCGAAAGCAGACCGATAATGGAGGGATCCGCCTTGCCGCATAGCATCAGACTTTTAGTTGAAAGCCAAAATAAAAGGTAAACCGATTTTGGTAAGTCGTTACGACCCTGGCAAACTTTTTTAAGACAGGCTGTGTGGTTGCACAAATGCTCTGAGGCTAGCCGCCGCTCACTTATGGTACATTGCCATGAATCCTTTTTAGGCTTCTCTACTTGTTAGTCCAGAGTAAAATCCTCTCTTCTAACACCTTTTGGTAGACGAATACATCTCTTGGCATTTTTGCCCTGACGAGTGGCCATGGCAAAAATGAAATTGAGGGGAATTTGTCGAAGCTTCATCCTCTCACCGGAACAATAAAATCAATCCTAAGCCTGTGCAACCGTAATAGTTGACGTAGTATGTTCAAAACTAAGTGGGGAAGCCCTAACGAACCGGCCAGCTCTCGTTCCCAACAAAAGTGTTTTCTCTGAAGCCTGACAATCTTTCTTGGTACGATCGATGATCGATCCATATGCCCTCTAAGCAAGAAGAGGTTTGGCTTGATTAGCACCCAAAGCTGAACAAGCATTGGCGTCAATTGGAAAATGGTTTGAGGCGCTCATGGGTTTGACTGGATGTGACTCTTCGCGTCGTGGCTGGCTTTGAGTGACACCATCACTCGCTGGAGGCCGAAGATGATATGTGTTGATGGTTTACGCGTGAGCCAAAGACGGAAGTGGTCTAAGTCCTTCGAGGGCTGAACATAGATTGGGAGCGTTTCATATTCAACTTTTGGGAGGGACTTGGTACGATTGCTAGAGAACAATCCAATACACGTCCACTCTGCACCTACTGGTATGGGAGCACTCTCACTGCCCTTTCGGATTCTTCTTTTGTCGCCCCACAATATGTTCAGCTTCTGAGTGGAGTCTTCATTGTGCAGGGATCGTGTAACTCTACTTTATCAGGTTAATACACATTGACAATGGGGCTCAAATTATACCGAGGGGGGCTAGCTGCTTATTTGGTAGGTAGACACTACCAAGGTCAATGAGAGACTTCTGCGGCCAACATTCAAAATAAGAGCTTCTACGTATCGGCGGCTAGGGTTATCTTTTCACTCCTCGTAGTTGAAAGGAACCACTTGGTCTGTTTCGGGATGTGGCTGAGAGATGGACGCTAACAACGAGGGAAGATGGGTAGAATGGAAGCAAGGCGGAGTTGGAAGAAAACATTTTTACGTGTTCAGCCCTTAGTGGCCAGCCCTCATCTATCTCCTTCTGAGTGCCACGCCCACAGCGTGCAGCTCACAGCCCAGGGAGGCTTTTAGTGACTGCATGGTGCCGATGACCACTTCGTCATGGAGTTTAAGCCGCCTGAAGCCACTAGAGTCTACTAAGAGCTGGATCTCAATGGACATCGAGTCGCGACGGCCGTTCAGCGCCCATGCAACGCTCACCAGCTCCCTTAGTGCACCGCGAGGGGGTTGGATTAAGGAGGTTACCTCACGGTCGCCCGCGGACTCCGTCTCTACGCAGCCCTGCTGATAGCCGAACGATTTACAACCAAGACCTTCTGGCGTGCTCACTTCCTCTTTCATTACTTCCACCAATTCTAGAGTATCTTGTGTAAGATAATATCTCTCCATCTGCAAATAGTTCAGACATCTTTTGGTCCATTAATTGAACCGCCCTTTTATTCCACCTTCCTATGGCGAGTGACGATCAAAGCCTAAACTATTGGAATCCAAACGATCAGTTCGACACTGGAGCAAGCGTTGCTAGTTTATTCTCCGAATATACCGGCACTGGTACTCAGGATTGGGCTTCCTACATTGCTACGACTACCCAGTCTCGGCCTTCGTCAACATTCTCTATCTCCAGCACCACCTCAACAGTGCCTGTCACCATCCTCACTACGATAAACGGCGATGGTGCCCCCGTCACTTCGACGTATTCGCTCGGTACTGCCATAGGTACAGCAAGAAGCGATTCCGCCAATCACGAAAGTACAGGCTCAAACAGTGGGACGTCCGCCGGCATAAAAGCAGCAATAGGTATTGGAACCGTGGTTGGGATACTTGCTATTGCCACCCTCGTCTTTTTCTGTCGGAGAAATAAAAGGAGGAATGAAGAATCCACCACTGGCAATGAGAAGTTAAGGAGCAAATGGAGTAACCATTTTCGAAACTTCACCTTCGACAACGAAATGCTCCTGTCCGAACGAGACAGTGTCCACACGAGACGCAACGAGCGAAGCGTCATTGGTAGCATACGCCATACAAATGCCGACATCAGCGGCCCGCACCACAACGTCTGGGACGACCCAGTTGGCCAATCTCCAAACGCCATAGAGGTGCCGCTGCCGATATGGATCGATACCAACGGCCAAGGTACACTAGATAGGTCGGTTTCCGTTCGAACGCAGGCCACACTGCCTCCGCCCTATCAAGCGGCTGCTACTGCTGCTACCGCCGACTTAGCAGATTCGCCTATTAGCCCTGCCTCAACGCATCGCAATACTTTTTTTGACTCCCGGTCCAACAGCCCCATCTACGAACGAGTCAGTACTGACGAAAACCCTTTTAGCGACAACCACCGCTATTGAGCGTAATAACCCTCACCCGAGATGGCAATCTTTTGGCACGGGGACAACACCGCACTGGATCGTTACTTCATTATCAGTTGGACGGCTACGCTGGGAATGGGATATTTTTTGGTTCGATTGCACGAAGTCGATGAATACTCTGACAACACCAGAAAAGACCGGAGCCACGACCAAATCTGAGGCCTCAAGTGCGTTTACTCGGTAAACCATCTCTCTGTGACTGAAAAGCTACGGATCTGTCTGCAGAGGGGGGGTTTTTTTTTCCGCCACTGTTGAAGCATCTGTTGACGACCGTCAATCGCCTGCCATCCTTGTTGCTTATCTGCGTCAAATTCGATTTGAACACGGCTTTTCTTCACTGCATCCCGTTATTTACGTTTACAAAACTTTACCCTTTGGCTCTGATTTTGTTGGGATTATGATAGATGGCCATTTTGAGGCACTACGGAGGGTCCTTGCTCGTGGAGAGGCAACTTTGAGAGATAGAGATTTCAGGGGAACTTCTTTGTTACATGTAAGAGGACTGTAGAGAATGGAGTTTGCGGTTTTGCTGATGGCTAAAAGTACGCACTCAGGTGGGCCACAGGAGGAGCCAGGGACATTTGCAGATTTCTTGTTCAGAATGGGACACTCGTTGACGAGATTGCTCCGGAGCCTAGATCTAGACAAGAGTTCACGTAAGTTCACACATGAGCGCAATAGTGTAAGAACCATCCAAAGAGCACACTAAATTACTCTATTTCAGGCCGCCAATATGTGTGGTACATGGCCTCCCTGACGACCGAGCCTCATGCTTTCGTCTCCTTCTAAATGCGGGGACAGATTATACTGCAGCGCTCTGCAAGAACATATACTAGTCGCGCTTTGAATATCGATGTCATGATAACCTCGACATCGACTCAGTGAGTATCCTCGTGTCTCAGTGAAATTGAACCAAACCAGTACATTCCAGGATTTTTCCGAGCTAATACTGAACAATCCCATATCATTCATTGACCTTGAAGCTAAGGACAGACGGGAGTTGCACGATGTCACTTTCTTTTGCCTCCGAGTGGTCCAAATTCAGCGACCTCGTACCTTCCTTTCGCCTCTTTTCCTTACGAAGGGCGCCGATATCAGCGCTTGAGACGGGAATGGGAAAAATTGTCTTCGACTCGCTCTTGAATGCCCGCGGAATGGAGAGGAATATGAGCTCTGTCAATGTATCGTCCTCTTAATTGGGAGTGGTGCAGATGTCCATTCTGTTGACCGATGTAGCGTTGCAATATCGGGTTTTGCTTACAAAGGCCCTGAAGGGATGGATTTGGGCTCTCGCGAAGGTGACCTGTGGGATGCGGCATTGTTAGAGTGCGGTTACAACGTTCGACACATGCGCCATGGTCACCACCGACTGCAGGTATATAAATCGACTTGGTATGGGGGATATGGGCGCCATCCTCTCGAAGAGCTCTGGAAAGGCCGAGAAGATGCTTGTTCGTACTTCCACGAGCCGCCTGTTTGGTGTCCGCGGAGCTCTTCGCCGTCTGGGCGCTGCCCCTTTGGAGGAGATAGCGAGCTCTGCCCCAGCGCGGGGGCGACATCAAGTCAACACCCAAACAGCTACAAAGCACGTATGCAAGACGTGGGCGAGTCGGAGACCGATGATCGCTATGGAGGGGACGACATGATTCAAGAGAACAGCGAGAGCAAACACCTCGCCAATGACAGCCAGGATAGCTATTGCTCCGAAGAGGCTAATTTCTCTGGCGTTGGAGACTCCCAAGAACGCGAGCAAGGTCTCAGAAAGGAGGACGTGGAGGTCGACGTGTTTGACGGCCGCGATAAACCATGGTCAAGCACGGCACAGATCAGGGAGGTCGCAGAGGAAGATCCTGCTGCGGAGACACTTTCAGACTCATCGTTTGAGTACTACAACGCTGATGACGGGATATGAAGGAGAACAAGATTCAGTCTTTACTGGTTTGGAAATTTCTCCTTGGATTGTGTGGCCGTCTCTCGTTCAGACAGGTCATCGCAGACGCTTGGCTCTTCTATGTTAAAGGCGCTCCGATCTCCTCCCTCGTAGTGCCTATAAGGATTCGGAATAGGCAAGGAATCCGACAGAACCTCAAAACACTTCCCAAGCGCTAGAACTAACTAAACACGTCGACCGCGATAGGGCAGACATCGCCGACAACGATTATCCCTCTCCCAGAATCCCCGGGAATCGACAGACTTCCCAATTATAGGAAACCCGAGAATACGATCCACAAGCAATTGGTGCCTCACAATTATAAAGGCGTGGAAATCCCCCAAGCCTTCAGCATTCAACCCCAAGGGGGGGATGCTATATTCGTTGTTATACTCGGTGTAGTGGCTCACCCAGCTCCAAAACTGTTGGCGGAAGTTCTCATCATGTGCTTGACCAAAGCTAGCCCACTTGATGAGATGGCGACCGACACCGATGCGCACTAGCTGGCCTCTGCGCTCGTCGTGGGCCAGGTAGCCGAAACTGGCTCGCGCTAGGTCCCTCTCGTACTCGAGACACCAGTTCTCCATCCGCTCGAGTTTGAGACCGCTGCTGGCCTCGCTATCGACTCGGGTTAGGCAATAGTCGAGCCAGATGTGGTCGGCATTCTCGCAGGAGAGAATCGCCCCGTCGCGGCCGCCCGGGACGGGGAAAGAACCTCGGAAATCCATGCCAAAGGGGATCTCTGAGACGGCGTACTCCTGGAGTCTCTCGATGAAGTGCCATAGCCGCTTATTCTCGCTCTTCGGAAGGGACGGTGGGAGTTTGACTGTAAGGGACGCGGCATTGCGAACGCGGAAGAAGAGTTGTAGGATATGCGCTATGTTGGACGAGCGGTAGTGGTTTTTGTCCTTCTCTGCCCCCCCGCCCTTCTGAGTTGCAAGCAGTATGCCATCTGCAAAGGCATGGCAAAAGGGGATGTTTTGATTCCATTGTCCCCAGCGGCCCCGTTCGCTCCACACGCATTCTCGAAACTCGACCACGATCGGTGGCAGTGCCGTGGACTGGCGAGCCCATGGGATCACTATTTCCCAGGGACTCTCTGGCAATTTGTTGGGATCTCTCCACTGCGGGAGCAAAGCTGCCAAAAGCCTTTTGACCCGGTACCAGCAACGCATGAACTGTCCTCGGTCGCGGATATCAGGGGCGCCGATCACGATGCGAATCTGGCCGAACTGGTCGATGGGCATGGTGTCGAGTAACTCGGTATCAGGATGGACCGAGCTGACGTCGATCGTATTGATGGCATCACTGTTCTCACTATCACCCCAAGGGCAGCCGTCTCTGTTGAAAATTGGGATTCCGGGATCGGCGTCTTGCGGGTCGATATGGAAGGATAAGACGAATTTTCGGCGGTAGTGAGGAAGCGATTCTGCGTAGAGTCGCTTGCTGGCGCGGAGGAGGCCGGTGCTTCTCTGGCGCACGCATTCGGCGTAGATGAGGTTTCTGATCTCGGGGGGCAGCATGCTAAAGGCTCCAAAGGGAGAGGGCGGCGCCGATGCAGTGTGGTCCAGAGGTCGTCGCTGCATGATGGGAGCTGGCAGTTCCGACTGGTCAATGGAATGGTGGAGCTTGGGTTTCTTGAGGATGGAGGGGCACGTTCCAGGGTGAATGCTAAATAGATATAGAAGAAGCAATCTATATAATCAGTGAGGCTTGTAGCTCCGGCTTTGAAATGAGCTCTTGCAACTGTGAGCAGAGAAATGTATTCATATATATATAGAGAGAGGATAGGCAAGGCTGTGGCTGACCTGGAGGTCCTCAAAGCCAGGCATGTGAGATGCGCCAAGACATCCACTAGCAAACCGGTAGAACCAAAAAGTCAGATTGAACAAGGTGGGCCTCGAGCCAGTAAATCGTTTATATTTTGTCATGCATGTCCTTAAGAAAGTTACCTATGTAGGCTAGGCTTCTGCCCAGAGCACTTGAGCCTGCCTCATTCGGTTACACCTTTCAGGGCCCAAGCTCGCTCTCATAGTGAATCGTCGCGAACCCCGTCCGGCGGGGTGCGATGAACTCTCTCAGCTTCTTGTGCGCGGCGCATCCTTTGTCGTAATAGTCGACGTCCTCTCGCGACTTGAAGGTCGTGACGGCTACCAAGGTGTAGCCCTGACTTCGCTCCTCGGACGAGTTGAGGACCCGCGTAGCCTCGTTGGAGAGGATGTATGGATTTCCATCCTAGATAACATAGTTTAGACATTGTTGGGCACATACTGTGGGTCAGAACCAGGAAATCAGGTTGGCGCGAGATCCATTAATGGAAGACAGACACACACACAGAAGGAAGGAGGGAGCCATGCGGACAACAAAACTTACTCTCTGCGCACTGGTTCGCATGACTTGGTATTCTGCGAGGATGGCGTCGATGTCTTCCTCCTTGGGGACCTTGAAGAGGGTTATCCTCTTAACGCATTTCGATGACATGACGGTGACTGCAAGGATCTTTTCCTTGTCGCGGGATGGAGTGAGATGTAAACTACCAGCAGAGAGTGAGAATAGTATGTACATATACTTGTAGTACACAAATCAGTGGTGGGGGCAGGCTTGGGCAGGTCTCTGGGGCTGTTATATACGTGTTTCAAAGCAGCTTCCGATGGGCGGAATTTCCCCCGCATCAAAGTTCCTCATCGGATCAGGGCGTATTACGTGGCTTGATGGGGACGAGAGGATGGGAGTTGATTACATAAGGAGACCAAAATCAACTTCTATTTCTGCGCGAATGCACGACCGTAGCAGATTTCTAACCTTTCTCGCTTTGTCGCTTATAAGTGTGGAACCTCCAACACCGACGGCGACGCACAAAGTGGGCTTTCCAACTTTGAAATCTCCAACTCGATCTACAATCGGGGGGGGGGGGGGGGGCAAACCAAGTTTTCCCGACCATGAAATAAGCGATTGGTGAGGAACTTCAACGCGCCGCCATGGTATCGTTTTCTCCCATATGATGTAAGAAATAATGTCGTACCATCCGGCGAGCGGTGCCATGGTCCTAATCTGCCCAAGACGTCACTTTGGTCTCTGTTTCTTGCAGTGGCGAAGGGAACATTTCTGTCTCTCACTCTATATCTACACACGGTCTATATACCATGAGGCGACGCATTGCACACCCTAAAAAAAAACCAACCGCTAGAATGCACTCAACACGATGAGTGACCCCAACGCCTTCATTAGCAATGGGACGTGCTATACGGCGCAGGGGGAAAAGTTGGAGGGGAGCTTTATCCCGTGTGGCAACGATGCGTTTGGACACCAGACCTGCTGTGGAGCAGGAGACAACTGTCTCGCTGACAACGCTTGCTTCGGTATCCACGGTTCTGGTTATGGTAGCTACTTGACATATTGGGCTGGGTGTACCGACCCAGACTACGAAGCCGCAACGTGTCCCAAGAAGGTCGTTGGTGAGCGAGTGCCGTTTGCGCAAAAGTCTGGTAGGAAACCTCCTTTGACTGACCCCTTCTTAGACCAGCCGTGGATTGCCCTCACGCTTTGCGACAACAGCGATGGTGAATGGGCCATCTGTTCGCAGGACGGAAACCCGTCGACCCTCCAGCCAGGCTCATACTGCAGCTGCACCAATGCTGCGTCGGCGACAGTGGCGTTCAGCGATTCAAACACCCTTACTAGCATATGCTCGCTACCTAAAAGCACCGGACAGAGCATACAATTCTTCGTCGGCCATTTTCCTAGCACTTCCTTACCCACTGCGCCATCACAGGTATCTGCTTCTCCCAGTCCTAGTGCAAGCGATAGCTCCACTGGTGCATCAGGCTCAGCAACAGCTACGTCCCGTCCAACTTCCACGAAAGCGACTTCTACAGAAGCTAGCAGTAGCTCGGTCACGGTATTCACTGCAAGCGGCAAGACATTCACGTCTTCAACTGCAGCCTCGACGACATCTCCAACCGCCGGGGCAGGCGGAGCCAGCGGTGCTACCACTCATTCAGGACTCAGCTCAGGGGCCAAAGTGGGCATCGGGGTCGGTATAGGCATTGGTGTGGCGATTCTTCTCGCCATATTATTAGCCCTTTTCCTGCTTCGTCGTAAGCGTCGAAGGCGCTCGCAGTCAAGGGTTGAGGGCGGCGGCAACGGCCCCGGGGAAGCGCTCCCCGATCCACATCCATCAGAAAAACCTCCCAGGTCTCCAATGTCAACTGCGCCTACCGTCTATGACGCGAACGGGCAGAAAATGCCCGAGGCTGACGGGCGGACGGCCTTGCCTTGGGCTTTGAGGAGCGAGCTCGAAGGGACTCCGGCTTTGAGGAGTGAGCTCGAGGGTAGCCCGGTGACGAAGAAGGCAGACCCTGGTCCCATTGCCGAGTTACCGGGGAGTGAGAACTTCGCGGGTGCGCAGGGGGCGGCCAACACGCTGGTCCAAGAAGCGAACCGCCAACTGGGTCCCGGATGGAAAGGACCATCGTTGAGAGTCTTGAATAGTGGCGTTGGGAAGGAGTATATGCAGGCTTCTAGCTAGCGGCTCTATATCTGTTGCACTATATACGAAGTACAACGTCACATAATGAAAGCGAATCATGCCTTGTACCTGGACCCCACAATTTGTGAGACAGGAATGATCACTCACCGGAGCAGCGCCGCTTTTACACTCTCTTTCCTCTTACCCACCTTTATCGATGCCGAGATACAAAGGCAGTATGAAATATAAGTTAGGAATAGAGAGCACCAAATGATCGTGATTGTCGACGTCGGAAGCTTTGCAGATCCGCCTCCTTCTTCCTCAGAGACCCAACCGCGTTCAGTATCGGTTCTGAGAAGCCCGATCCTTTTGTAGGTCTGCAAAGCCTTATCTAGACACTTCAGAACCAGATACCAACCGGTGACCACTTGCATACAGTATACTGAAGTTGAGTGCGAGCGTCCGGGCGAGCGTACGGGCTCGTCCCAAAAGCAAAAGTATGCTTTGCCATCCAACTCCACTGCGGCTGAATGAAAGCGCAGCCACACAACCTGTTCTCGTCGGTAGTGGCCCAGCCGCGACACGTCACAAGTGCTCGCCGGAATAATTTCGCCGCTGATGATGAGCTGGCCTTTCACCACCTGGCCATGAGGGTCCACACCAGCCAAGTCGCACTGGATTGATTGGATTCGCACCCGAGACTCCTTGGGGAATTCATCTAGGGATGGCATTGTGACAGAGTTCGCAGTTGACGCCCATGACCATGAAGGATATCCCGAATCTTTCGGACGCTTGGACGATGGTTGCCGGGCATACCAGCAGAGGTTGTGGGGCAAGTCTGTTTCCCAAAGCCCAGCGTGGTAGTTTCCACCTTTGAGGGCAAATGTCTTTGCAATCCCAGACAAAGCCGGTAGTCGGTCCTTGGCTTTGGTAAGCCGTAACTCAGTGTATTTGTTGACCACGGTTGTCCAGGAGTCCAATCGAAATGACTTCTTTGGGCTGTTCGCGCGGCCATCGCCTAATACTCCACACTCGCAGGCGGTAATGGTATTGCATTCCCATATAAGCTCATTCCGTGTGAAGTGGACGACGCGTTGAGACAAGAACCTCTCTTGAAACACCCAGCCTCGTCCCAACAGTAGATCCGGTGGCGCCTTCAAGTTCATCGGTGTCATATCCAAATGGCGCCACTTCCGTCGAGCAAATAAATCAATAAGTTGGGAGCCAACTAGGACTTGGGCGATTTTATGCGGTTGCCATTCGGCTGTTGCAAAGCAGCCGGCATTGCTGGCAGCGCCATGTGTCGCAGCCAAAGTGACGTATGCGCCTTCGTAGACCTCTTTCATCTTGGCTGACTGTGTCTGCCAGTCATTCTCGGAATCTTGAATAATACACACGGAATCGATCCAGATGTAACCCAAGTCAAGGCCTCGAGCAAAAGTGATGGCATCTTGGAATGTCTTTGGAATCTGATCCCATGGAATTTCGCTGATGAACTCCTTATAATTCTCTGATGTTGTTTGTAGCTTGACTTGGTCTCCCCAGCAATGACTCAGAGCAGCGTAGCGAGATCTTTCTCCTGTCGTCTCATACAAACGGACTCTCCCTTCATTGATGTAGAGAACTCGACCTGGGAGTGCCGGGTCATCACATTTGCCGCACGTTGAATGATTGTGAATGCATTCTCGTATCATTTCCTTTGCAAAACGAAGAGCCCCATCAGATCCAGTACATCCTGAAGCATGTTCTCGGACGCAGGTTCCGCGAATGGCTGTCGATTCTGTTAGTCGCCGCCCCCCACTAATGCTTTTGCAGCACGGGGTAGATGAGGAACAGCATACTACTTACACATATTTGGAATAGTGTATAGGTCAATCTGAGCGACTGGGCGCGTCCCATGAAGTACCATATCGCCGTCATGGCGACCTCCGGGAAACTTCAAAGAACCGCCTCGAACACCGTTCATGATCGAGCCTAGCGAGTGATAGTCAGGCCACGTAGTATTCCTTGTGGTACCTGTCACGGCTGCTATTGCACGGGCTCGCAATCGGCAGCATGCACACTGCTGCTGAGCACCTTCAAGCACGCTTTTGGTACACCTCATGGACCAGTTTGGTTTGATAGTGCGGCATGATAAACTGTGGTTATAGAGGTCCTGCTTAAGCATCACAGGTATCGTTTCGTTCGTAAGTTCATGCAAGGCAGTATCAAGGCCGGATATTCGCCAGTCACGATTTTCATGTTCGTCCTGCGGACATACTCTCTCGATGTCATGAGTAGCTATATTTTGAGGCTCTGATTGTGACATTTTGCTTCCCGAAAGTGAAGCAATGGTCGATGCAGTTCGACTTGTGAAAAAATGGTCTAGTTTTGAGCAAAGGAGATGAGCCTGATTCATAAATCGCGAGATCAGAGAGTGACTCTCCTTCACTCCGGAGGCACGACGACCTAGCAAGGCTGACACAGTTGACCTATCCGCGCCAAGGCAGCAACGAATTTAGCCTAGTGAGCCCCTGCGAGGCTTACCCTGTTCAGGTGAGCCGAGGGTGAGTACGGAGTAATATAGGTAGGGCGGCATCATCCTCGTCCCAATCCGGAGTGAAGCGCAAGCTGTTTCTGTTCTTGTTGGGGACTTGTGGGGATCTCACTATTCAGGTAGCGTCCTGATAGTCTTCGCGTAGCCTTCCAACGTCGATGGGTCTTGGCTGTGCAGTCGGAATTTGCCATCCTTCGTTGCTTCTACTGAGGGATAAAGGATAATTGCGCTGTCTTTTTGGTTATTGTCCTTCCCAACCTGGTGTTGTTGAACACCAACAGGGAGAATCGGTAGGATTGAGGATTTCCAGACTGGCATGTGGGTATATTGTGTGGCCTTTTGAAAAACGGTCACTGTCAAGAACAGAACTCCCGAAACCACGACCAACACTGGGAATGCAAGCCAAGCCCAGCGCACATGGACGAACGACTCAATGGTGGTGACCAGCCCATAAATGCGATATGTTGACAGATTGTGCGCCGTATATGTAAGTTGAGAGGCCATGTCATTCATCGTGGCCTCGAAACCCCGATTTGAAAGAACGTAGGCCAGGGTATCGGATAAAGCGTAATAGGGCCATAAAAATAAGAACTCTCGGTTGTATTTGTAGAGGGATTAGTCATCTGAGATACCAAGGTCTGCGTAGTGTTTCCCAAAAGGAAATGTTCTACTAAATTGGGCAAGGGCTGTATATGGGGGCTCGAATGTTGAAAGTGATGCTGGACGTTCCGGACATCGACGGAGAAGGCAGCGAAGTGGACCATTGACTGCGACCGTCACCGTCTACGGCTGATGAAAGGGAGCCGATGCTTAGGATGAGCGTTTCCAAATGCCCTAATGATAAGGACATGGAATAATCCTGGACACATGCAGAAAGTCGACATTCAGTCGCGGATTGAATATGCGGCGCTATATCTGCTCCATTCTTAACATCGTCTTCGTTGTATCCCAATTCGACCTTTATCATAGATACCGAATCTGGTGGAGCGAATAAATTCCGGAAGATCAGAGACCGTGGGCCAAGGATCCAGATTAAGACTTCATTTCCCCAGGGGCTAGAAGTCCTCGTTGCGTATATCGGTTGTGGCTGTGCATCACTGATGGAAAGGTTACAGCTGTGGCTAGAAGTGTTCGAAGGCGCAGCAGGATCAAATGAGAAAACACAGTCGGCAAGGCTGATAGAGGAGATAATATCCCAGCAGATGGAGCGCCAGGATGTACTGTAGAATCGTGGCCATGTGTAATTGCCTGTTGGACAGACAGCATCTAGTTCTTTGGGGCCGGAGAAGATTCCGTGATAGATGGTCTGCAGCCAAAACCCCGCCAGATATGTATCCAGACCTGGAGAATCAGCAAGTATTGCAGAGTAGTTAACAGTGTTGGCAATTTCGCTGGTTAGATTCTGGGCTTGTTGAACCTATGGCTGCGATGAATTTGTATTCGCAGGTCTGGTTGGATAAGTGAGCAGTTGCTGAGCAAAGGGGTCAATTGCAATCAAGCAAATGGTGATGAGAGCGCCAGGTAACGCCAAAGATCCGACATCTGCCAGAGCAGCCAAGTCGTACAGCACCTAGTGGTCCTCTGCTGCCATCATCGAAGATTTGCAGATCATAGCGACGACTGTTGTTTCGACTGAGCCAATGCCACTGGCCGACGCCACGACAAGCGCAACGAGGGATTGGGAAATAGTGGCGAGGAGGGATATGATGGCATTGAGCTGTGCACAAAGTCAATCCGAAGCTATTCGAAGAGCCTTCAGACGCTCAGCTTACTGTTATGCCATAGAAGGAACTCGGCACGGGCTCGTTGTCGTCGACAAACAGGATCCCAGCAATCGCTGCGATGCCCACGATGTTGATAATTGAAGGAGCAATTTCAGGAAGCTATGATCTTGCCCAACATCGCCGGGGCCGACTGGGAGGGTGACTGATTCCTTGCTTGCCGAGGAGTGACAGGCTGGTGATTTCCATTCGGAAGCTCTTGGGTAAGATGATTGTGTTGGCAGCTTTAGCGTATGACGGCAGCGCGGACAAGTGGGAGGCAGTCGCAAATACTTATGGAACTCTATGGGCTTGCAGGCACCGAGATGCTCTTGATAAGGGGGTGATGCGACACAGGGCGTTTTACGTTTTACCGTGGATGATGCAGATATGAAACGGACCGCACAAGGCTCTTTCAGAGCCTGTCAAACCGCATTCAAAAATAAGTGGCACAGTGCGACAAGAGTAGAGTAATTCACTGTTGGATCGGAGGAGCTCTGCATTCACATTAGTATGTTGGTTATCCTTAGGAATAGCGGACTTCTGTCATTCATCCTATACTGTTAGTTGTATCTAGTATAGCGGCTGCTTCGATATTATGGCGCACTCTCGAGCGATGTACCTCGTGTTGAACTACCACTGATTTTTGAATCCGGCTTACTGTGTATTCATCAGCCGGGGCGTAGGGTACCATGGGTGTACACTCGGTGTGAAATGTGCCCAAAAGCCTTGCGCTTCAATTTAAGAGCTGATGGTTGAAAATAGAGCATAGAGCAAGCGGAGCACTCTGGACTATATTTACAGATGCTCATCCACAGTGGTGATAGTTGTCTCCTCGCTCCGAGGGTTCGGATCTCTAGATATCGCAGAGAATCCGGTGAATCGAAGAAATCTGTAGGTGTGTCTACCTCTTCTCTGAGGTGGCTGGAGCAAGTGAGAACGATGTTGTTGGAAGATTCGAAAGCTGGTGGGCAGCGAAAGTTTATGCAGTCTGGTATTATCAAACCTAGGCTTCACGTGTTTATAACCCCAATCGCGATCCCCTCACGCCAGATACTTGCTGTTAAGGCTGCCATGTCATGACTTGAGTGAAGGAGGGAAAGAATAACAAAATTCTAACTACAAGTGGTGGTGGTGGCTCGTGGCAAGCTCGTGGCTATGTACCTCGAGGCTGTGGCTGGAACAGAGGGGCGACTCGCCGACTACAGTACAAGTACTTGTAACAAGTAGGTAAAGTACTTGCAGGCTCTCATGACTGCTGACTCACGTGGCTACTAGGCTGCACATCGGGGCAGTGTCGCTTTTGCCATGCCTGAAGCCCTTGGCATTCAATCGCCGTCACGTTCAACTCCGATCTTGCGTCTTCTCTCTTTATCAGCTCAACCATCCGACCCATCACCCCGCGCCATTATACCTGGGACGTCTTGTCCCTTCCTACTCTCCTTTCCGAGTACTGGTGACACATGTTCAATACTTCTCTGCGCCGCGTGGCGCGCACTTGCAGCAATGCACCTTCAGTATCCTCTCGCCCGGCCACTCCTACGATAGCATCCTTCACCTCCAACACTCATCAGCGGCGGCATTCCTCTTCAAAACCGCCCATACCGCCCAAAAATGGCTCTTCCGCAATCCCAGCAGCTTCGGTAAAACAAGTCGGTGCTCCCCGATCAGAATCGAAGCGCCCGGGCGCCGAGTCGCGCCTTTCGAGGAAGAGATCCTCCAAGGACAAGGTTGACAACAAGGATACCCAAGATGACTGGACTTCCAGATTACCCGCTGTCCCAAGTCTAGAGCACTTGAACCCTAAAGGTTTGCATACCCGATAATTAGGTTGTCCCAAGCTGATCCCCATCGCTAGATGTCTATGTTGCCTCCTTCTTCTCAACCCATCGACCCATGTCTATTTCCGGACCTGTGCCTCCAGAGGCATCGATAGAAGCAATCGACAAAATTTTCCAACCAAAACCCAAGTCAAGATCACGGACTGCGTCTCAAGACGTGATTTACACGCTCGCTTCGGCCGTGGAAGCTCTTGATGAGCATATTGCTCAAAAGCAGGCCGATCAAAACTCACAAAATGCCGAGCAGAAGGCAGCTCTGATCAAAGCTCTCATGCAGCGCAATGAGAACCCTGCTGATCCTAGTCGAACACATCACCTCGACGGCGCTCCGCAAACCATCCACGTTCCGGGGGGCAATATCAAATTAGTCATCCAAGAAATCCAACGAAGGTTTCGGCCCTTCAATGTCCCTCCTGTCCCTCGACCCATCAGCGATGCTGAGATCAATGCTAGCGAAGAGCAATATGCAGCCCAAGCTGAGAAGGAAGAAGAAACGCAAGCCAAGGCGCTGGAAGTGGAAATCGAACAACAAGAATACAACGACCCTTACATTCAACAGGTTGTTATCAACGTTCCTCGAGACTCGTCGGACCTTCAAAATGGAGGCTTTTTCACCAGCCGCGGCGCTCCCATGATGGAAATTGAGAACCCAGATGCATCGTCCTCTGTCCAAGAGATCGAACATCATACGCCGTCGGGAAGAAACGGGATGATCGGTCGCCGAAGGCAGATCGGCTCTACTTCAGGAAAGAGAAGGGAAGGGATGTATGCGATCAGCGTTAAGAGACAAAGACGACTGAAGATGAAGAAGCACAAGTATAAGAAGTTGATGCGCAAGACGAGGAACTTGAGGAGGAAGTTGGGGCAGATATAATGCCACCTGATGGGGGAAGCGGAACTCGATGTTTATTTTGCCAGTTTGCATTGCTTGCAAGGAACAAACACCTGAGTTTTAGACATGCTTGGACGAGGGGTTTTACACGTTGTCATTGCATTTCAAGCGGGTCGTGCAGAGTCCTTCCTGCTTCATCGACTCTCGGTGCAACAGCAGTGCGAGTAACGAAATCGTCGGTTAAATTATTGCGACGCAACGCAGACTACATACAGCCTTCCTTGAATTAGGTACTTGATCCTCAGACACCCTACAAGAATAATCTCTTCGCTCTCTCTTTTGGGACTCTTGGGTCGATTTTATTGGTTCGTTCCTGTCTTTGTCCACCTGGGCACCTTTGGAATTGTAAGTATTAATACGGCTATGAGGACGAAGACGAGTTCGGAACAGGAGGGACTCGTGCACGTCTACATGGGTTCCGACTTCGGACTTTGGCACGCCTCCCTAAGTACAAGTCCTACAAGTACTCCAAGCGTGCGAATGTGTAAATCAAGTCACCGGACGAGGAATACTCCGTCTGGACTCCGTATGCACTCCGTTGCAAGCACAAGTACGGCGTCCTTGAAGCAGGAGAGAGTACATCACAAGGCTTCCCTCGCCTTTCGCGCAGTGTCCACCTCGCCCAGTGCTTCTGCAAAACTATTATCCGCGTCCATGCCCACGTCTGCCGCCCCGTCCTCGTGCACGGCGAGAGGAAAGAAGAGACCAGAAGCTCTAGCTAGTAGGGAACATGCTTGTACAGGCACAGGAACACAGAGGTGCTTTTAACTCGAATGTATCACCTACTCTGCTCTGCTGTGCGTTTCTGCCAGCTCGTTACAACTTTTGAAGGAGAGTCCTGTGGCAGAGAAAAACGAAGTACCCTGATGCTCTTGCGACCCACTACAGGTGCTTATATGGAGATAGGATCGAATCAGGAGGGGAAAAGAAACGAGAGAAAAGTAGTTGCCCTCCAGGCGTAGCAGAGGTTAACGAGTTCAATACAATATACTATACTATCCGTAGCCCTAGCCCAGTGAGCGAGCAATTAATTTGCGCCGCCTGATCTGTGATCAAAAAGCTCTAGCATTCATACATCAAAAGTATTCGGATTCAAGGACAAGTCTGTTGCGAAATAGCTGTCCCCGGTGTGGGTGGTGGTTGTTGTCGGTTCTCGGTGGTAGTTGACGTTGGTTTATGGCTGACAGAGGAGAAATTCGCAATTGCCAGTCTCATTCGATGCGTCCCATGTACGGCCTCACTTCATCTTGATCTCATCCTTCTTGTCCTCAGCACTCTGCCCTCCTCATGACGCTCCAGCGCAGCCGTCATCCTGTTCTCCCTCCTTCATACCCGCGCTCCTCTCCCAGTCTAGCAGGTCACATCAGTCTGCGCTTTTGAGTTCATCAATAGCGCAACAATCAACCCGTAGAGACCCAACACCTCGGCGAAAATGAGGATGAGAATCATGCCGACGAACAAGCGAGGTTGCTGTGCAGTGCCGCGAACGCCAGCATCACCAACAATGCCAATCGCGAAGCCTGCAGCCAGACCGGCAAGACCGACAGACAATCCAGCACCAAGCTGGATGAAGCTGGTGAAAAGTGCTTCTTTTTGGGAGAGATTGTCGGAGATCAAGACAGAGACGACCAGGCCGTAGATACCAATGATACCGGCCATAATGACGGGGACAATGTCTGTTTGTGTCAGTTCCTCTGGTCGATTGTGTTCGGCGGATATGTGGGCTAGAAGGCCATACTCTTGACAATGAGATCAGGTCGAAGAACACCCATTGCGGAGATGCCGACGCCGGATTTTGCGGTTCCATAGGCGGCGCCGAAGCAGGTGAAGACAATGGCAGAGGTGCAGCCCATGGCGCCAAAGAAGGGCTATTCAACATTCAAACAGTCAGCCCTCTTCCCTTCCTGGATAGCTTTTCCGGCGAGCAGGGAGTGTGATGGTAAAGCGTCATTGTCAATGAGGCGATTCAGTAGGATGGTACAACATACCGCATAGACGGGGCTAAAGAGGCAGTCATATTAGTACATGTATATCGAGAAAGAGATCAAATATGATGTTGTGCTATGTAGTAGCTCCGTCCAACTTATCGAGTAAACCGGCGCAGGCTGAAGGATACCAGGGAACATGGGGGGCAGAAGCAACCACGTACCAAAGATCGGAAGACATCTTGACTGGCTTCTTGATTCGCTCGGGATAGCTCCTAGATCAATCAACAGGTGCTTGAATAGTCCAAGGGAGCGAAAAGAGCTTGACGGCGATGATGGAGTCGAGCAGGAATCGAATGGCTTTTCAGTGCTGAGCAGGAAGATGGGTGATGATGTTTCCAAAGGTCCGAGTTTCGAAGGGGGAAGCTCCAACTTGGCAGCCCTCCGGCGAGGGAAGGTCAGCCGACCTCTTCTGCGTCTCCGCCTAAACTTTTTAGAACCCCCAGAATATATTTTTTTGATATACTCCTCACCAACACTAGAGTCATTTAGTGTGACCTGCTTTATTGCACAAGCAAAGGGCGAGCCAACGCAAGGAACCCTTTGCTGCAAGCTTGTACTCATCCATAAAAACCTTTTCTTAGGCTTAAATTTACGAAACATCTTCAAGCACGTTCCATCGAGAATTTCGAAACACCCGACCCAGCAGACACAGATGGCTGACAACCCGAGCGCTGCGTGGCCCTTGGCCGACGAGGCACTATCCCAGAAGATTCTGTAAGCCCTAGCCTGTATTCCTCGGACAGCTCTTCAGTCCTTGACCCGGCAACACAGCACTAACCGGATGTTGTAGGGACACCGTCCAACAAGCCTCCCACCACCGCCAGCTGAGAAAGGGCGCCAACGAAAGTAAGTTCTCTCCATTCCTCTGTCGCCGACTCATTCCTAGAAGACTGACCGCTTTTTTTTTACAAACAGCGACGAAAACTCTCAACCGCGGCACCGCCGAACTCGTCGTCTTGGCCGCCGACACCTCTCCCCTCGCCATCCTCCTGCACCTACCCCTTCTCGCAGAAGACAAGAACGTACCCTACGTCTACGTCAATTCCAAGACAGCTCTAGGGAGAGCATGCGGTGTGTCGCGGGCGGTTATTGCGGCGAGCATCACGACCAACGAATCTAGTGATTTGATGCCCCAGATTCGCGAGTTGAAGAATCGGGTGGAAAGATTGATGATCTAGATTGGACGACTTGGAAAATGGAACATGGCGCCCAAGATATGGGGCTTGGAGGGCCATGGTATCGCAAGGATTGCTGTACGAGAGTGGAAATGAGTCTGGGGTGCTCTGGCATATTTCCAGGGTAGGATGATGCTGTAGCATGCAAGCTGATCCCTGCAAGAGCACAAGTCACAGAAAGTGTGAAGACATGATTGTGCAAAAGCAGAATCTACAACACCACAAATGAAACTTTATTACAAGAGCAGTGATTGATTAATGTCCATGATCATAATTCAATCGGCACTGAAACCACCGCCGGGTGACATATGCTTTGTTACATTGAACACCGATCGTCATTCATGCCCCTTCAACCCGCTGATTATTGAACCTGAGGATTCTCGTACAGAAAAGCACCACAAAATGCATTCGACATGGAAAGCCTTGGGGCCGCGCCGTCTGTGCCTTGTCCCGTTAAAATCGTAAGAATCGTTGACAGGCAGCGCTCGAGATACAAAGCTCATGTCTGTCCCAACGCCATGACATTTCCCTGTTCTGCACCTTCCATAACCCGTCTGACATGGCCCTGCTCAAGGCGTCTGGCGTTCTCCCTACCCTCCTCGAGTCGCTGCACCCCCAATCTTATGTTCTCAACATGCACCGCGAGCGGGATCTCCTTGTGTCCTCGCAGCACCTCGGCGCTCGACACCCTGGTGCGCAACTCCTCCAACTCGGCGCCCATGGCCTGCAGCTTGAGGATCGTCGCCGAGACATGCGCCCAAGCGACTTTTCGGTACTGGCCGACTTGTCTCAGAAGCGTCAGTTGGTTGTTGTACTTGCCCAGCTTGGCGCGATTGCCGCCGAGGAGGGTCCAGAGATGCGACAGGATCTCGTCTTTGCTGGCTTGAGCGGAGACGTTGTCGCGCAGTGCGATTGCGTGGATCACGTCGAGTCGATCTTCGAGGTTCTGCAGGACCAGGAGCAAAGCTTGGGCCTCTTCGATCAGGCGCTCAATCTCTTCGGACACTATCCGCGTATGCGAGATGTATTGGTCGAGAAGCCTTGCTTCGGTGAATTGTATTGGTTTGAAAGGCGCAAGAAGCTTGTCCTGTATGAAACCTGGGATGATGCCTCGGGAAGATTGCTTGACTGCCATGTCATCAAGCACACGTTGTGTCCAGCGCGCCGTGCTCAGGACAATGTCCACGCCGCGGCCGACGTGCGAATTGAATTTCTGCAGGTCGTATGATGCTATGCGGGCCGTCTCGATAAACCCATCGAATTCGAGGACCATTTCATTGCGCGAGGCGAGCTGCGAATACCGCACAATCTGCCGCAGGTCTCGAATCGAAGTCTCAGATCGTTTCATATCTAGAGGCAAAGATACACCAGCGGCAGATTCAGACATGATTTCTTCAAAATGAGATTGCGTTTTCATTAGGGCATCAAATTCGACAGGAGCGGAAGCGCTGGCAGGAAGAGTTGGTTTGTCATTGTGGAGTGAGGTAAACTGACAGAGTGGAAGATTAAGAAGAGACACGCCGGGAATGCGACATATAGGCGACAAAGCTGTATAGACTGATGTCGTCAGGAGGTTTTGGACAAGCATCAAGATGCCGAAGAAGAGGTATGCCGCAAGAAGCCAGGAGATGGGCCGCTTCAAGGTCTTCAGCGTCTGCCCGAGGACATCGAGGGACCATTCGGTGGCATGCACCAGTACAAGAACTATCTTGTCCACCACTGGCGACGCCATTGGCGCGGGCGCCTGTGTTTGATTCGATCGACCTGACCGTACTAGGGTTCTCTGCTTCTTTGACTGGGCAACTTTAGTAGTAGTGGGAGGTTTAGCCATCCGAACAATTTGCTCCGAAGGAGTGATAGTGGTTCTCCAAGATGGCATAATGAACTCTGGTTCTGGTGATGTCGGGGTGGACAACCTAGGAGATTTGCGTCGCTCGCGGATAACTCTTGTCGTCTCTGGGTTCTGTATGTTTTGGAATGTGGCCTTTTGTTCTTCGTCGATGTCCGACGCTGCGGAATGTTCGTCCCAACTGATGCTCTCATCGCCTTGGTCCTCGACCACCCACGATTCGTCTAACCGGGAGTTGGATGCATGCGCCATTTTATACCGTTTCAGCTCGGCCCGTGCAAGAACAAGCATTACCTGTTGCGAGGGTGACACTCCAAGTTCTCGAGCGCACTCAGCCTTGTGTCAAGAGTGATGGCCGTACTTGGTGGCGGGAAGTCATTTTGACGGCATTCAGGAAGACTTTCCGTGAGGCGTTATGTAGAAATGATTGAAGTTGGGTCTCATCAGGGTCTCATATGGTCTTCGCCACTCTCATATACCAAGTCAAAGAAGCGAATGCCATGTCACCGACACGTAACAGGTCGCGTCAAGGCTCCATCCATTCGCCATCCAGAACAGACAAACGGCTCGGGAAACATTCCAAGTGCGATGATTACGTCATATTTATTGGCGCCCAGGCACCAAGCATGGCTCTTTAAAGGCCAAGCGAGCAAGGCTCTCTGAGGCCATTAGGTGCAACGATGACAAGACGTCCTGCTCGGCGACAGTTCATCGTGCCCTTCACACACTACAGAAAGTTTTTTTTTCCTCTTCACGAGGGCGAAGCAAAAACTTAGACATCATAGCGTGAGTGAGAAAACATGGTCATATTGAAATCTTTCACCAGGTCAACGTTGGTTCGGCCAATAGAATCCAGCGGCCCACAGCCCTATATGAACACGGCATCCGCACTCCAATGCTGCCGCTGGGAATAGAACCGAGAGATGGATCAGAACCGGCATTGAGAAATAACTCGACAGAAACAACAGGACAAGGGTTGGTTCAGCATGGTGGACTGAAGTGCTGTACCTAATCCAATCTTGGGTCGTTGGACACCGATGCGGTCAGAGGCCAGAGATATCACCATCTGGTGGATCAAGATGCTCCGCAAGGAATTTGGGGATTCTGCCAACAGTGCGGCTTCCTGCCGGTCCTGTCTGCCTCTCTTCATTCTTTGCGCTGCTTTCTTATGCAGACGAACATTCACCGTGTTCGCTTGAGGATGGGACGGCAGTTGGCATCTTTGTGAAAGACTTCTGACATGCAATTCGAACCAGTATTTTTGAGAAGCAGGAGGTCGCTGGATCAATCAACCTGTTCTAAATCACTCTGTAGGGCCATCCCGCTCGTTTAGACGGGCCTGATCCGGAGTTTAAGATTTGAGAGATCTCTGTTCGCAAACCTTCAAAGCCACTGTGACTCAATGGGAGGGAGGAAGTCGCTGGTTCTTTCAAAAGTTAATCATTCGAGTGGATGCCAGAGAAGTTAATCAGGTCAACTCCTCAGCCTCAACAAGTACTTATAGCGCCCTTGTCACCCGTCCTTTGGAAGTTCTCTTTTCTTTTTCCAGACTCTCTTACCAAACCATTTCAACAAAACCATTGTGAACGAAGCTCACTCCATCGTCACCATGGGTTGTATTTGCAGCAAGAAGAACATTGTCGAAGACACCCCTGCTCCCCGCCCGGTCAACAGGCCCTCTCAGTCGACCTCGTCCAACCAGCACACATCTCCTGACCGAACCACGGCACCAGAGATGTGGAGAGACTACTCGCCTTCGTCAGATCAGGCATATTGGCGAGCTGTACGCTTGTATCTGGACCTTTCCTCAGAGACATCGCTCAATCGGGACTATCACCGAGCTGTACGCGCGGCACTGGATCTGTCGTCGGATGCTGTTCAACCACACACTGCCACTGTCAGGGTCCCTAATTCCTCTCACAATCCGCCAGAAACTTCCCCCTCTCTTACAAATCCTATCCCTGGCAGTGCGTAAGGAGTGCTCTTGCTCATCGCAGGCGCAATGATTCAGGTCGTGTCCCCGTACTGAAGGTGGTTTTTCTTGTTGACGACGTTCTCCTGATGGAAACCAGAAACAAGGCCAGTTACAGAAACTGATATTGTTTGTTTTGGATGGAAGCCGGGCTCTCAGTTGGTTAGAGTGAAGGCAAGATTGATGGCTTGTTGCACTTTGTGACGAGTATGAGTGCTCTGCCACCCGTGTTCTTCTTTGCTGCGCCGGTGTAATTGAGTCTCCTGGAGTTTTTCACCTATACCCAAAAAAATCCCAAAAAAAACTTGAAAATTCAAAAAACCATACCCTTTTTTCATCAATGTCTTTGCCTTGCGCAAAGCCTTGGAGAAAACAGCCCTGACAACATTGTCTTGGTTTTTGTGTTCACTTTCAACCTGCTGTTGTGATGATCATGGCCTGAAAGTCACACCTAGTCCACCTGGAGGGCGACATGTTGGGTTTCCTGAGGTCCCACACACAGAGTCCTCTCACTTCGTCCTTAGCTATATGCCGGTATATCATGACCTGGGTTTGTCCCCATCTGTTGCCGACCTAGGTTTGCTTGCTCGTCTGTAGGGAAGCTGTTGATGAGCTGCCTGGTCGCATGATTCTCTAGGTACTGAGCGAGTCGGTTCCCAGTGCTGCCCATAGTACCGACCTCGCCCAGTAATGCCTCATGGGGTCCACATCGGAGATTGACTGGATTTTAGAGCATCTTGGCACCGTAGCGTGACTCAATTTGCAGTGTACAGTACATACCGACTGCTGGAATCTTGGCATGGATTTTTCTTTAAATACGTCGCATTCCCCAGTCCCCTTTGAAAAAAGACATACTTGTGCGTTCTCCCCCAACCACCCCTTACCATTGACAACACAAGTCGCTAACATGATGATAGACCTTGTGGGAGCAACCTAGCTCAAGAAGTGGGTTTGCTATGGCGGTGTCCCTGCATTGCACATCGCGGTGGACGTCGCTATTAAGTGTCCTTCGGGGCTCTTATCCGCGTATTTTTTGGCCCCTATCCTTTTCATCATTGTCACTTTGCCTTGAGCAAAGCTTTGGAGAAGAGATTTCCTTAATTGCCCTTGAATGGGATCTGGCTCTAGCATAGTAGTTATTAGAGTGACCGCTGGCTACGCTGATCATGTTGGATGAACGAAAGCGACAAGCAGGTGTCGAGATCTCAGTTTACCAGTGTCAGGAGCTGTCAAATGGCGAAAATACGGAGCAAGTAGAGGGAAGCTCTGAAGAGCCATCCATAATCACTCCATCATTCGAGTTACCGTTGATGCGATGTTGATGATCATCAAGGGATTTATGTATACATGTTTTGCTGGGCGTAGGCAGCCGTTCAAAAACCAATGCACATAGCTAAAGCCGCCCAAGAGAGCTTCAAACGCTTCCACCGCCGCCAAAGAACACAGATGTTCGCAAGCTAACGAGCAAAGGAGTTCATAATCGTCATGGACCGTCCTACCGAAGATCACCTTCGACGCTCGACCGTCTGTCCTGTGTCAAGCCTCCAGCGGATCTCCACGATGATCGAAAGTTCTTACCAGAGGCAATTTCGACCCAAGTTGAGAACAATATGATACCACTGGAGGCTGGTCACTTCTTAAAATCCAAAGCTATGTTCGTTGGCCAGCCGAGTTTTGTGCTCTGGTCAGAAAGGTAAGCAAGCTCATCAAGGCAAAAATGCCTTCGGGAGGGCCTATCGACAAGAGATCAAGATACTGTAACCACCAGGAATGCCTTCTGTATTTCAAACACTGACCGGATACTACAGCGAAGACTTCGGCTGCGACCGAGCGTTCTTGAGCCGCCGGTTAATCCCCCGCAGCAGCTCTCCATGGCCCAAATACGGAGTTACCTAGGCCGCGGTGTGAGCTGCTTTTGGAGCTTCAGCCGAGGGTATAACGGAAAACAAATACTCAACATATGCAAAGGAATGCGAACGATGTCCTGACATCTCTGAACTCATTGCCCTCACTTTTCTGCATCTACCAACCTATACCCGTACCCGCTGTATCCAAAATGCCTCCCAGACCTCATCCACCTCTGCAGATCCCCGATTCCTACGCCACCCTTCCTCTCAAGCAGATCAAAGTCTCTCACGTCCCCGAATCCTCACCAACTCCGACGCCAGTGCTCATCATAACATTAAACAGACCGCAGAAACACAATGCCTTCACAGATCAAATGCGGGAGGATATGGAACGAGTGTACGAACTCATCGACATTGATCCACGGGTCAAGGTAGTTGTCTTGACTGGCGCAGGAAGGAGCTTCTGTGCTGGGGCTGATCTGGAAATTGGGTTCTTGGGAGCAAGAGATGAGACTGGCCAGGTCAAGAATCCCAAAACTGAACGTGATGTGGACCACAGAGATGGGTACGAGAGATAATTGATCACACGAAGCCGAGACTGACATGTTCACGCAGCGGAGGGAGAACTTCCTTAGCAATTCACCACTGTTCTAAGCCGACCATTGCTGCCATCCAAGGTGCAGCTGTTGGTGTGGGCATCACCATGTGCTTACCAGCATGCATTCGAATCGCCTATGCCAAAGCCAAGATTGGCTTCGTCTTCAGCAGACGCGGGATCATTATGGAAGCCTGCTCCTCCTACTTCCTGCCCCGGTTGATCGGTCACTCCAGAGCACTACACTTGACGACGACTGGCGCCGTATATCCTGCCGACAGTCCGCTGTTCGGAACTCTCTTCTCCGAGACATGTCCAACTCCAGAGGCCACCTTGGCTCGAGCACTCGAGCTCGCTGACGAGGTAGCGAAGAACACATCGACCGTGTCAACAAAGGTTATGAGAGAGCTTATGTACCGAGGAGCAGATAGCGCAGAGGGTGCCCATCTTCTTGATTCGAGGATCATCCATGGCTTGTTTGGCAGCAAGGACAATGTCGAGGGTGTTGAGAGCTTCCTGCAGAAGAGGCCGGTTAATTTCACCGGGCAAGTACCTCAGGACGCTCCAGACGGGTATCCTTGGTGGAACCAGATTGATGTTGGCGAGAAAAGGCCCGATCCCAGAGGGAAGCCTAAGCTATAGATTTGAGCATGCTACATAGCCTCCGATCTGAGTTTCTCCGGGAGACGAGATCTGCTTCACACAGAATTCTAACAAACCTCGCAAATAGCCGTTTGAGTTAGTTTAACCTGCCCCTTTGAGGCAGGGTACTGAGTCCCGAACCAGAAATCAATTGGATGCGCGTGCCTTTCTTAAGCGAAAAGCAATCAAAAATCCATCTGCAGCTAGATCAGTCATTTGTGGCCAACCTTGTGGCTCGCAATCTTGCCGAGCAAAGCAAAGACCATGCAGACCGTGTCACCGCCGCTCGGGCCGTCAACACCGTTGCTGTGCGATTTGATAAGCAATCGGGGCGCTAGACGGGGCTGGGGGGCGTCTTCTCCAGGCCATTGGCGGAACGTCGATGTGGGGGTGACAGGAATCTTTCTGAGACGCGGATCACATCATCACCAACCGCCATACAGATGGTGCAGACATTGGCGACCAAGATCCAAGGCCCCTCTGAGATTGGAAGACCGTTTCTTGAATTCGATAAAAGCTCTGGGGCCTGCCTTCTCCGTCTTCTTTCCATTCCTCCCTCCGTGACATGTCAATTAGGCCCGGTCGACTCTCCAGGCTGTGTGCTACACTCAACCGAACTCCGATTCTGGCGTCTGCAAGGTCCCTGCACATTGAACCGCTGCGGCCGGACCCCGCTTCGTCCCCTGCCTCTGTCTCGAGACTTGCGGGCCTCACAAGGCAATTCTCCTCTTCCTCCTCGAGGATGGCTCCGATCACGAAGCAGTATGACTACATAGTCATTGGTGGTGGATCGGGTGGGAGTGGTGCTGCCAGAAGAGCAAGTGGATGGTACGGTGCAAAGACATGTATCATCGATGCAGGTGTATCAGGAGGCTGCTGCGTGAACGTTGGGTAAAGCAAGAAGCCTACGAATCGAGTGAGGCACATATACTGATCTACCATCCCAGTTGCGTACCCAAGAAAATGACCTGGAACTTTGCGTCCATCAGCGAAGCCATGGCAGCAGGCAAACACTACGGCTACAAATTCGGCGACGGCAACTCCTTCGATTTCAAGACTTTCGTCGAGAAGCGCGATGCCAGAATCAAAGTCCTCAACGGCGCCTATGAGAATAACTGGGCGAAAGAAGGCATTGATTTGATCAAGGGCCAAGCAACATTTGTTAGCGAGCACGAGATGGAAGTCAAGCCCAAAGATGGGGGTGAAGCATTCAGGGTAATGGCACCGCATATCTGCATTGCGACTGGATCATATCCGACAATCCCGGAAGGGATCAAAGGCACAGAATACGGCATTACCTCCGACGAGTTCTTCCTGATCAAGCATCTCCCCAAGAAGATGGTGTTTGTCGGCGCAGGTTATATCGCGGTCGAGCTTGCAGGTGTGATGAACGCCATCGGCGTGGAGACGCACCTGTTCATCCGTGGCAATACCTTTTTGAGAAAATTCGATCCCATGGTTCAAGAGACCATGACCAAGCATTATGAAGAAATCGGCGTCCACGTACATCGAGAGCATCCCGGTATCAAGGAAGTCATACAATTGCATCCTGGTAGCGCAGACGGCTCCGATCCTCGAGAGAAGCAGCTTAAGTTAATAATGAACGATGGCTCGGAGATGATCACCAATGAACTATTATGGGCAATTGGGCGAGGTCCAGAAACGAGGGGATTGGGATTGGAGAATATCCCGATGAAAACGAACAAAAACGGTCATATTGTGGTGGATAAGTATCAGAACACATCCGTTGAGGGTGTTTATGCCCTCGGAGATGTTACAGGCCAGGTATACGAAACTCCAGATCACCAAAATGGATGTCCTTCTGACCATTGAGCCAGGCCGAACTTACACCCGTCGCCATCGCCGCCGGTCGCCAACTAGGTAACCGCGTCTTTGGCCCTCCTGAACTCAAAGAGTCGCACCTCGATTACGAACGTATCCCCTCTGTTGTTTTCTCGCACCCTGAAGTCGGCGCCACCGGCCTTACCGAGCCCCAAGCGATCGAGCGCTACGGCAAAGAGAATGTAAAAGTGTATCACACGAAGTTCTCGGCTATGTACTACGACGTGTAAGTGATTATCAGCTGCCCGGGACTTACAACCAGAGAGACCTAGGGATTCTGGACTAATTGGATTTTATTAGATACCCACCAGAAGAAAAGAAGAAAGAACCGACAGAATTCAAGATCGTGTGTCAAGGTCCGCGCGAGGAAATCGTGGGTCTGCATATCCTGGGCCGAGGAGTAGATGAGATGATGCAGGGCTTTGGGTGAGTGCTGACTACTGATTACCAGTCTCCCCCGTGGCTTGTCTGGAAGGGATACCTGCAAATTTTGTTTCGGTTGGTTCTGTGCTGTGGCTAACAGTGCAATCTTCTAGTGTTGCCGTCAAAATGGGCGCAACAAAGAAAGACTTTGATAGTTGTGTTGCTATCCATCCGGTACGTTTTCCATCGTCATCCCTCCCGATCTTGCTGTGCCACTTGGGAAGTCAGACTGCTTACAATTAGAATAGACCAGCGCAGAGGAACTCGTGACAATGAGGTAGAAAATCCAACCGTCCCTGTGACCTTTCTCCGGGCATAGAATTTTGCTTAGATGGTCTTAATGAGGAAAAGAACGGCATAGAGCAAGCTCGTCTTGGTACATAACTAGGTATCTTGCACCCGTTCGGCTACACCTCTTTGCACTTCCAGAGACCAAGAACGCCGCGTCTGCCATCTACACATAATTAGAGTTGTGTCGACTTTGAGAATGCGATTGCCAAGACAGCATAGACTTTCAAACTTGGCCCGACGTTGAAACCTTTCCTCGTTCATATATATATCTCCTGAGTACAAGCCACTTGCGTCCTCTTCTTTTTTTCAAGCACTCCTCAAACCCCCTTTCCACATGTGTACAAGGGTTTGTCCTTACAGAGCCCATACCCTCTCTGCCCCACTAGCATCCCTCACTCCGTACTTGTTCATGCGCCCATACCACAGCCTCAGCCCGGCCGTAACGGCGGCGACGAAGAAGCCGCAGGCCGCGCAGGTGAAGTTGCCGGTGGGATAACCCTTGTGGGCCTCGTCGGCCTTCCAGATCCACTGGGCGATGATCTGGCCGATGCCGGCGGAGCTGTTGTTGAGGGCAATGGCGAAGGGGATGGTCAGGAGTGACGGCGTGTTGCAGGCGACCCAGTTCGCCATCGAGGGCGCGACGGGAAACGCTCCACACGCTGCGAGGCACAGACAGCCGTACCGCGCGCCGTATGCGTCCGGCGGCAGGAGGCCCGCGGCCAGCCAGCCCGTGGCGCCGACCAGCGAGGCCAGCGTGATATGCACGCCGCGCGCGTTGAAGTGGTCCGCACTGTACGATAGCGTGATTGCCACGACGAAGCCGACGCACCACGGCGGCACGGTCAGGAGTTGTGCGTGGATCGACGTGTAACCCAGACCGTTGACGATAGTCGGGGTGAAGAATGTGAACGAACCTTGTGGGACGACGTCGGCGATCTGTGAGTCAGAACGGATTACACGGTCAGCCTTCCGCTGTGAGATGTCTCAAGATGGCGGGCCGGACTCAGGGGTCGAGAGGGGGAGAGAAGGGGAGGGGAAGATAGGGCGGGTAGCTCCTGATGTGTAGTAACGGGTGTGTTCGGTCGAGAAAAGAAGAAGGGAGGAAAAGAAAACTCACGTATGCAATGTAATGCGCTAACATCCTCGGACTGAAGAATGTCGCAACAACCTCCTTTCTCGAAGCATGGCTCCTGAGATAGCCGCCTCCTCTTTCCTTCAACCGGTCCTCTGCGAACCGCTTGTCCGACTCGTTCAGAAACTTGGCGCGGGCAGGGTAATCAGGGAGGAAGAACAAGAAGGACGCCGAGATCAGTGTGATGATACCCTCGATGATAAACAGCCACCTGAAGCCTTGGAGGCCGGCGGAGCCGTTAATGTGGCCCACGCCGTAAGCGATTGCGCCTCCGAAGGCACCCGCCAGGTTGCAGAAGGCGACAACGCAGGCGATGCGGACGGCGCGCTCGTTGAAGCGGTACCAGATCGTGATGAAGTAGACGATGCCTATAGCCAAGGAGAATTGGGAAATCAGTCTTCATGATCTTGGGATTCGGCGGGACCAACTCCAGATTGTTCCACCGGAATGGTTTCTGTTTTTTTTCCCAACGACAATTAAACCAAAGAACCAGAGGATTCTAGCATCCCTCCTGCTCCATTGAAACCTGGGGGAAACCGGGAGCCTCGTTACCTACCTGGGAAGAAACCGGCCTCAAAGACGCCGATCAAAAACCTCAACACAACGACGGTAGCATAGTTCTGCACGCCGGCAAACCCAAGTGTCAACGCGCCCCACGCGAATAGCAGGAACGCCAGCCACAGCGATGGCCGCACCCAGTGCTTCATGACATAGTTGCTGGGCACCTCGAACAGCGTGTAGGCGAGGGAAAAGAGCGAGACGGTGACGGCGTAGCCACCCGCTGTCATGTGCGTCTGCTGCAGCAGGTCGTCGCCTGTTTCCGAGTTGAGCACCTTGGAGTTGCCGATGTTGCCCCTATCGAGGAAGTTGAGCAGGTACACCCAGCAGCACAGCGGGAGGATGCGAATGTCCAGGCGCCGGTTGAGGCGTCGGTTGCGCTTTTCGTACTCGATGTGGTCGACGACGGCAGCGGCATCTTCGTCGCTCGACGGCGGCGATGCGATGACCGGTTTCTGTACCGACGAGGTCTTATTAAAGAAACATGGCACCTCATGGGAAAGGTTTGTGAGGGAATGCCGGTGTATATGTAAGTGTGCTCTGCTTACCTCTGGACTTGTATCCTCGCGATGCTCTGCGGGCAGTGATTTCTCCATTTTTTTTTTAAAATCTCTCCCTCTCTTTTTTTGCTCTCTTTCTTTCTTTTCCTTGCTTTTCGAGATAGAGTCTGAGCTGGGCACCTACCTGGAACTAGGGAAATCCCAACAGGCGAGAGAAGAACGGCTCAAGGAGGGGGCACGTTGCATCTTCACTCACCTTAATATCATCGGCCTCCGGTGGCATTCGTGCGAAGATCAACTTCCAACGGAACAAACCCGATCGGCAACAAGGCCGTCATGCCCGGCTCGTTCATCTTGCATCACACGTTCTGGCAGTCCGAGACAGGGTCAGGGGCCCCATGGGCGAGTCGGCATATGAGAAATGAGGGACCAGAAGGTGATGTGGGATGTGGTATGAAGATCATACATGGAATGGCGTTGGTGGCGTTGTTGCTTAGACCAAGGGATAACTGCGGGCGGCGCGGGGAAGATGCTGTGTGGATGCTCAGTACAAGGCGGAGAAAAAGAGCCTATTGATGCATTGTCTCTCTAGTGCAACGGTGAACCAAAGGGGGGCAAAGACCGAAGCCCAGACCCGCTTCTCCAAATATTCCTACAAGACGGCATAGTAGAGTATCGCTTGGATCATCCTCTGCAAGCTGGTTGGGTCTCACAAACAGTCAGACTGTGAGCCCGGGTATTGGTGTGCCGAATAGTCCATTCATCTCATGACATGTGCTGGAGAAAACAGAAGTCAGACAAACAAACAACGATCCATCGCATGAGAACAGACACGAGGCTGCTTCATCCTACAAACACGAGCCTGTTACATCGTACAAACACAAAACATCACGTCGTACCCAGCTCCCAACAACCTTTCAAACTCAGGAGTATGCATCAGAATCTTCCTGCTCTTCCTCACTGAGGTCAACATCGTCCTCCATGCGCGCATAATCTAGCATCCCGTCATCGTACTTCCCCTCAGTCCGATGAGGGATGATGCTCTTCTCAATGCCAAAATCCCGAATGATATCCTCCCAGACGTCAAAGTCAAGTGTGAAGATGGCTTGGTTGCGTTGTGCCTCCTGCCTCTCTTCTAGAGTCTTGAGCTCTTCGAGGCGCAGCGTCGGCAATCCCTGGCTGTCGAGTTCCAGAGAAACCTTTCCTTCCTTGATCAGAAAGCTCACGTAAAACATGTTTTCGACTGTCTGTCCAAACGATTTTGGGTTCACGCAGAAGTTGAAAAGAGGCAAACCCCCGTTGTCAGCTATTACATTCCTCTGCAGGATCTCTCGCAGGTCTTGGTCCGAAAGGTCTCCTGTTGCGTTGCGGACATCTGCTTCTGCATTGGCTCGGCTTGTAACCATAGCCTTTTGCAGAAGCCGCGCAATCTCGGTGCAGATCTCAGTGAGACTTGCCGATTCTTGCCTCTCCAAGTCTCCGTCGTCAAGCCGGATCGGACGCACTGCTTGTGTGGATTGGGTACGGGCGTCTTGAGCCCTCCGCTGGGTTTGTTGCCGGACTTTTTTCTGCACCGATAGAGGACCAAGGAGAAAGCCAGTCAAGCAAGGACGTGAGTTGTACAGGAAGCAGGCATTCTTCCCCAGATACTCCCAATTCATGGTATCGCCTTCGTCGTCTTCATCCGCTTCCTGACGCCGTCTTCGCCGTCGACCTTGAGTTTGAGTGCTTGGGACTTCATTCTGATGACACTTGCCTGGCTCGTTACCCTGTTTCATAAATACAATGCATTTGGTGATGAAGTCGTCCACGTCAATACAGGTTGTCCCATCACCCAGAGTCATATTGTTGATCTTTCTGGACGACAGCGCTGCAGTTTCGAGGAGCAATCGCGAATCAATTGTGGCTTCCGAAGTTTGCTTGACATTCTTGTAAAGTTCATCTGCTTCTCTGAGAGTCTCCTCGAGGCCTTTCGAGTCAGGCCGGAGATATTCGGCCTTGGAATCGTTGAGTTTCGCGAAGAGACTGCGCAAACCCCTGCGGACTTGGCGTCGTTCTTCGGGATTCTGGTCAGGATCATAGTATTGTTGGGCCGATGGGGTCTGTGATTCTTCTCCCCCTGTTCTCCTTCGCTTTCGAGAGTCGCCTGGAGTTCCACCCGACATATGGACTGCAGGGCTCGTTCTCTTCCTTTTCCCACTTGTACGACGACGCTCGTTCTCTTTATCGGAGCCGTACGCCTGAGTATCAGCGGAACGAGCGTGCGAGGTATCTGGTGTATGAAGACTGGGAGAGCTCGTGAGCCTCTCGTTCTCGGTATCAGAGGAGTCTGCGCGGGTGTTTAGACGGGCCATGGTTGGCGCATCGCCAGCAGAAGCGAAGTCAGAAAGATGTCTGTTTGCTGCAGCTCTGGCTGGGTTTGGATTCAATAGGCGCGGTTGGAGTTGCCTCGACTTTGTCTATAGACTTAATTTTGCGAGCACACTGCATTAAAGAAAGTTATTGGATGAGGCGACAGCAAACACGTTGGACCTTGGGAGGGGTTGAGGCTCAGCAAGACGCGGCGACGTGATCCTCAGCGTGATAGGTACGCTAATCCAATTTAGGTTAGCATATCAGCCTTTCCTTTTACTGCCCGCCTTGTTCATCGTCTGTCAGGCTTCACTCCTGTTTGATGTGGTTGTGCATCGTTTGTCCATCGCTTGATGGGAACTCGCTACTTTAACAGCTTCCCAGCTTTCCACACCATGGACAGCTGGCCCTCTGACCTTCCATCATGGATACATACACCTTTGCAACCTCCCGTCAAATAGACTTCCCAGTCTGTGTCAGAATGTGAGTGTCTGGCCACCTCGCTCACAATCCTGGATCCGTCCCGCCCGTTGCCATCAAACTCCAGACTAAGTCAAGGCCATTGGCACTAATTCGCATATAGCAACACGTTGGAGGGCAAACAGCTTTCCTTCCCGTATAGTATCTTACTGAAACACCCGGAAATACGCCACGTTGGATCGGTCCAAAATACGAATTCAGAGCTGTATGTTACTGCTCAGCTATGGGCCGAATCCAAACCGCTAGGTGTCTCTATGCAAACGCCCCACACATTCTTCAAGAACAGCAGAACCTGGAATAAATGGCTGGAGTTGCCTGTTCTGGTCAAGGACTGCCCAAGTTCCTCACAGGTTGCTATCACTGTATGGGATATCTCAGCCTGCCCTGAGAATGGTAGCATCGATCACGCAGTGCCATTCGGCGGCACCACCATCCCGTTATTTGATGAAGATGGTACGTTGAGGAAAGGTCGCCAAAAATGCAAAGTCTATCGCCGGAAAGCTGCCGATGGTCAATCGCCTTCCAGGACGCCACACATTCCCCCTCCAAAACGTCGGAAGGCAAATGAACAGCCGCCTCCTCCTATTCCGGAAGAAGAGGAGCTCGAAAGGCTAGAGCAACTCTTCAAGAAGCATGAAATGAACGACATTCCTCAAAACGACTGGCTAGATCAGCTGGTCTTTCAGAATGTTGGGAAGAAAGCCCGTGATGTTGAACAAGCTGCACGAAAACGATCATCTGTCAACAGACCCCCAAAGCGCAAGTCGGCTGAGATGATATCCGCAGGATTGAAGGATACCGTGAACGGATACGGCGACGTTGACGCAGACACCATTTCTGATGAGGACAAGGATGATGATGAACGGTTCACTCTTTATGTCGACTTTCCCCGGTGGGATTTTCCCGTCATCTTTGAAGATTATGGCTATGAACCATCGAAGATGATGAAAGAGTTTTCAAGTACTCCTTCGGCTTCAGCAGTGGGGGCAAAACCTCCACCGGAAGTCCGATATGGTCCAGGTATTGCCCCAGGCACGTCGGTCGTTGACGACGAGGATTACCCTGTGGTCCAAATATTCGACCCCGAGCAGTTCCAAAAGGAAAATCCTTGTGAGAGCAAACACCGTCGGCTAGTTCGAAGCGACAGGAATGCATTTTCCGACAGTGATCAAAAGCCAAATGCCAAAATGAGAGACGAACTCAATGAGATTCTGTCGTATGGCCCTACGCAGGAGCTGAGCGCCCAAGACAAGGACGTCATCTGGACATTCCGACGACACTTGAGTCGTGAGAAACGAGCTCTGACCAAAGTTGTCAAAGCGACCGATTTCACCAATCCAAATGAAGTTCGTCAACTTGTTGAACTAATTCCTAGATGGGCCAAGATTGATGTTGATGCCGCCCTCGAATTACTGGGGCCGACCTATGATAACCCAGTTGTCCGTGCCTACGCCGTTGACCGTCTTCGACAGGCCGGAGATGCCGAATTGCAGTTGTACCTTCTCCAACTTGTTCAAGCGCTGAAATTTGAGAAGTATGAGAGCACCGAAGAAGGTCTTCCAGCTTCGTCGTTGGCGAAATTCCTCATTGACCGTGCTGCAAACAATTTTATGCTCGGGAACTACTTGCACTGGTTCCTCATGGTCGAATGTGTTGATCAGAGCACTGACACCAGCGCTGCAAATCGAGCAGTATTTGCAAGAGTGGAGTATTATTTCATGGTGGAGTTGGAAAAGCGCGATCCGAGTTTGCGCAAGACGCTGTTGAGACAAGGCGAAATGATCACGATTCTATCGAGCATCAGCAAGGAGATCCGTTTCAGCAGAGCCAATCGCCTGCAAAAGATCGAGTTGCTTAAGAAGACTCTGGCTGATCCCAAGAACGAGCTCGTCAAAATCGAGCCGCCAATCCCGCTGGCGCTCGATCCCGAAGTCCAAGTATGTGGAGTCTACCCCGATGAAGCCAATGTCTTCAAGTCATCACTGTCGCCGTTATACTTGAGCTTGAAAATTGCAAATGCCGCTGAGGGCTCGAGTGCATCAACACCACGAACGCAGACACACGGCAAATATCCCATCATTTTCAAGACAGGTGATGATCTCCGGCAAGACCAGCTCGTCATCCAAATCATTACACTCATGAACAACCTGCTCCTCAAGGAGAATCTTGACCTAAAGCTCACTCCGTACCGCATTCTCGCAACCTCGCCATCAGCTGGTGCTGTCCAATTCATACCATCCACAGCTCTTTCGGTGATCTCGGCGAAGTACAAGGGGTCAGTGCTGGCCTATCTGCGCGCCAACAACCCCGACGCATCTGGACCTCTTGGCGTCCGTAAGGAGACCATGGACACATATATACGATCGTGCGCGGGCTACTGTGTAATCACGTACATTTTGGGGGTTGGCGATCGCCACCTGGACAATCTCTTGCTTCAACCATCGGGCCATTTCTTCCACATCGATTTCGGCTTCATCCTTGGACGAGACCCGAAGCCCTTTGCACCGCTCATCAAGTTGTGCAAAGAAATGGTGGAAGGGCTGGGTGGCACCACGTCGCCGCAGTACGCGCAGTTCAAACAATTCTGCTTCACGGCGTACACGACGCTGCGCAAGTCCAGCTCCTTGGTGCTGAACCTGTTTAGCCTGATGGTCCAGAGCTCTGTCACAGACATAAGGCTGATGGAAGAACAGATGGGAGGCATGGGCGGTGCCGTGGGCAAAGTGAGGGAAAGGTTCAATCTTGATGTCAGTGAAGAAGAGGCAGTGAGGGCATTGGACCAGGTGTTGGCAGACAGCGTCAATGCTGTTTTTGGCGTGGTCATTGATAGACTCCATGAGTTTGTGCAGGGTTGGCGGGCATGACTTGGGCCTTCTGTTCCCTGTTCACCCTTGGCTTCCATGTCGGCATGAAGCTGTCAATGGAATGGGTTCATTGCTTTGCGGCCAACTTCAACACGTCATTCGGCACGTATTTCGTATTCTCCTTATCCATCTGAATCGTCCGGAGCATCACGATTTTCTCTTCCCTGCCGACCGTCTCGTCTTCAGGGAGGTACTGTTTCCAGTATCTATCGAAATATGCCCGGGGAACTCCGCAACGCAACCCATCTTCGACGGCCTTGCGGATGAACACGATATACTCCTTCGACATGATGCCCGGGGTCGTCCGCTCGACATCCACGTACGTCGTCGCTTCGACTTCTCCATGCTGCTCACCACCCCCCGTTGCTGCTGGCTCGACCACCTTCCCTTGGGAATCGAGTTCAATTCTACGAACTCTGAGCTTGCGCTTCACGTGCCACCAGTCGATTTCCTCGCTCTTGTCCAGCGCCGCTTCGTGCTGTGCCGTAAGGAAGTGCAGCGTCCCATAGACGACATCGTCACGATCCCCAGTGGGCACAATGTTCCCGAAGCCGGACTCGGCGATGATGAATTTCCAGCCCTCCAGCACCGCGAGGCCGACGTACAAGCTCCCGGGACAGCGTTGTTGGAGGGTGCGCGGGGACAGGTTGGAGGCGAAGCCGAAGTAGAGACAGCTGAAGGGAGGGAGGTTGGAAGTCTCTTCGGCGGGCGGTGCGTTGGTGGGTTTGGTCTCCATTTTTGGGTGGTTTAGGATTATGGGATCTTACCAGTTACGACGTTATATCGATGCGGCGGGGAGAGCCCACGAATATAACTTATGTTGGTCTATCAAGTGGACTTCTAGCGTTCCTGGAGGACATGAAATGCGATGGTTTTCAGATTATCAGTAATCATGGATTGTAATGAGCAGTGATTCCGTAGTCTTAGTAGTTTTTAGGTAGTAAGGTCAATGTTGTCGATGTTGAAGCTAAAGCTGTTAGTTGTTTGCCGCAAGCGAAGCAGGAAATTCAAGGCGGGGTTCATTTCTCGTTTCCCACTCTCATTTCTCCACAGCCATTATCGCCTGCCATCGCCTCACGTGTCGACATAAATACAACCCCGGCAGTCAGTTTCTCACCCAGCAGATTCACCGAGAATTACGGTAGCTACCTTCTCTATCTTCTCCTTACAAGCTATCCCAAACTTGCTCGCTCTCCAACAAAATGTCGGCCGAATCCCAACCCATCTCAGCAGAGCGATTTGCTCTGGCTATTCAAGACCTTCCTGCCGAGAACTTGTACTCCAAGGCCCAGGAGATCGAAAATTCGATTGCGCACCTCGAACGCTCAAATAGGCAACTTCAAGAATACATCGATAGTATCAGATCAGACACTAGCCTTTCGGAAAGTACGAGGCAAGAGGGGGACAAAGACTGCTCGGACGCAATCCAAGAGAACCATATCGTGATCGAACGACAAAAGGAGAGGGTAGAGCTGTTGAAACGTGAGGTTGAGAGAAGGGGAGGGAAGTGGCACGAAGCTGACACCAATGGGAAGTTGAACGGTGCTCCAGAGGAGGCGGCAACAAGTTCGACGGAGACGGAGCGGATCGCAGGTGGGAGATTGACGGACGAGGAGTTAAGGCGACAAATGATGGATCGGCTCGGAGGCGGCGACGACGATGATGACAACGAAGATGGAATGCATTTGTGACCAACTACCTGAAGCAAACATGGTCGAGAATGCGACACCACCGTCGCGCGGCAGAGTCAGCGTGTCGAAGCAATCCACGCATTTCCGCTAGCATGGTCAAAGACACAGCAGCATGCCCGTCGCAGTCACGGAATTATCTCCTTGCGACTACAGAACATTCATATTCTGGCAAATTATCGACACACGTCTACACCCACTCGAGACAATTCAGGCTTGCTCCCTGTGAGTGCTTTCGGGGAATGCAGCGTAAGCAGAACGATTGTACAAAGGCCACATCATCTTGCACGGAGGAAATGGTCAATGATGGCTCCGGATATTTGCACATGTGCTGTTGAAGCGGAGACGCGGAGTGCACAACATCCTAAAACTCTGTCCAACACACCCAGAAAATAGTCAATTTGCAGATATGCTAGACAACTCCGGAGTACTGAGCGAAGTTGCCTTGTTCTTTCTGGTGTTCGGAACTCCATTCGAATGAGTCAAGCCAGCAGATGCATGTGGCAAGGCGACCAACAGGGTCTCGACCGTGATTATTATTCAGATAGGGGTTGCAAAGGGCACGCAAGCCAGCTCGGAACCAGAACGAACCGACTGGCTGACAAACCATGGATGCAAAGGGGATCTTCATGCCTCAAACACGTGCAAGGCTGCGGGTCAGGAAGTTTGAGATCCAACACCAAGCGGCTCGGCCATCTCCACTCCCGCGTCATAGACTCGATTGTTCGCCAAATGAACGATGCGAGATCTCTTTGTCCACCTCTCGATTCCGGATACTTCACATACCGATTCAATCACAATCGGCGGCTTCTCATTCGCTTCCTGATCCCCGAGGTCCTTTCTGAGCCTGTGTGTTCCATGCCTGGAGGTCTGTTCACCCCCCAGTCAAGGTTTCTGTTGACGTCCGGCCCATGTCGGATGCATCGATTCCCATTATGAAGCCTCGAGGGTGTGAAGCCTGCAATGACGTCTATTAAATCTGATTTATGTCCTTCCCCCAGCCATGCCTACTTCAAGCGTGTTATCTGAACCTGGATCTTCGTATTGTACCCCTACCACTTAGGAACATGGAGGACCTCTTCCGGGATACAGTTGTCGGACAGATACTACGGCTTGTTACAGGTAGAAGGATTCTTCAATATCCCGAGGAGCGCGATCCTTCAATATGGCAGAGATATCTGAATGTCGAGAAGTCGGCCAACATGGCCATCCATGGCAGCACGGCTCCTCCTCAACAAGAAGAAAAGGAACTTCCTAGCACATCTTCGTCTGGTCCACCCACACCTCCGGCGGAAGAGAAAGAGCAACAACAAGGGATATCACCATATTATGACCAGGCCACGACCCCAGCCGAGGCCAAGGAACAACCGGGTCTGCAATCCGCCTCTCAACACACGAATCCCAATCTCCAAACGTTCTCTCGTCGTTCGTCGGGCTCGGCGTCAACAGCCAACGAGGTCGAACACGTCCTGGTCAATACTCTGAGTGGCACAAGAATCGATCCCGAGAAGGGACGGAACGCAGACATTGTGGACTGGTATGGTCCGGACGACCCAGAAAATCCCCGAAACTGGAGCCGAATCAAGAAGATCTGGGTCACTTTTGAGATCTGCCTGTTGACCTTTTCCGTCTACATTGGCTCCTCAATCTATACGGCCGGTATCTTGGACGTGAGCGAAGTCTTTGGAGTCAGTCGTGTCGCTGCCACTCTGGGTCTTACCTTGTTTGTACTGGGCTATGGAGTTGGCCCAATGTTTCTAAGTCCCTTGTCCGAATTGCCGCAGACCGGCAGAGGACCGATTTATATTGGAACTCTTGCACTCTTCGTCATCCTGCAGATTCCTACTGCTTTGGCGACCAATTTCGGCATGCTGCTGGCGTTCCGCTTCATCACAGGTTTCGTGGGATCACCTCCCCTCGCCACCGGAGGCGCTACAATTGGAGACATGTATTCTCCGGCCAAAAGAACATATGGTATGGCTGTATGGGGCATTGGAGCCGTGTGTGGGCCCGTCATGGTGAGTTCATCTCCTCTTCCCAAAGACCATGTTCCGGCCGGAATTAGCTATTGTTGTTGTACCCCCAATGCCGGTATAGGCTCACAAGTACTTGCAGGGTCCTCTAGTTGGAGGCTTCGCAGCAGAATCAAAAGGGTGGACGTGGACAATTTGGGAGTTGATGTGGCTCTCCGGATTCACCTTGGTCCTCCTGCTGTTCCTGCTGCCGGAGACATCTTCGGCCAACATTCTCTACCGGCGCACGATGCGCCTTCGCAAATTGACGGGCAACCAAAAGCTCATGTGTGAACCCCAACTGATCGGAGAACAAATGACACCGAGGGAAATCATAATGATGACTCTGGTCCGCCCTTTTCTCTTCTGCTTTACGGAACCGATGGTCTTCTTGCTGAACATGTACATCGCTCTCATTTACGGGCTGCTGTACATCTGGTTCGAGAGTTTTCCCATCGTCTTCAGCGGGATCTATGGCTTCAGTCTGGGTCTCGAAGGAACTGCGTTTCTGGGCATCCTCATTGGTGTCTTGATCACGCTCCCACCTTTTATCTGGTACCAGCGGAAATACATTGAGCCCAAATTCAACGAGGAAGGCGAGCTGCGACCGGAATGGCGGCTTCCACCTGCCTTCGTCGGCGCCTTTGCCATTCCAATCTGCCTGTTCTGGTTCGGCTGGTCTGCCCGGCCCGACATTCATTGGATCATGCCCATCATCGGGACGGCCTGGTTCTCCGTCGGTGCATTCCTGCTCTTCAACTCGGTGCTCAATTACCTGGCGGACGCGTATCCCGCGTACGCGGCGAGTGTGCTGGCCGGCAACGACTTCTTCCGGTCCTCCTTCGGCGCGGCGTTTCCGCTGTTTGCGACGGCCATGTACGAGAACCTTGGCGTCGGCTGGGCGAGCTCGACGTTGGGGTTTCTTGCCATTACCTTTATTCCTATCCCTTTCTTCTTGTTCAAGGTGAGTTGGAGTTTTTCTCCTTCCCCCTTTCCTCTTCTTGACGGGAGCCTGGTCCGGTGCTGACTGAACGCAACGCAACGCAGTACGGTGAGCGACTGAGGATGAAGAGCACGTATGCTCAGAAGGACTATTAGAGTAATAGAGAAGCACAGCCTGATTCGCTGGGCAGGAAGGACGCTGCAACAGATGGACATGGCACGGCTTCTGATGACAGTGATAGATACCCCTCCTCTCATGATATCCCTGGTTGCAATCGGATCACCTTGGCGTTGACTGTTGACAGGCCGATGATGGACGGGGGTCGTTGTACACAAGAAATTCTACCTATACATACACCTAGGTGGGCGGGCCAGTTCTCTCCTCTCGACTAATGATACATGCACTGCCTCTGCGTATATCAGACCCTGTATTTTGTAATTTCTTTTCAAGCGCCTTTTCCCACGTGGTTAAACTCGGATCTAGATGCTGCACGCATGCCCGTACACGCGGAAATCTCGAGACACAATGGCGACCGGGAACGGCAGCGGTGACTTTGAGCTTTTATCCTTTGAACTCGCGTTGATTTGCCTAGGTAGGTTTCTGGGGTTTGGCGTGTTATTATTATATGTGAATATATGTATATGTATGCGCTATGTACTATGTTACTTATGTTCCGAAGAGTCGTCTTTGAATTTGTCATTGTCGTCATTTCATTCCTGCGGGCCTTCATTTACAACAAAGGAAAGGAAAATGGGGGGGGTGCCGTTGGAGCTTGCGATGGTTTTTTTTTTTTCTTTCTTGTTTTTTTTTTCTCGCTTTTTTCGCTTTTTCTTTTCTTTTTCTCTTTTCCCTTTTCTTTTTTGAGACGCTCGAATGTTGGAAGGAACAATTCAGATGGCGATCCTCGCCACGTTGGTCGGTCTTGCTCTTGTGTTTGAAGTCGAAGTCGCTTTACAGATAGGTCGATAGATAGTGGATTTCTTTTTTTCTCTTCTTATTTTTTTTTTTTGGTTTCGGTTTTGCTTTTTTCGTTAATGGTGAGTTTGGCTGAAACAAGGGAGACGTTGAGACCCGACACGCTGATGGGGCCGTGTTTAGTGGCTTCACCAGGGGACTCTCCTTCTGCTTCCTTCCCTCGTGAGATTCGTTTCATCGAGTTCGACCATTTCTGGTAGCCGTCAAGTCTCGACTCATCCATCTACATGCTGTTGACTGTCCATACCACATGGCCATGTACGCTGCACACCTTAGACTTTAGTGCTGTTGAAGACATAGCCCGCAAAAACAGCCGTGACTTTGACGCTGTCGTAGAACCCAATGACCTCAACAATCTTCCGGGCGCCCGTGTCGTCCAGCTCTGTCCTCATCAGCCACGCATACTGCATGTCGTAGTTTGCACCGTTCTTGCCCACTACGCCCTGACTCCGCCAGTTCACCGTTGCCCAGTCGCCGTCGGCAAAGATGTGCTCGACGATCGGCACGGGGAGGCTAACCAGCACGTCTCGCAATGGCGTCAGCACTTTGTCGATGTAGACCTGTTTGCCATTGTAGGTGCCCGCGATCGGACTGCTTCCGGTAACCGTCCACACCAGGTCGTCTGACAGGGCAGCGGCGAAAGATGTTCCGAAATTGTCCAGTGCGACGGCTGTGAACAGGGACTCGATGAATGACCGGGTGGCCTCGGTCGTGCCGTTGACACACTTGTGTGGGAATGGGTGGGCCTCTGCCATCATGAAGCTCAGTCCTGCTGGCGCTGAATGTTTCGTCAATCGCGTATCAGTATCTCGTTGGTGGTGATGGTGGATGCCGTAAGAATCGTGATGCAAGTTGCCGTTGCTGTAGGACGAGGACCAAAAAGATAGCAGGACTTGCAGAACGGTGATAAAACAAACGGCCGCTCGGGCCGGGGACAGCATCTTGGGCATGTTTCCAACCCGGGGGCACCCCGGCTGGCACTGGGGAAAAACCAGGCCCTTCCAGTGGTGCTGAGCTCCGGCATTATATACCTATGGCACTGTTTCACCCGTTTCTCTCTCTCCCCTCTTTCAGCGTGCCTTCTAGCTAGGACTTCACCGACAATTGTGACACGTGGTGGACAGCAAAGCAAGCGCGCTCGCCAACACCGCCAGGAGCCTTAGGCTGTGCATTGGTTCGGTACCTAGCCAGACTTTGGAGTCGGTGAAAGGCAAGGGCCGTCGCGTGGAGGGTCCCCGATGTTCTAGCGGACATTGGCGAGCTCGTGGTATGCAGTTAGTTTTCTCGGGTGTCCGAACACAGACGACGTCGATAACACGACTGCTCAGAGACGTTGGAGGGGAAGTGCAACCGGTGCCGAATCGTCCAAAGTGCCTAGCAAGTAGTCGGTTAGTTGATATGCAGTCACGGCCTACTTAGAGTCATCCAGGTCAAGTTCAAAAGTTGTGTGGGTTGTGTGGGTTGTGTGGATGGTGCTGCTCGCAGCTCAACCCAAGTTAGAATGATGCTTGGATGATGGTACATAATGCTGCAATGCGGAGGGTCCCCGGAGTCGGCTCGTCAGGTGAGAGAGATCAATGGTCAATTATTTGGCGTCTGGGCGCGGCTTAGGCGATAGCTGCAGGCACTCGCTCCGTCCCTCGTATACACACCCAGACACCTACGTATAACTAATACCGAGTAGGTAAACAGGGATCCCCTTCTCCCCCTCTATTATGCAATCCCAGGCTATTGCTCGACTCGAGAGTGACCATTTGGCGCACGCCATACATTGCACCGACTACTTGTTAAGAAAGCGGAATATTCTAGTCATTGGTGGTGATTTTCTAGAGCAAGTCAACCTTCCGAGCAGGTATCCGACCCCATTGACCAGAGCAAGCGACAAGTGCAAGATTTCCCAATCCTGATCAAACAAAGGCCCATAACTAGTATGGCAGGGCTTCTGGGAGTGCTCTCGGTATTCACCGAGGCAGTTGAGGTAGCTCTCCTTGTCAGCAATAGCGTTCTTCAGGTCCCTCGCCGCGCCATCTCGCTGTCGAGAATATACGGATTGCCAGGAATCTTTCTACTATTTTTTTGGCAGCCAAATAACTTGGCGTGTAGAAGCACAAATTCTTAGAGAGCTGGACGACACCAAAGCAATGGAATTCAAGAAATCTGCCCAAGATGAGTGCACCATGATATCCGTTGCAGTCCCTAACTTTTCTTGTCTCAGCGTTGATCATGATGAGCTGACGGATCCTAAGCTGCCGTCGTGGCGCAGATTGCCGTGACGCGTTTGTCACTGGACGATTTAGTCGCTCGCACTGGGTCGCTCGTGGCTTTTCTGGTATTCAGCCTCACCTCTGCTCTCATGGCAGTGTTCTATGCGACCACCTAGCAGCGAACAATGGGACGCCTCTTGACCATTAAGCAGGTCTGATTGTGGATCCTTGGAGGCAGCGTATCTGAAAGCTTGCGAATCATCCCCGGACTTGATGAAATCGTGAATACCATCCTTGCAATACTTGAGGGGATCCTTATCGAAATTTTTATGTCGATCAAAGACCGAAATTTCAACACTAGGGTCTCAAAGACCTAGATGTTGATACTCTTCTCATCGACAATCCGCAAATTCATGAGCGTATGATAATGAAAGGATGCTTCGCACCAGCAGTGACCGCTGGTTATAACACTATTCGCGCCGCAGATGGCACTCACTGCATCGCTAGTGGCATTGGTCACTGCTCTTGGGATTTATCTTGGCTTCACTTGGACTCGAGATCTCGACACACAAGCGGGTAATCATGATAGCCGAAATGTCTTCATCATGGACATAGTAGGCCTTGGGGTGTGCATATTGATCTACTCGATATCCAGCCTGATCCAAGATCAAGACGTAGGCAGGAAGAACAAGATCTCGTGCACAAGAAATCTACCGAACAATGGTGAGAGCCGGAAAGAACTGAAGTGCAGGTCTCGACGTTGAAAGGCTGCATTACTTGTGGGCGTTAAGTTTCATTGCACTCTGTTGAAGAAAATCGAATGGTCCAGAAAATGGCGAAAGACATTGGTTTGTTTTGGATATATGCTCTGCGAGCTCCTCCGAAGATTTCTTCGTCTCGTAAACAAGAACCGAAGCCTTTTCCATTCCATTTCATTGGACCGCTTTCTTCCCAAAAATGGCCGTTAGCAGCTTACAGAGGTTGTGTCTAATGGTCGTTTCAACAGCGGCTACTATTTACCAAGAGTAGGATTTGGAAGTTCAAATTTCCCGCAGCTCCCGCTGGGCCACTCCCGGGCAGGCTATGGTGATTGATGGAAGCCTGCAGAGGCATCTGTACCTGATAATCAGAGGGAGTTGAAATAATTCGCTGGGTAACCCAAGGAACTCGAATGATGGCTTGGAGGTAGCAGCCAGGAGCCTGTCCGACACAGAGGTAAGGTAGGCAACCCATGTTGGAACCTTGAGAGGTTGATACATCGCTGTGTTGACCCCAGGTAAGCAATCACCCGTACCGTGCATTCTCACTCTCCTCGTCGAACCACGCAGGGGGGATGCCATAATTGATCACGGTGCTCTTGACCTTTGTGTAACTCTCATAGGCTTCCACGCCGTTCTCCTTTCCCATTCCGCTCTCTTTGAACCCTCCCCACGGCGACGAGGGATCGTTCAAGTGATGCCCGTTGATCCATACAATGCCGGCATCAATATCTTCCGCCATCCGGTGTGCCTGCGAGAAGTCGTTCGTCCAGACCGACGCTCCCAATGCAAAGTGGCTATCATTGGCTATACGAATGATATCCTCCTCGGACTCGCATCTGACGAGCGCGATGACTGGACCGAAGACTTCATTGCAGGATAGGTCGGAGCCATGGCGTGTTTCAATAATGGTGGGCTCGAAGAAAAACCCCTTGCCCGCCACTGTGGTCGCGTTGCCGCCGCAGAGGATCGTGCCGCCCTCCTTTACGGCACGGTCCACGAAAGCGGCACATCTCGCTTGAGCCGCTTCCGAGATGACGGCTCCGATCTGCGTCTGTGATTCCTGTGGATCGCCTACCCGCAGGGCTTTGACTCGGCTCTGCAACAATACCGCAAATCGATCGTAAATATCTGTGTGCACGAGCAGACGACTCCCAGTCACACAAGTCTGACCACTGGCAATGAAACTGGTGAAGAGGGCAGCCCTGACGGCGTGCCCGACATCCAGGCTCGGGAGAAGACATACCGGGGCTTTCCCACCCAACTCAGCTGTTATCGGGATCATGTTTTCTCCAGCTCTCGACGCAATAGCCCTGTACGTGGCGATTCCGCCGGTCAAATCAATCTTCGCCACCAAGGGATTCTCACACAAGAATTTGCCCGTGTCACGTCCATAGCCGCATACGATCTGCAGGGTTCCATCTGGCAGTCCAGCCTCCTGAAACAAAGCCCCGAGCCTCAAGACCGACAATGGCGCAAGCTCGGACGGTTTGACCACCACCACATTTCCCGCCGCAAGGGCCGCTGCCATCTTCTTTGTCGCTATGAGAAGGGGATGATTCCAGGGCGTAATCTGCACCACCACGCCGAGCGGCAGGCGGGTGAGGGTGTTGATGACTGGTCCCTTGAATGGCGTGACCCGTCCCTCATGAACACGAGCCAATGAGGCAAAGTACTCCAACCACTCCGGTATGCGTGCCAACTGGGCACGCATCTCACGGATAGGTCGACCTGTCTGCTGCGTCTCCAACTCCACGAACTCTGGGATCCGTGATCGCAGCAGAGCTGCCGCTCTGGACAGAACGGAGTATCGCTCCGAAGCGTCTGCCTTTGACCATTTGCCACGGCGGAAGGTGTGCAAAGAGTCTGAAATGATGGCGTCGACGGCTTCTCGCGACGTGGCGTCCACAGTGCCAATCGTGGCCTCGGTCGCTGGATTGATGACCTGTATTCGTTGGGCGGCCGGGAGCGTATGCACGCCGTCGACCCAGTTGGATGTATGCAGAAAGCCGGGCATAGTTGGGATGGACACGTTTGAGGAGCTGCTACAGTAGGGAGCTTGTACTGTGTCAACCGCGGTGGTCGTGGTCAAACAGCAGCAGTTCATTCGCAATTGCGATAAGGCTTTGCTTTCCTAGATTGGGCTGATGGCGACGCCGCCCTATGCTCGCCCCTCACCCGCCAACAAACCTTCCGCCTTCCCTTTAGAAGAGTGTTTCCCTGTGTCACCAGAGAAGATGGAATTAAGTATATTTTATCGGGCAGTTAAAAGCCTGCAGAGGCTTGGCGACCGGCACTTACCGCTAATGGGAAAAATGAAATAAAAGAAAGAAATCAACTTCTCTTGTCCTGCCCTTTCTAACGCCACTCCGGCATATCATTCGCACTCCCACCAGCTCCTTCAAAATGACAGAGTCCAACCCTCTCATTCTCTACGACATCTCTTCGTCCATACAACCCCGGTCCTACGCACCCAATCCCTCCAAAGCCCGTCTAGCCCTCAGCTTCAAGCGTGTGCCCTTCACGACGACCTGGGTCGACATCCTCGACATCCCTGACGTCCGCAAGGGGCTCTCCTGCCCAGCCGTCCGTAAGCTCGACGATGGCTCCGACTTCTACACGCTGCCCATGCTGCAGAATCCGGCTTCGGGCAAGGTCGTTGGCGACTCGTTCGACATCGCGAACTATCTGGAGGATACCTTTCCAGACTCAGGCGGCTGCCTTTTCCCCCTAGACTCAACCTGCACTGGACTCGACTACGAGAGCCCGAACAAGGACACGGTATTTTTCGCACCCCTGACTAGAAGAGAGGGGTCCAAGAACAAGGCCTACGCAAGGTTCAACGTGCACGTCGACGCTACCTTCTCTGCCCACGTGGTCCTCGTCGCCCAGTATATGCCCCTCCCCCCGAACACGGCCGAGGCCATAAAAGCCCTCTTCGTCAAGCGCGCGCACTTGAGCTCTTGGGATGATGTCTGCGTCCAGGGAAAGGTAAGAGAGCAGATCAAGGCGGCGTTCAAGATCGCGCTCAAGTCACTTGCCGACCTGTTCATGGTCCACGAAACAGGACCGTACCTTGAAGGCAAAGAGGCTAATTATGCAGACCTGATTGTGGGCGGGTGGCTGAACATGCTTTCCGCCACCATGCCCGAGAAGGAGTGGAAAGACTTCAGGACGTGGCACAATGGAGTCTTTGCCCGGCTGCATGATGCCTTGCAGGAGAAGTATTTCGAGTGCAAGTAGAGAAATGTTGAACTGAGAACTGTCAAGCTGATTGATTGACTTCTAAACTGCCACCACATACCACATTCACGGTGGCCAGAGTGAAGGAGAGAAACATTCCGTGAAAAGATGGCCATGACGACGTGAGCCTTGTCATACGTGGTGGATCGCCAGCACCGGTGATTGTCCCAGATTTTTGTCCTTGCGGGCATGGAAGCAACGATTTCCAGCCTACAATCCTGCATCTCATGCCGATGATCCGGAAGATTCATGGCCATCATGGTCGGCAGCCTTATAAAGAACTCCCAAGTTTACCATTCTATAGGACAGTGTTTCCCCCCAGCCTGTTCTATTTGTGACCCTGACGCACCTGTCAGAGGAAATATCTGGGACGGAAGTGCTGCACGAAGCAGCGTGGGATTGCGGACAAGAGACTTATGAGCGAAGAATGGCTAAATGCACAATCGGAAGACTTCCTGCAACTGTCGCATTTCCGAGGACGTCACTCTGCTTCGCCCCGTTTGTTTGACATTGTTCACGAGCTTCGGACCCAAACATCTTCGACAGATCCAACCCCAATTTCTGTTTGCAAGCCTTTCACACCATCTCCGATCCCAAACGAAAAAGCATCAAACGACCATTATGGCTCGATTTGGTAGATTTGGCGGACGTGGCTATACACGCGCTGACGCCGGCACGATAAGTTACGGCGCCAGCTGGCCGCTCAAACAGAGCGCATCGGCCAACCATCCTTGCCGAACACTGGCTGCATTGGATCTCGTTAATCATTGCCCTCAGCATCTCCGCATATTTCATTGCCCGCCGCAATCACCATACGCATCTCGTCGGCTGGATAACTATTGTAAGTTCCAGACTCTGGCCCAATCAATTGGTTCGTGGGCTGCTCATGATGTCCCTCAGGCCTTGATCGATGCCTCGGTTTATTTGCCGATATTGTTCCTTCCCGCCGTCGGCTCCTACAATGGCTTTTTGGTCCCTGCAGCTTGGGTCTTCTCCTACTTACTTCGGAGGAACTTGTGCCCGTTCTCCTTCTGGTGTCAACAAGTGCGGCCTAAAGAGGACTCTAGGCAATGCGTTCCTTCAAGAACCGCGAAGCCACTCACCCAGAGAAATCGGTAAGGACCACCAGCACCAGCGCCACTGGTGACACAGCCCCGGCTTACGACCGTGGTACTGGTGCTGCCCCTGTCTAAGACAACAGGTACTTGAAGATCGATGTTACTCATTAACTAACCTCCCCCCCTTTGATTACGAGGAATACGAATTTACCGGTACAAGGACAGATTAAATCGGCCTTATGCAGGAGAGAGACATAGGTAACTTTTCGGCTTAGAGGTTGGAATACATTTTCCTTATGATTATAATCTATGACTTGTTAATAACTAATATTAATCCAACGACGGCGTGTAATGCATGGCAACTATGCAAATGGCTTTCCTCTAAAGAAAGATCTTCGAATTGTTCAGGGCATAGCCAGTTCCCTCTAGGTTAAGCATGCCACCATAGTAGTAGGCAGAGAGTGAAGGACTGTCTTTTGAGGCAAAAGAGATGAAACTCCAGCACCTCCGCTGTCACAGAATCGCAGGGAGTGTAAGCGTTACTCACGGTTCCATTGGGAACGCACCCAGATCATCCTGCAGTAAAGAGTTGTATTAGGAGGTATATCCTAACGTGTCCCGCGCAACGCGCAAGCCCGCGTCGGATAAACTTATCCGAAGTTGACCCGGACGCTAAGGCGGCAGCGTCTTCTATCTCGATGCGGGATAAGGCAAGGCTAGCCTTGCTCGGAACATCAACATCACCTGCTCCCGTCAACCAGCCCGTCCAACACTTTCCATCATCTCGCAACCACAAAGAACTCAAGATGACTTCACTGCGATAGTACAATCCCCTTCTGCCAGACACTGACCATATCGATCTCCCAACATGGAGCCACACTGCGAAGAAATCGCCCGAGTCAGCTACACCAACTTCGGGCTCTCTCTGTTCGTCCCGCCTGCCTGGTCCTATTTCCCGCCTCCAGCTCTAACCGTCTGTTTTTCCACAGATTTATCCTTGTCGGCATCCTAATATCCTATCTCCCGCAACATATTCGTATTATCCGTCTGCGTTCCTCCTTCGGGTTGTCCCCGTACTTCGTCCTGCTAGGCACCAGCAGCGGTACCTGCGCATTTGCCAATATCCTGGTCCTCCCGAGATCGCGGGCGGATATCGCTTGTTGTCGCGAGGTGGACGAGTTTGCCTGTCTGGCGGGACTGCTGGGTATCGCGCAGGTGGGCGTGCAATGGTGCTGCTTTGGGGTGATGTGAGTACAACCTTCCCTCTCTATGCCGACCCACGGTGACAAGCGGCCGTCCGTAGATGAGGAACGAGAACGCTGACACGAGCATGTTATAGCCTACTTTTGTTCCTCATATTCTTTCCTCGTCGCGAACTCGCCTCTGCACCTCTTGACGACGACATTGCCAATGGTTTCGATTGCGATCCTCCTGAATACTCAGCCACAACAGCAGACATCCCTCCCATCAAAGAAGCTGCCCCCCTCGCCCCATCCTACCGCACCGCTCTCGTCGTCGTCGCAATTTGTGTTTTACACGCCGCAGTCACAGCAATCCTATCGTTCTATTTCATATACGCCGCCCCTCACCTCGCACAGTCATGGGCCAATTTCCTGGGCATACTATCTACCGTCCTCGCGAGCATCCAGTATTTTCCACAAATATATACCACATTCACTCTGAAGAGAGTGGGGAGCCTGAGCATACCGATGATGTGCATTCAGACACCTGGCAGTTTTGTCTGGGCGGGCAGTCTCGCGGCAAGGTTAGGACCTGAAGGCTGGTCGGCGTGGGGTGTTTATTTGGTAACGGGTTGTTTGCAAGGGACTTTGTTGGTGATGGGAAGTTACTTCGAGATCGTGCGGAGGAGAAAGGAGAAGGATGAGTTGAGGGGGCGAATGCACTATAATCCGAATGTGGAGCGCGAAGAGACAACAGCACAGGACGCCTCAGAAGAGACGCCATTGCTTAGATCAGATTGAGCCTTGGAGAATCGTTACTTTATGCATGGCTTTTTGCCCATCCCGGAAATGCTTTATCTTTGCCCTCTGATTTTCGCTCCTTGCTTGAGGGCATTGAGGGAGGTCTCTAGTATCGATCTTTATCATAAACTCGTCCTGGGGACCTGTGAAGGTGATGGTTCTTCGGGAGCATGACGTTTACCGTCCGCCAGGGCTGTCATTTCTTCCAGCTCTTTGTCCGTCATGCCATTGAGAGCGGGCTGGCCGTTTTCAGAAGCGTCTCCTTCGTCGACAACTTCAATTCCATATCTCGAGAAATCGAACTCTTCCAGTGAGGCCAGCATCTCTGCCCATCCGTCCATGATCTCGCCCGGGTAGCCAGGACTGCCCATGAGAGGGATGCCCTCCGTGTGGTCCAGATCGTCCTCTTTGTGTTCGCCCGTCTGTCCTGCGAGAACCTCCTCTTCTCTTCCCAGGTATATTTCGAGTAATCCCGGATGTGGCACCCATACGACGCGCATGCCTGCCCTCCTGCCGGCCTCCACCCCGGGAACGCTGTCCTCAAACACAAGGCACTCCTCCGGCGTGATGGGTCTTTCCCCATTGCCCTCCACCAACAACGTCTCATTAATATTCTGCAATGCCAATAGGTAAATGTCCGGTAGTGGCTTTCCTCTCCCCTTCGGTATGCGATGATCATCGCCCAATATGACATGTCTCTGAGGGAAGAGACTGAACAGGTCTTTCATTCCACTTGTCTTGATCTCGAAATTTTTTGAGTGCGAACTCGTTGCTAGTGCGAGGTGGACCTTCTTATTGCTCGATCTGTCCGGGGAGAAAGATATCGCTTGACTCTTTGTATAAGATTTTTGCAATTTCTTCAGCAATTGCTCCACACCTGGGAGTGGTCTGCACTTTAAAAAGGCCTCTACTTGTAACTCCGCTTGCCTACTCATAAACTCCTCCCTCGAGATCGGGAGCTGGGCCCACTCGTGAAAGATTTTCCCGGCCGAGTGAGAGGGCCGGCCTTGGAGTTGTGCTTTGATTTCCCAGGGAAGATCGGGACGGCCGTTTTCGCGCAGGATGGTGTTGGTGACGATGGTGTAGGCGTCTTCGGAGTCGATGAGAAGGCCATCCATGTCGAAGATGCAGGCGCGAACGGGGTTGAAGCTAATGGGATGTGCTGATTAGTCTCTCATGCAAGGAGTGAAATGCCGGCGAGATACGAGGTACTTACTCTCGGCCTCGCATTGAGGAATTATTCTCCGGCGCCATGTTGGAGGGTGTGAACGAGCAACAACTCTTTGGGAGAAGAGGAAGCAAGGTCTGAACGCAAAGCGCTGACCGGGAAGACACTCTGTAGTGAAAGAGGGGCTCTGCGACGAGGATTTCTACAGACGCGTACCTGCAGTGTCAAGCCGTTGACACCCCTGCACAACCACGTTCTCGCTGCAAGTCCAAGTCTATCTCTTTGATGAGTTGGGGGATCTGGGGGATCGGATCTTGGTGGGGTCATTAACCTCAAATAGCCGAACACGAACAATGACGTCATCTGTGGGGGTCGCAATGCGCAGCCTCGTCCAAGACTGCATTCAGCCTCGCTCTTCCCGCGAGAATTCACGAAACCATCACCACCCTCACGCCCACGCCCACCCCCATCTACCCACGGTAGCGAATATTTAATCAGGACAAAGCATGTCCTTCAAAGCAGACGGACCTAAAGTGCACCCAGAGCGAGTAAAACCTCCTTCTCCTCCAACCGACGCCCATCCGAATCCACCATCATGGTCCCGACGGTCGTCGACCTCGTCCACCACCTCGTTCCATTCTGCCCACTCGGCTCAGCAAGATCGGTTCTCCCCCGGCGAAGAATCCCGCATGCTATCGCTCTCCAATGACCTGAAATCCCACGCAAACACTCTCTTCTCCCGCCAAGAATACATCTCCGCAATCCAGACCTACGACCGCGCGTTGGCAGAACTGCCGCGCTATTTGGATTACGAGATGGCCGTGTTGCAAAGCAACATTGCTGCTTGCCATTTGAAGCTTGATCAGTGGAAGGATGCCGTGGAGAGTTGTGACAGGGGCTTGGAGGGCTTGGAACGGGAATTCCCAACCAGGAAAAAAGAGAAGGTGAAGAAAGGGACAAGGAAGAGCACCAGAACAAAGAAATCGCCTTTGACAGGACAAACCAATGGAAATGGCCAAAATGGGCGGTTGAATTCAGATACCGAGTCAGAAGACGAAATAGCATCGCCACCGCGGTCTACGGCCCAAGGCATATCCGAGACACAAGACGACACAGTCGTCGAACTCCCCTCGGACGAGGAGGACGAATCCGCCGCGCTCAAAAATCTTCAGCTCTCAGACACAAGGAAAGCCGACGTCACTCGAATACGCGTCAAACTTCTACTGCGCCGCGCCCGGGCGAGGACAAATATGTCTTCAGTTTCGTCAACATTAGCGTCCGCCGTCTCCAATCCGTCCTCGACCACCTCCACATCGGGCTCGGCCTGGTCCAGCCTCAGCGCCGCGCTGGAAGACTACAAGACCCTCTCCACCACGCCTCAATATTGGGAGACCTTGCCGGCATCGGACAAGAAGACCGTGCGCGATGCGCTGGTCTTGCTCCCGCCCAGGATCGAAGAGGCCAAGCAGAAAGAAGTTAGCGAGATGATGGGCAAGCTCAAGGACCTGGGCAACGGGATTCTGAAACCGTTTGGGCTCAGCACCGACAATTTCAAAGTGGTCAAGGGCGAGGGCGGGGGATATAGTTTGAGTTTTGACGGCGGAGGAGGAGGAGGAGGAGGAGGAGGAGGAGGAGGGAAGAAAGCTTGAAATGAATGAATGAACGAGAACGAGGGACTCAATCTGACGCACATGAATGAGGTCTATGCTTGCCACATACATAGATATGTAAATGCCAGAGATTTAAGGAAACGTATCGAAGCAAGCAGGCAAGCAAGCAAGCAAGCAGTCCACTGCAAGGCCTACTACCTGCGTATGTGTGTGACGACTGACTACATTCATGTATGCATGTCGAACAATGAAAAATTCTGTGTGACTGATCGAATCCATTTAACATTGAATCGAGCTCCTCCCAAAACTATCTGTCGCGATGGGACTGACTTGGCTGTCCTTCACGATGTATGTATGTATGTATGTATGTATGTATGTCTGGACGCTCGTTGCTATATACCCTGAGCTCTGCACTGCACTGTACGCCACTCAGGCCTGATCAGTATCAGTATCACCATGTCCATGATCATCTTCGTCTTCATCCTCGTCTCCATATTCATCTCCAGCTGTCACCTCCACCGTTGTCCGGGGCATGTATTTGTGCACGTCCGTGTATGGGGAATGTGTGTGTCTGAATGATACATGAGCCTAGGTATCCGATACTAATCGGCCTCTCCCTATGCCAATCCGTTCTTCCGCGCAACTGGGGGGTATCTCTTATCATTGACTCGTCTCTTATCACCGTAATCATGACCATGACCATGACCATGACCATGACCGTACTCTGAAAACGTCTTGCCAGTAAAGGTAAAAGTAGCACGCCTTGACGCCTCGCATGGGCCAATGCTATGCCATACCCTGAACCCCACACCCAACTATCCGAGAAAAATGAAGACGACAAAGAGGAAAGGATGGTTTGTGATCCGTTGTCTTTTGTCCTGTTGTCCATTCTCTTTGTTGTGTAATAGTGGGAATAACTGCAGGGACAAAAGATTATTCCACGTTTGCATGATAATTGCCAACGGTACACTGTCGCGTGGCAGCGAGCGAGGTCGTAAGTGTGCTCCATGTTGCTTCGCCGACATGCCTGTACAGTTGAAAGCTCCTTTTGCGGAGTGTTGTGAAGACAGAAAGAGAGTGTGAGAAAAGAAGTGGGTAGTGTTACTGTGGCTAGACTGATACTGAGACAATGATCACGAGTGTTGAATTGAAAAAGAGATTGTGATTGCGGAGCCCTTCATTCACTCGAATTCGAACTCTCCATCTCCGTCTTCTCCTTCTTCGGACTCAGTAGATCCACCATGGGTCAGTGCTTGTTCTGCTTCTCCTTTTTCGAGGAGTTCAGACATGCTCATGTTCTCCTGGGGTCTCTCTCTAAAGCCGTCGTCATCACCAAATGTGGTTGCTGCATCAGTCAAGCCGCCATTTAAAGCATAGTTGTAACTGGGATCCCACTGTGGTTGCTCACTGGCAGAGTACATAAAACTTTGGTGGGATACCGTAGAAGATGTCCTAGAGGTGTAGTCAGAGTTGAGCCCGTAGCTCTCCTGCACAGGCTGGCCCAGCCAGCTATGAGAGGAGCCCCGCTCGCTCGGAGTCAGTGAATCGGTGTGTTGAGCAGAAGCTCTGGAGGCGGAGCGGGAGCCGGGAGTTGTCTGAGTAGGATGAAATCGAGCATCAGACGGCGTGGCATAGCCTGCTGTGAACATTGGTGAATATGGTTGCATACCATTTCGCTGCATTGGCGATCCCGCCTGCATTGCTCTAGCGAAGCCTGGCGAGACTGACGGACGATGGATATTGCCGAACATTCCTGATGGAGTGCTGCGCCGAGTCGGGCTGTTGTCAAAAAAGGAGCTAGGCCGTGGAAGCGGGCTTGGTTGAAGACTCGGTTGACGACGCGATCGATGCACGGCTGGTGGCGCCATATTCATGGTAGCAGGAGCGGATGCTGGATGCTGGATGGGGATCGAGGGACGTGTCGGAGTGGTGACTGGTTGTTTCGCCGGCCCAGCAGTGACTGACGCACGTTGACTGCGCTGAGGCTCAGGCCGGACAGGGCTGGAGAAATCGCCGTCTTCATCATCATCGGCATCTTCAGTTCTGGCACGCTTGATTTGCCTCTGATCTTGGGCCTCTGCTTCCTTGCCTCGCTTCATGACTCGGGCCTTGAGGCCATTGAGTTTCCGATTCGCTTCAACACGCTCGGCATTGGTCTTTGGGTCATCGACAATTTTCAGCACGTACTTGACGTCGAAGAGGTGCTTGCAGATGGTCTTTGATGTGGCCATAGTCTCGACGATGCTGTTGAACCGCTCCTCGAAAGTCCAATCATTGGTTTTCTTGTACCTGAACTTGCCCGGCTCCCACGCCTCCACAAGATTTGCATCTTTCTTCGACCGCTCGATGCAAGCTTCCAAAATCTCCCAGCAAAGACATTCGACGAGATAGTTGTCGTGAATTTGGGAGCGAAAAGGTCGTTTGATCGCTTCTTGACAAGCGCACTCGTCAGGAATGCTCTTGAACGCCTTAAAGAGGACTTTAACATGGGCTCGAAGTTGATCTGGAGCTTCAGGTATTGTTATGTCCCATCCGCGCTTGTTTGGAAGCAGCATCCGACGGTACATGCGTGACTGAGACACGTTTTCGAAGATGGTGTCTAGGTCCTCTTCATCATCAGTGACCATTAAGTCCGCTGACTTTGGAAGCTCGTCGAGGCGGAGGTTCAGGTATGCAGAGACTCCTCGCTGTGGTAGAGCAATCTGCTGGGCGTCTTGGAGGATGGCGTGGACTTCGGCTTCGGTGCCGAGTCTCCGTTGTACCTCTGGACAACTGTTTGGGTCGTGGTGACCCTGTGTCTGGTGAGAGGTCATTGTGGATGGTGTCAATCTGAATTGTTCAAGGAGGGAAGATCCAGTTTGCAGTTGTGAGTAACAGAGACTTTGAAAAGAGGCAGTCACAAAGCAAGGTCGGTGATGTGCCGGGAGAAAATATTTAAGCTCGCTCATCACTCATGCCAAGGCAGATATTTTTATATGGGAGGGGAAAGGAGGTGGTTCAGGTGACGGTGAGGCAGTAACTTCACCACTGTGTCACTAACTGCCTTGTCACTAACTGCCCTGGCATGTGGGAGGCAGTTGGATAAGGCGCGCGCCTCGTCGACCCGGTCATATCACTGAGACAAAGGTTTCCGCATGTGATGTGAAGCGCATCCTAGCCGATGCCATCCGATGTCTGCCATATTCGGATATTGAGAAGGAGGCGCACCTCAACAAATGCCAGGGCAGACACTGTATCGAATGCGATAGTGTGCACCCAGCCCATAGGTCAACGGGGGCTTGGAGACATGTACTGAACCAGACCTTTTTCTGTAACCTTGATCTTCATTCTGAAACGATGAACTGTTCTTCTTCTCTGGTCCATGGAGCCTTGGAGTGGAAACAATCGAAAGATGCCTTCATCCATCTGAAAGCAAGTCACCTCTTGGAAAGACGGAAGCCCAACCATAGGTGTCATAAATGGTCAGAGTGTCCGGATCCCCAATCAATGTCATTCTCGACCTTGAGTCGGAATCAGTGAGTGAACGGTATTTAGAATGACACTGACTTACTCTTTAGGCTATATTTGGATTGGAATTTCGTCGGAGATTCCACTTGCTGGACCCAAACAAACTTGTTGCTAGGAGGAACCAGACTATTTCGAGGCCTTGAGTTCCTTACATCGAGATCTCAAGGCCATGATGATGATGCATCCGTACAGCGCGCGAAGATGGATATGGTGAATTGGCGAAAAACAGGTATGACTTGTGAACGTGATAACTGAGAAAGTGAAAGATGAAAATAAATGCATGGACCAACATCAGAAGGCTTGTCACAACATCGACGACTAAGCGAGAGACCAGTGGAGGCAGAACTGGGAAGTGCGATCGGCGGAGATGGGTACGGTGAAGCTCTGTGTCAGGAACGATGGAAAAGTCAGAGGAGCGACATAATGAGCTTGGTTGGGGCGCTGTCTGGGAGCAGCTCATCGACCGTCCCTCTTCTCTCGACAAGAGATAATCGAGTAGAGGGAGAGGCAGGCGTCAGTCCAGTGCACAGCCAAAAGCACAATGCAATCAGAGGAGAAAATCAATGCACCAGAGCAAAGGGTGGAATGAAATGCGGCTTCTTTAGTGAAAAGGAAACGTGGAACAAGAGCAAACACGGTAGAGACTAGGGATTCGTAATGCATCAAGCCACGAGCCTTGGGAGCCTTAACTGTATACTTCTCCCCGGATTCAACTGTTCAGGTATTCAAAGTAACGATATACCTCCAGTCGAAGCATTCACACAAAGAGAGAACGTGTGGAGGCAGGAGGAAGGAGGTCAGAGTAAAGCCAGCCACCCTTTGTTACACTAGTCCTGGGATGGGATAGCGTATCACAATGATCCACTCCCTGTATCTCACATCCGAGGTTTCTTTGGTATCATTTTAATAATCCACAACTCACCAAGGCCTAGACTCTAAAGTATTATAGATCTATTGATCTGGTAAAACCATCGCACAAGTCCGTTTTGCCGAGATATCCCAGAGGGAGGTCGAAAAAGCAGGCAAATCGTGGGATAGTGTAGCGGACACAAACTGAACAATATCTCTAGGAGCATTGCTGTGCATTGTTCGCCGACGGCAGCATATCATACTTCCCAGATCTTCAAGCTGGAATCCGGTATTAAATCTTCCGTCTGGGACCCTTCATGTTCAGCAGCGAGATGCCGTTGACCAGACGAAGTAGCAAGTACGCCTCCACTATGATGAACGACTACACTCGAGATAGCGTCTTTGGGAGATGTGAGTATACGGTCTGAAGTGAGCGAAAAGTAGGTGCGGCTCACCATCGTGTCCCTGAAACTCGAAATTATATGAAACAGAGCCTTCTTTTTCGTAAGGATCTTTCCACATCCTGAAGAGCCCGTCGAGCCCACCTGCCCAGACTTCATGGCCCCCTTGATCACCAGTGCCAACAAGGTCAATACCTAACCGCTGATTGGTCATCGCAGCTCGGCCCTCCAGCCATGCCATCAACTGACCTGTTTTGCGGATATCATAGAGCATAATACCGTTGCTTTTCCTCTCAGCAATGTAGAGATATCTGCCGCATGGACTCCAGAGCAACTGTGTTATTCCTCCTCCGCCAATTTGCAAATCAGCACTTGTCCCTTTGACGGAGAAGACCCCGACGCAGTTTCCTTGGCCCAGGGAGTCGTACAGACCAACATAGCGGGTATAAGTCCCTGCAGCCAAAATGCCACTTGAGGGTTCAAGGCTGAGCGCGGAGACAATCCCTCGCATATTGACAGCGCCACTATACTCAGTCGTATTTCTCCATTTTGGGCCAGTGGGAATGGAAGAAATCGGAGCCTCCCCCGGTCGGGACACGTCAAAGGTTGAGATGAGGGATTCTGAACCGGCAATGATGCGATCACCTTGATTGCTGAAAAGCAAGGAATGGGGGCTGATGAACTCCTCAGTCATGGGATTGACTAGCGGATAAGATGCCCCAAGATGGCCGGTCAGGGCTGAGTTCAGTCGGATCGGGTGATCTCTCATGGACGATAAGATCAACGTGGTGGACGGATCTTGAAGATTGAAAAACGGGTACCCGACCACAGCTCTGACAGATTCTCCGGCCTGTATGCTGCAATATGCAGAAAGTGTTCGTGGCCCGGGTGCCTCTTCAAGGAGATCTACTGGACTGCATGCTAGTTAGTGGGCTGGATGATGTGATGGCGATATTAACCCACACAACAAAGGTATCAACGGAATTGTCTGACTGACTGGCAATTAGACAAGTTCCGTCTGCGCTCCTGTCATCGTCAGGGGAGGATTTTGATACGTTTGGCCCTTGTACAGACCATTGAACACTCTTAAAGTATCTCTTTGAGGCAGCAAGTTGTGAGACTCCCGAGCCAACTTCGGCGGGAGTTTGTGACGTGGTAGCCACACATTTTGGGAGCAACATTGTCTTAACCCGATACTTCTCCTGGCTTTGCACCTAAATAATTTGGTAGAAAAAAGGTATTCATGGTGACCCTATTTATTCATGAATGTACCAGAGTCGGTCGAAAGAGACAGTCAGGTGTCGATTCACATTTCCAGGATTAAGCTTGGGCAGGTTTGAAAGGATGAATGAGGCTGCCAGAACGAGTTCTCGCTGGGAAACAAAGCCGGCAATGCTCCACCGTACGCTACCATTCGCTCGCACGGCGAAGCACAGGACAAAAGCAACAATTCTCTGTCACGCATCGCGTGTTTCCGCTTGCAAAGTCCTCTGAAAAAGGACATCTCTCATCCTACACACTTCCTATTGGCGTACTCAACCACTTAGCAGTCAGCATGTCGCTCTTCGGTGCTTCAGCATCAAAGCCGACCTTGAGTCTGGGAGCTAGCACCGCGGCGCCGGCGCCCTTAAGCTTGTAAGTCCCCCCAGTGCAATGTTCTCAAAGTTTCTTCCCCAAGTCCTAAGAGATTCTACACAGTGGCCAAACTACGACTGCTCAGCCGCCGGCGAACCCCTCCACAACAGGCGCATCCTCTCAACCACAAATAGATATTGCTCATCTCCGTTCCACCACAAAATTTGACCAGCTTACTCCCGACCTGCAAAAAGAAATCGAAGCGGTCGACACTCTCATCCTCAATCAGATCAAACTAGCATCAGAAGTAGCAGATCTTCTTCCGACCGTCGTCCGCGCCGGAGAGACACTACCTAATAGTGTAGACTTTGTGACCCAAAAACTGGACGAGGTGGAAGCCGGACTAGGCAACGATGCGGAAGCCATTGTCACGGCGAGGGATGGTGGTGTAAAAAAGAACGAATTGGAAGCCAAATGCGTTTTCAGGGCCATTGATCGATTGAAAATGCCCAGGCAATATCAACAGGTTGCTCATGCCCAGAACCAAAACTTAAACGGCAGCGGTATCTACGGCGGAACAGCGCTAAGTGGATGGTGGAATAATCCTCAGGCGTTGAGGGGGAGCGTCCGGGGCGGGCATGCTCAAGGAGACAAAATCCGACTCCCAGGCGAAGAGGTGGAAGAAACACAAGGCCCGAAGAGCTTGATTGAACTGTTCAACACGAGGGCCGATGAAATGCAAGACATGATCCAAGGCAACCGACGACTTTTGAGTGAGATTGAGGATTTCGTCCAAGGCTTGGAAGGAAAAGTCGCTGGCAAGGAGAGAGAGTTGAATGATCGACTCAACTACGGTGATCGGAACGGTTGGGCTGTCAGCGAAAAAGACCATCAGATGCAACAGCTTCGCTACGTATTTGGTGAGGTGCAGAGGAGTCTTTACGACGTGGCCGACAAGGTTGGAGCTGCAAGAGATGAAGTCGCACGGTTGACAATTGGGAGATGATCAGAAGCCATTATTGGGAACACTCCACTTAGCTTGAGATAAAGCTCGACGAGAACGAGAAGCAGCACCAAATTCATCGTTGAAAGGACAGCCTAGGAGGCTCAGGCATAGGCGGACTATGATTCTGCAGGCTGCTGCTGTGGTTTGCAGTGTCTCATCTGCGCCCTGACGACCCGACGACCCGCGCATCTCCAGCATCCCTCTCAGCAAGACTGATCCATGTTTCAGAATCTGGTCATGAGCTTCAACAGGTCCGGTGTCGGCATCCTTCACTGATAGGAGCTTACCATCGCGTGCCTGGGAATGTGGGGAGGCGATTGGATCAGCAGTCCTAGAAAGGAGTCAGCATGGTGCATGAAACGGATGGACCCAAGGCTGATTCTCGGCTTTCAAGAGAGACATGATGAATACACGATTTAAAACGGCCATAGAAGACTCGAGGGACGACTCTTTGGATACTCCTTCATCTTGGATTTCTCGTCTCTTTGCAGTGGCTGAGTCGACCGAGTCGGCGCCAACTTGCGTGAAGCTCATCAACATCTACTCGACAGCGGAACAGAGCACATGCTGACTTGCCCCAAAGCTCTTCTAGCCAGGGGCACCAGGGGCGTTTTGAATAAGCTCAAGGTCGCGGCGTCATGATCCGCTCCATTCATGTTTTGATGGTGGTTGTCGGTGGATATTGATGACTTCATTGAAGGATGAGATTGTGATGTCATGCCTGAGCAAGTGGCATCTGCTCAACCCGAGCACAATTCTTTAAAAATTGATTCCTACAAGGGTGTCTTTGCCTGTCGATTCTCCATCACGTTTACCCTGAAAGAAGACGACTCTGTTGCGTGAAGGAGTGTGTCTCAGGCTCTTTTACAGTACTTAAACCCTTGCGTTGAAACTACATCACCCATACCCCTAGAAGCATTGAAGTCCAAACTCAACCAACCGTTTCTTTTCTTCCAGAACTTCATACCTTCCACTCACAAGAGAACCAGTTGTGAAAATGTCCGGTAACTCCAACGTCGGCTCCCGCCACATCTACGAGGCCGGTGACCAACGGGTGCCGCCGGATTCGCAGAAGGGAGGCGAACAAGCATATGGAGAAGGACAGAAGAATTCTCATCTCGCAAACGATTCGAGTACGTATATTTCCTACTTTGTTACTTTTGGAATTTGCCTTTTGCATTTATTCTGTGCTTCTTTCGGTTTTTTTGTCTGATGGGAGAGGGAAAGGCCCGGAAGAGGAAGGGCTGGCCGTGACCACTACACGAAGGGCAATTAAAGGACCAGAATCAAGATCAAGTGACAGGAATACAACATGTGAAAGGACAGAAGACTAGAAGACTAGAAGGGAGATGGCAGGACGCCGGCGTCTTCGTTTCCTTCCTTTTCGCTCCTTGCATTCTTCTCCCCCCCCTTTACCCAAGAAAATACCCCCTCTCCCCTAAACAATGCCACATCCCACCAGACAGCCACATACTAAAACAACACCCCTTCTCACCTTCAGAAGACAACCGCACAATCGCCAATCGACTGGCCGCATCAGGCCCGCAGAACACACAGTCCAATGCCTCGGACAACTCCAGTTCCGGCAAGCCCAAGAGCGCCGAGACCCGGGCCGGTGAGGTCGACCCGACGGCGCCGGCGAAGATGCACGGCAACGAACCCAGTCGCGGTGCGCAGGTGGACAAGGAGCTGCACGACGAGGAGGCGGCCATTTTGGCGAAGAAGGACGCCGCAAAAGGTGGGAGCAAGAGAGGCGGCACGGGTGACGTAGCCGGGATGAAGATGTGAGCAAGCATTTCCTGCCAAATCCTAAGTAGCACAAGTAAGAAAAGGACACAATAAATACAAGCGCTGTACAATATGAAAATCGTTTGAACAACACAGTCAGCAATGGAAGGCGCCTAATCGTACCCAATTGTCTAAGCCTAAGTAGTTATCTAGTTTGCCGGGATGGTTTTCCGGCTTACCTGCTGGGAGCGGGGACAAGGCTGGAACAAGGCTGGAGCAATGGACCCCTTTGCCCATTTCTTGCCCCTTCCAGACTTCCACCCTTTGATTTCTCGATCTATTAAAGCCTGATATATCCTTTTCAACACAGACAAGGCTCTGCTGTCGTCCGTGCGGCGCATTTCCTCCAGCCTAAGCACCCAGTGTCCGTTGACAAAACCAGGCCCCAACGGCTCAACCTGACGGCAATACCGGTCTTGCCTTGAGTTGAAGAAGGGGAGGAATCCACCCCATTGATGGATGTAGAGAATTCACCACGAATACCGCCGCCGAAAGACTGCGGACAATGTCAAGACAATGACTTGTACCATAGCCCAGCTCTTAGTGACCTCATGTTCCTGCAAGTCAAAAAAAAAAAAAGGGAAAAAGAAAAAAAGAAAAAACCCCGGTTCCATTAACAAAGCCTCATAGGCGAACTAAACATCTCAAGAGAATTAAAGTGGCCAACTAAAAGACAATTACTCCACCATCCTTCTATGACTCTCTCCAATGAACCAGGTGCCACGTCACCCCAGGAGCCTTACGGTCTTGCGACCTCGAACAGATCCAATTACAACAAAAGAAAACCTTGCCCCGTCTTGGCTGTCGCTAGTGTCTCCTGAGGACCAGTACCAGGTATCCGAGGATCCGATAAACTGCAATGATTGCAATGATGATTCCAATCCACTGCTTTTCGTCATTGAGCGCGATGCTGAGGGTCTTCAGGACCGACGGTCCATCGATCTTGCCCTCGGCGTTCAGGGGGCCGGGATAGTTGCATTGGTATTGCCCGTCCACGCTGTTGCAGGTGAAGACCTCGTGCTTGAACTCGTTCACCATCATGCCCTGGAAGACGTATGCTTGGTAGTCGATGTAGTGGAAGACGTATTTCCAGAACGGGTTCAAGATGTTCATGGGCACGAGGAACCCGTTCACGCACATCCACAGGCCGTTGGCGAATGCGGTGACGGCCAGTGAGATCACGAAGACCGGGAACATTGCAGACACCAATACGACCAGCGATTCTGCGGCCACCAGGTCCAGGAAAAGCCACATGGTGTACATCATGAACGCGCCGCCGTTGTTCCGGAAGTTGCTCAGCCAGTATGCGACGATGGAGAAGAGGACGGCGATGGCGAAGAGGAAAGGCAGGCCGATGACGAAGTTTGCGACCATGAACGCGAGCGGCCCGACTAGGCCGTTGGCGCGTTCTTTGGTGAAAGTGGCGAGATCTTCCAGGAATGCGGGGACGTAGGCCACGGCCATGAACGACATGAAAGCCGATCCGAAGAAGATGGCGTTGATAAACGGCTGGATATAATCCTGGGTCGACTTGAGTCGCAGAAAGACCGTGCCCATGAGAACGGCCAGGCCCAGGTACATGATGACACGGATTTCGTATACCACTATGTCCCGGTAGGCTTTGACCCAAGAGCGCTGGAGGAGAACCCAGGGCACCATCCAGCGACTGGGCTCGAGGATCTTGACTTTTGTGAGATCCGGTACGCCGCTTCTCTCGGATGAAAACACATTGGCGTCGATCTGCTGAATGAGCTTTTGATCCCCCGCGCCTACGGACCAAGACTCTGTAATGTGTTTGATGCGATCAAAGACGTCGTCTCCTTCCTTGGCGAGATCTGCGTTGATCAGGTCGAGATAGAACTCGGCAGGGTTCGTCTCGAATGGCATCGGAAGGCCAATGTCTTTGAAGTAGGGGAGAGCTTCCGGTAGATCGCCAAAATAGCACGTCTTGCCATATGACAACAAGCACAGTTTGTCAAAGAGCTTGAAAACCGAGGTGGACGGTTGATGGATGGAAGCAATAACAATCAGCTAGCAAGAGATTTTAGAAATTGATCACATCTAAGCTCTGATGTCCTTTGAAACGTACCTTGTTCTTCTTTGCGATGGACCTGATGAAGCTCACCACTTCGAAGCTAAGTGTCGAGTCCAGGCCACTGGTTGGCTCGTCCAGGAACAGTATTTTGGGTTCTGTGATGAGTCTGCTTGCGACACCAAGTCGTTTCTTTTGTCCGCCGCTGAGACCCTTCTTGATCGGAGTGCCCACGATGGTGTGAGCCTGTGCCTGTAGACCAAAACTAGCGATCAGGTCGTCAATTCGCTGCATTCTTTCTCTCTTGGAAACCGAACTATGGTTGGTGACAAGTTAGTGAGAGCGGCAAAATCAAAATTCATCACAGGGCGGTACGTACTTGGGCAAGGCCAGTCCTGCCGCAAACTTCATAGTCTCACGAACCGTCAAGCTGCCAATGAGAGCGTCTTCTTGCTCTACATAGCTCGACAGTTGCCGGATTTTCTTCCAATCCATTTTCTGACCGTTGGCCATGACATCTCCTGTTGTCTTTGCCCCTGCAGCAGCTTGTCGATGTGCAATTGCGTTGAGTAAAGTTGTTTTGCCGGACCCGCTTGGGCCCATGATGGCCAGCATCTCACCGGCCTCGACGAAGCCATGAGAATCGGTAAGGATGCGGAGTGGCTTCTTTGTCGCGCGGTCTTTGACGTTGACATTCAGGTTCTTCCAAGAGAAATGCAGCACAACATCGTTGATGAGATGGGAAGTGCGAACACGATTCAACTCGGCGTCGGAAGCGTCGAGGGGTTTCTCCATTGTTGGACTCTGGGTTTCATCCATTTTGTTGTCGATTCACGGAAGACGACTTGACGATGTGTCAACTTTGTGCTGAGACGCTCCCAGAAGGGTGACAGGTATAAAGGAATGAATTTAAACTTGAATCATGTACACGTAGAGGTTTGCCTCCTTCCGGGGGCTTGGGTGGTTCGGGGATCAGACATGAAATCATGATATTCTACATGAATACGAATAAGGCTTTAGCCCTCACACCATCGGGCTCCAGCTTTTCTAATTCGATAATTAGTAATTAATCAGGAAAACAGGGTCACCAGCATTGAAGTTGGGGCTTTGAAAGATCCAGATCTTCGGTGACCTCGACATTGGACCATTTCGAGTAAGGGGCGAAGAGTGCATCTTTTGTTTAAACCCCGAGCGTGGCACAATCCAAAGCCAGACATGCAGGCACGGCGACGTCAGCATAAAGAGCTGAGCTTTGTTTTGATGTTGTGGAACTGATTCTTTACCTTTGGTCGAAAATCATCTTTCTTCATTTGTATTAACCTGGTTGGTTTCTTTTACGAAGAGAATGGGCCAAACCGAAGAGAAAAAAGGCCAGCGCGTTCGTCACGCTTGTCAGTCTTGCAGAGTCAGAAAGGCAAAGGTGGGTACACTCCGACATGCAGAAATTGGGCTTCAGAGTTCATTGAACAGTGCGATGGTAGAACTCCCTGCGCCCAATGCCAACGAACTGAGGCCATCTGTACGTTTCGGACCAGGCCGATTACAAAGACTACTTACCCTCCCGGGTATGTTTTAGGGTGCTCGGTTTCCGTTTCTCAGTTTTGAAGCATGCTGACCATTGTCACAAACACCCACAGATATCTCGACATGATCACAGAAGAGAATCGTTTACTGAAAGCCGGCCTTCGCACCATGTTCCACAAGCTGCCATGGAAGAGTGACCTTGAGCGCGAGCAAATGTCTAAATTTGCGGATGGCATGACTTCGAATGACATGCTCCGTTATCTAGGCATTCTGGACTCTGCGAATGAAGCGCCTCCTCCCATTTGCAGCGAATCAGTCCCCGTCGACAACAACAGCAACGTCTTTCTGACCACGGCTGAAGGACAAGGGAGACAGAGTCCACAGCGACGAGATTTTCAGACGACCAGCTTTTCGGGCACACCATATTCGAATGATGGCTCACAGTGTCTTACCCTGACCAGTGATGAGGTGGATGAGCCACTTTTCGATCTTTACCGCCAGATAATTTTCGATGCAGAATCCGGAGTGCAGCAAGGGTCAGATTGGGACTATTATTTTGCTCCACTTTCTTAATGATGGTTATGGGGGGGGGGGGCGGGATCCGTACGCCGTGAGGTCCGCAAAGAGAATCGGGCTTCACTTTTGAGGGTCTTCTGAAAACGTAGTCTTATGGTGACGCTCTCGATCTTGCCGTTGTCGGACTAGTTGCAGATTCTTGGGTTTGCCGGTGGCGTGATAGCCAAACTTGGTCGGGGTCTTCGGGGACATGTGATTGTCAAGCCACCAAATTGACCAATATTCAGTCCCCGTTATGTTTTTGCTCCTACCAAGTACTTGGACTTGTACTTGTACTTGTAGGCGAAAGAATGAGGTCAACGCGATATTGCGCTACAGGATGATATACTTGGGAGGGTCCGGGAATACTTGTGCTATTACCAAGGAGGTCGATTGACTGATTGATTGAGGAAATCGAGGAGGTGGAATGACAGCGAGGCAATTACTGGGTAACTCGGCACCGCCAAGACATTTTCTTCCTAGCTCAATTAGGCTAGGATCAACCTTCCAACACGCGATTGTAAAGTGACAAAAAAAAAAAAAACTCAAGATATCTTCCCTCCCCAGACTGAGCAACAGCGAGAGGAAAGGGTTCAGCGAGATATACAATGGTGCGACGCGATGTTGATTTGCTCCCGCAAGTCATTTCCCCAGAAGTTACTCAGATTCGCCAATTCCTAGCGAAAGCTTCATCCTTCACGCCTTAATGGCTTGATGAGAATATTCTCCCTAAAAGCAGCACTCTAGCTTCCTCGTTATTTCTTGGTAGGGCTGCCCATGGCACGTTTCAGCTTCTTTGCTGCTTTGAATACTGGTCGTTAACGTGGAACGATATTAATCTTTTGCATCTCTCGAGGATTTAATCCTCTCCTTGCGGCTCTTTGCCGTACCTGTCAGGTGGCAGCACCGACTACGGGACTTTGTCCCTCTTCGATGCTTCCTCAACTATACTGGTTCTGTATGGATGAAAGGTATCAAGTGCTGCCTCTGGATCCTTTTGCGTAAGGCCGCATGTGTCTGCAATTACTTTGATCAGCTCTTGTTTGTGCATGCAGATGGCCACCTTCTCGATGGTGCCAAATCAGGTGGAAAAGCGAAGCCATGGTGTGTCGTGAGAAGCAGTGATAAGTATGGCTTTCGTAATGAGAATGTTTTTCTACCCCATCTTCATATCAGCAACCGCCTGGAGTTGACAAGAGGGTCCATACCCAGCATCATCCAACAGAATCGATCAAAATTGTCCAATTATGGTTGTGCTTAATATCTTGCTTGCTTTTAATTTTGGGGGAAAATTCTTATTTTTTGAGAGTAACAAGTAGGTTTGCGGCTTTTTTGCGAATTCGTACGCTTTTTGGAAGATCAGAAGACAAACGACATGCTCGCTGTCTTGAAGTTGAGAATTGCTTTCCAATCAGACCACTTCTGGTCAGCCAACGATACAAGTGCTTGTACATGCTTTGGGTGTGAAATGATCTAACCTGAGTACCAGTACTACATGCTAGCGAAAGCGAACGCCGGCATGACAAGATGAAACTACTCCGTTTCAAGACCACATTCGCGAATACAATTCCACTACATTCCTGGTTTCTTTGCATGTCAAAGGATAGAAGGACTGGCTGTAGCTCCAAAAGTCCTTGACCCTACAAGAAGTCTTCTAGAATACCTGGGATGTAGCTGCCGAAGCCTACAGAGAGCCGTGTTGAACCGTGGCGCAGGCGAATGAGTCCCGATCTTCGCATCAGTTTACTGTTCAAGGAGTGGTTAGTGAAGCTCCGCCAAAGGCTCGACAGAAGCTTCAGGCGAAAATAACCTTCAATCTGCAACAGTTCCAAAAACCCTATAGGCACGGATACGATGTAATTATCTTGGACGAAGAATGCTCCGAAAGAACCCCATCCCCTTCCGAGAGCCAACAGTACCTTGCGACGGGGCCGACTGTATTCGATCTCTTTGTCTCGCGTCTTGTATTTTAGAATATATTGGATAGCAATATCATCATCGGAACCCCCTCCTGACCCTTTTGAAAACCCTTACCATCCTTCATTGATAAAGCCTTGGCACCCAGCCTTCCCAGAATGCGTAACAGATCAGTGCTAGTAAGCTTAGTTATAACGAAATTATCCCCTTGGCGTGTTTATATTAGAAGACTGAAGGATAGTGTCGCTCAAGAAAGTCGTGCCTTTGTCACCGATGGCGATGACCGAGGAGACCTACAGTAGATCCAGATCCGATCTGATACAACCCACTATTTTTCGCCCTGACTGTTGACATGTAATGTGAAAATGTTCATGTTGAAGAATGTCTGACGATTCCTTGGGAGTTCGGCGCCTTCAGAAATGGTCATAATGATCGCTCCCAGCAGTGTATGATGGTGGACCAACACGATCCCCAAAGCTTGTGGGTGGCGTCTGCACAACAAGTACTTCCAATTCTAACATAGCCTACAACTGGCTTCCCCGGCCAAAATTGTCTGCATTCCAGAAAAGCCTTGCGAAGTGTCCATCTTCTGCTTTCCTTGGTCACCACGTCTTTACCACGGGAGTGGCCGTCAGAACTCGTGTAAGCACTTTGATCGTATGCATTGTGAACCATCGGCTATTGCCACAACTGTGGGGCTTGAGTTGCTGATTCTGTAAGGTAGTACGGAGTTTGGAGTCTGCACTGGCAATTCGCTTGATCAGGATGGCGTGGTGAGAAGGCTGGAATCATTTGGGTTATGCCGGGTTGGGACGGGCAAGTGGAGTGCAGGTGGCTAACTCCAAGAGACGTACCGAGTAGCAACCTAGTGCATGGTGGCCTCAAACAGAAACTGAACCGAGACCCACCATCTTCAAGTCCTAAATACGGAAGTGGCCTTGGCGGCGCTAACAATTAAGTGAGAGCGACATGCTTTATTCAACTACGACAGCCTTTCCTCCTGGGAAGTACAGCGTTATTTGCGGTCATGACTGTCACCATATGGAGCAGAGTATCTAGGACATCCTATCTGCTGCTATTTATAGACATTGTTACAAAGTAGGAACCATTGTCCCACGGCACGAAATCTATTCTTACCCAACCTCCTCGTTGCGAAATCGATAAGGCTTAGGTATTCAGAGTTTAACACACGCAACGTTCCCAACCCACCGATGCCCAGCATGGATTTTCCAGGGCATGAGCTTCACGCTTATACTATCGGCATACTTTGCGCGTTACCGATAGAGCTCGCCGCCGTGCAGCTCATGCTGGATGAAACCCACCAGGAACAGCGCCTTGATCCCCGAGACGATACTCAGTATACGCTTGGCAGTATTAGAGACCACAACGTCGTCGTTGCATGTCTATCGGCAGGGCAGATTGGTATTGGGGCGGCTGCCTCCCTAGCTACCAGAATGAGTGCAAAGTTCCCGAGTCTACGATTCGGCCTCATGGTCGGCATTGCGGGGCGGTGTACCAGGAGATGCTCGATCCGATATCAGATTAGGAGATGTTGTTGTGAGTCAGCCATTTGCGGATCATGGAGGAATAATACAGTACGACCTTGGGAAATCCTTACCCGAAGGTTTCAAACGTACCCAGTACTGGATTCCTCAACGCTCCCCCACAGCCCCTCCTCCAGGCGCTTGTAAATCTCCAAGCACGACACCTTCGTGGAGAGAACGGTTTGACGACGCATCTTGAACTTATAAAAAATTCAGCAAATTTCAAGCGGCCTGGTCCTGAATCAGACGTTCTGTTCAAAACCTTCTACGAGCACCGAAATGAGAGGCCAAACTGCAGTGACTGTGATCAGTCTCAAAAGGTTAAACGAGAGTCTCGGAAACACAGCTCTGTTGTTGTTCATTACGGCGCGATAGCTTGTGGGAATCGTGTTATAAAAAATGCCAGAGACAGGGATTCGATCAGCTCTCGACTCGGGGGGGTCCTGTGTTTTGAGATGGAGGCGGCGGGTCTAATGATTAACTGGCCCTGCCTTGTGATAAGGGGAATCTGCGATTATGCCGACTCCCACAAAAACAAACAATGGCAACCTTTTGCCGCAGCTGCAGCAGCTGCGTATGCAAAAGAGCTCTTATCAATAATCCCCGGAGCCAAAAGAAGAAATGATATCGCGGAACCACTGCACCGCAATGTCGATACCAAAATTGAGAATCCTGAAGTGACGGTCATTTTGGTACTGTGGTGCCCTCCCTCTTCTCTGACTGTTGAGCTTCTATCTAGATTGCCTGCCACTTATGGACCTTGAGCTAACTTTCCATTGACGGCGCAGGAAGCTCGAATGTCTTCTAAGCAGACTGATCCGGATCAATTTCTTAAATTGCTCTCAGCCACAGCTGTAGAAAGTCGCCCATCAGCTATGCCAGCTCTGGATCCCTCCGACCCTACGTTCCTGTGGGTGTTCCGTAATGAGGATTTCGAGAGGTGGGAAAGCGCATCAACTCCAGCGCTCCTTTATTTGTCTAGACCTAGAAGGTGCGGGATCAGCCAAATCTCATCGTACCTCTTGGATCAAAACACTTCCAAGGCCGCTTCCGCTGGTTCATCTACTTTGTCCTTGTTCTATTCGAGACGAACATCAGCTTCTCATCTTCTCATCAAGACAGTGCATATACTTCTTCTCCAGGCGATGCAGTCCGCTCCTACACAGCGCCGAGGATCAATAGTTGAAGCATACCTCAACAGTCTCCTGGATGATTACTTGAGTACGCGGAAACTAGACGAACATGGCGACCTGGTAAAGTTACAACACAACGTCAGTCAGATATTAAAAGCACAAGCGCCCAGCAATGAAAGGAGTCTGCTTGCCGCTTTATGTGCAGCAATTTCGATTGGAAAATCGCAGTATTCTTTCATCGTTTTGGATTGTGTGCCCGAAGAATTTATTGGAACTGCTTGTGAAGTCATTAACTCGTTGCAGGAACTCTTGCCGACACTAAAAGGCTTGCTTACGACAGATTGCCCTTTTACTCTCCCTTTTGCTTTCCCTACGATTGCGGGAATAAATGCTGAACACATTGAATTTGATCAAGAAAGGAGAGGTCTGTCTTTATCAGCGTACCTGCTTTCTATCCAGACTGACATTCGCGTCAAGAGTGTATTAACACTCTTCGGTTCCACAACACTCGCTCCAGCACAATATCGAAAGAATGCAAAGGCTCTTGTGTGTGGCTGTGGACCCATGCACAATATCGGGATTGGATAGCATCGCACAACTCTCGAGTGCTGCTAGTTGAGGGAAAACCCGGAAGCGGCAAGAGTACTCTCACAAAATATTTCTGTGACCACCTAGAAGAGAAGCAGCCAATGTCAAGCTCGGCTACTGTTGCGAAGTTCTTCTACAGTTACAGGGAGGGTGAAGTCCAAAGAAGACACTACCACATGTTTCGCTCTCTACTTCACGACATCCTTTGTCAGGAGGAGGGGTTTTTCTATCATCAGCTTCAATCTCTGTACCGAGCTCGGTGTGTTCAAGAGTCTTCCTCTACATTGCTATGGAGTTACTCATCGCTCAAAGATGCATTGAGGTCGTTAGCGAGCTACTCAACACGGCGGCCGGTATATCTGATTATCGATGCCGTGGATGAGTCCGAGGAGAACGACAGACGGGACATGCTCAACTTGCTTCCTGAAATCTGTGCCACGACGAGGTTCTGCACTGTGAAAATTTTCGTTGCAAGCCGGCCAATTGGGCAGCTTGAGCTTCGCAAACCTCTGGTGCAAAACTTCATCCGAATGCAAGGTGAAACCACTTCCGATATTGCTACCCTGGCTCGATTCTTCCTAGGAGGTCTAAACCTTACCGGGCTTATATCTCAGTCACTCAATTACATTGTCGACAACGCCCAAGGAGTGTTCCTCTGGGTAAGACTCGTTGGAGAGGAGCTGATTGCATACGAAGAGAAGGGAGTATCCGAGGAAGAGGTATTTGAGTTTCTCAAACGACTCCCAACGGAGCTTGAAGATTTCTACCGGCGTATGTTGCAGCAAATTCGCAACAAGGAAGCTGATCTCCGAGGCGCAGTAAAGATGGTCCAATTCATCCTTTTCGCTGGACGGCCTGTGACAGTAGAAGAGGTGGTACACGCTTTAGCGGTTTCGGAAAACCCGGCGACCGAGTTCTATGCTTCGGACGAGATTTTCCAAAGACGCATTCCTTCTGAACGATACATTATTTAACGCGCAGCAAACTTTCAGGAGATTAAACCTCATGATCCTGTTACTGCTTCGCTACGAGATAACACTGGAATAGTCCAAGTTTATGCATCAAACGGTCCGAGAGTTTTTCCTTCGTCCCGAAGGCGACGTGGCAAATTCGGATTTCCTGATGAACTGGCGAGATACGCATGCTAGTATCTCTGTCACTGGCCTTCGCTATCTCATGCTCTGTGCCGCAAGTACTTCTTTGACCGAGAGATTGCCAGCTGTACCATCTTGGCACCCAAGGCACTTCGATGAATATGCTCGGTATCTGGACGATCGGCCACTAGCAAACTATGCGCTACAGTACCTCGGACAAGTTCGTGTTAATGGTGGATCTCAGAGCTCAACTTTCAGGAATAATCTTCTTACTTGCGGCGGCGCGCAACGGGTTACCCACGGCGTTTGAAATCTTGCTCGCCACCGGCGTAGACAGCAAAACAAGGGATGAATTCGGATTGACTCCGATGTCTTTGGCGGCAATAGGAGGACATGCACACATAGTAAGGCTGCTCCTAGATGCGGGCGATGACTCCGCCTCGTCCCTGGATCCCCTTGGTCGGATACCTTTGCATTGGACAGCACACAGCGGTTACGAGGATGTTGTCAAGATACTGGTGGATAATCCATCTCCCAATGCCGACATAAGCGATACGCTCGATGGCCGGACAGCTTTATCATTGGCTGCAGAAGGCGGCCACACAGCATCGGTTCAGCTGTTGTTGGACCGGGAAGATGTCGCTGCGGGTAGAAAGGACAAATTTGGTCTGACGCCACTTGCTTGGGCATCGCGAAGCGGCCGGGAGGATGTGGTAAAACTACTGGTTGGACCGACCGGACGTCAAAGCAGACTCACGAGACATCAATGGCCAAACGCCCCTATCATGGGCCGCAAGAAATTGACATTGTGCAGTCGTCAGCCTCTTGGTAGCACGAGGAGACGCTGACGCTGCATCACAAGACGTCAATCAGCGAACACCCCTCTCCTGGGCCGTGGAAAGCGGCCATCTCGAACTAGCAAGGTTGCTGCCGCAAACTGTGTCAGCTGGGTTGAAAGATGGCGACAAGTATCAAGGCACATCGTGCGGAGTCGGGGAGACTGAACCTAACAAGTAGCCTGAGACTCACCAACACGCCACCATTGCAGCCCTCTAACGACAGCATCATCTCATCTCGTCGCAGCAGAAGCATGACAGAACAGGCCGCAGTCCCCACGAAGCGACGCTTTCGACTCTGGACGGCTAATTGATCTCGATCTTGTGCAGATCGTGATGTACCCAGGCTTCTTAAGCCTGTTTTGCCGTGATGGACCAATGCTAGAAGATCTACAGAAGGTAGAATAACACCCACAGGACGCCGACAATTTCAAGTCTGTATAGGCCAGCTTAACTTCAGCTGCTCTACAATTGTCAACCCGGGGTCTCTCGACGTTTGCCAGAATACCGCACTGATGATAGTGGCGTTTGGATGATAGGCAGCGCAACAGCGAGTGTCTAATCTAGGGCATGTGTCTTCAACCGAAACTAGTGACTCGACACCCTTGCCGCTCGAACGCACCTCAGAATCCACAGCGAACGCTTCTCTGTGACCCTTGCAATCATAGTCAAATCTTCTTTCTCGAAACACCGATTCTAAATGCCGGAGTGGACATCTGGCGCCCAGTCAAAGTCTGGCGTCCGCTCCATCCGTGCACCATTCCCGAAATGAAGATTGAGCGTCACATCCCTTCTGATTCCGTCTCCAGCTGGCCCATCCCTCAGTGCGCTTGCTGCAATATGTAGACCCCGACAAACTGCCTTGTCCGTCATTCCCTCATCTCTAAGCGTCTCATTCACCGTCCTTGCAGCTTCCGCACAATGTTGATCCCATGCCTCCCACAATGTCACAACAACGTGCCGAAATCCGGCGAGCTGGAGCGAGTCGATAAGTACCCTAGAAACAGCGGGGTCTCGCGGTTCTGGGCCTGCATGCTCTGGTCGCGCAGGTCGCCAACTGTTAAACGTGAGGTCTGCCAGCCCTTGAGCAACAGGCTACTCTGCGATCGATCGAGCCGCTCTGACCGCTCGTGGTCCGCAACGGAAAGATTGGTAGTTCAACTTGGGGACGATGCAGGGGTTGAGATGCCCCATGCCGTCCTGTAACGAGGCGGTTGAAAACGCTTGACAGAGTTGACGTTGCTGCCAGCGTTGCAATGTGGGAGCCATTTTATCTTGACGCCCCTTCAGGCAAGCACACAAGAGGTTGCAGACTGTCTCCTGTCGTCCTGACGCCAGCGTCTGCGTTTCCACCAAGAGCCCCGGTTATTTTGACCCCAGATATCTAACCCAGCTTGCAGATTTGACACTGGCAACATACTACACTCAGAGGTCGAAAATTTATGTCCACATCCGTCTCCGCCGGCATTGAAATCCACTTACGCCCTTCGTGCTCGGCAGGTTGAATGTCGACATATGTGCAGCTTCGTTGACGAACGTTTCAGAGACAATGGTCCGGATGAAAACAGCCGCATACAGCTGTTGAAGCCTGGAAAGTATGTTCTACCAGACGGAAACGGACATCAGTAAAAGCGTAAACACTGTTTCTGACATCGAATGAGGATACTTCTGGGTAGACTCCATGCTGAGAGTCCTATGATTCCTATTTTCGTCTGGTTCATCCGCCGAAGCACGAAACCAAGGATATGCTCTATCTGCGACGAATCTTACTACGACGTCGAGATCGAGAGCGAGGAGAAATGGACCAAGTCGTGCCTAAGGTTTCCAGGACCGTGGATGCAGAGGATGCTGGTGTTTCTCACCAAGGCAATGCTGAAATGTCAACATGACCCCGCCGCCTGCACCGGGTGCCACCAGAAGCACTTGGCCACGCAGTTGGAGCAGAAATGACGGACCCAATGTGAACCGAACTGTCGTTCGCAGAATGCGGCAGGGGGCTTGAACACAACGAAGTTCAAGCTCTGGAATCAGAAGTGACGGCGCATTTGTGAGTAAGAACGTCCCCCCCCCCTGCTCCCTTCTTCCATGCTCGGGGCCCGATTTTATCACAAATTTCCCTTAGCAGATGAAGGTCTTGACCGTTTCACATGTGCCGAGTACGACAACAACCACGAGAGACACGGCGATCCCGACTTCCAGGGGACGCAGGACGAGATCAGCCTGCCAGGTCCGGATCCAGAAGAATGAAGGATGCGCCCATATGCGCTGTACGTGAGATCCTTTTCAGCCCTTATCTTATTTTTCTCCCCTTTTTGTTTTCTTATGAGATGCTGACCCCACAATTACTCTCCCGTAGGTATCGCAATCGACGTTCATTTCTGCTGGAATTGGCTGTATGCCTGGCCGCGCGGGACAAGGTATACCTCTAACCACAATTGTACGCCGCAAGAGCAGCCATAAGTGGAGATCTATCTGGACGAAATTTGCTACCGCAAAGAAACCAAAAAAAAAAAGCCAGTGATTCTAGAACTCGACGTTTCCCCAAGGCCTGAACAAAAGCCATGCCCAAGCAATGGATCCTCACGATGGTCTATCTAATTCTAGCGTTGCCCTTTTCGTTTCGTTTCGTTTCGTTTCGTTCCTTGCGCTGGACCAGGTTGGGCCCGGAAGTATGTCGCTGTCGGCGAAGAAATAGAGAGATAGAATGAAAAAGACTCTTGCCTCGCGCAAATAGTCCTGCCTGCCCGAGCGAGAGCTCTGCCCCCATTCTTGCGCCGGTTGTCTCCTGTTCTCTCAATGCCTTATAACCTTCTGTCCGTCGCGACCCAGTTGTAGCCATTGCCGGCACCTAGATGAAGCAAGCAACCCGAACCTCTTAATCATTGAATATCATGGAGAATTGTATCAAACGCCAAAAATAGAAATCACGATAAAAATACCGCATCAAAATGGTCACGCCTAGCGTTTTATGTATTCCGAAAAAACAAGCGCCAACACATTTTCCACTTTCCTTCCCTTCTCTCCCCTCTGAGGATCTCTCTTTTATCTCATTCCTGAAGGGCCCTGTTCTCTCTGTCAAGGTTCCTTATGATCAAATGTTTTGGTGTCTCCCTCGTTCCTGCCTTTCTTGCTGCTCCAACTCGCGGCTCACTAACCCGACACACTCGTCCATAACATCGCCACCGACCCTCCACTTCCTCAAGACCACCCCTCTCGAGCGCATAATCTCTTCTGCCCTCGCCCACCGTCTGCGCCAAATCTCCAATTTCTTATCGTACGGTGCAGTTGCGCCCGGGGGTGGTGGGGTCGGACTCCCATCACTGGCAGTTGCGAGAGGGTCAGAGCCCGGATAGCCGGAGCCGGTTGCCCATCGTGCGGCGGCAGCGGGGTAAGAGGACATTCCCCTTCGTGCAGGTAGTGGTGGGTTTGAGCGGTTGTCGCTAGATAGACCGCCTTGATCGGATGAAGAGGTCGCACTGCGGGAAGGCGAGGAGGCGCGGATTGCTGGCAGCGCGTTATATGCGGAAGCGATTTGCCGGCGGGCGGCGGTCACATATCCATCATCGTTTCGTGATGAGGTGCTGGCGGATGTGTTTGTGCGTGAGATTGTAGGTGGGAGAGGTGGTGCAATCGAGGTTGAGCTTGTTTGTCTCGATAGATCAGAGGGCATTTGAGGCTGGCTTTGATTCTGGCGCGGGGAGGAGAATGGCGCCCTCGAAAGAGGCTGTGGTGCCGGCTCGATCATGGCGTGCCCAGCATTGGTGTCCGCTGTCCGTCCACTCCGACGCGGTTTAGGGGGCGGTGGCGGCGGCGGTTTCTTCTTCACGGCTTCTTGAGTCTCTGTATCCGATGACGCTGATAATCTCTCGTGATTGGTGGGCGGAGTTGGTTGGGAGGTAGAGAAGTTTCGTAAACTCGAGGGTTTATTTGGTTTATTGGGAGCATGCAGTTTGCCATTTGCGTCCAGCTGGCGCATGTCGCTCAGATGCGAAGGAGGCCTGAGGGAGCGATGTTTCGCATCCGAGTTGTTGGTGAAATCAATAAGATCTCCCTCTGCAAGCTTCGGTTCGACCATCGATCTCGGTCTCTCAGGCAAAGCAGGCCTGTTCTCAGGAGCGTCAGTGTCCATGTCCCCAGGGGACCGACTAAGTCGTCCTCCATTTTTCGCAATCATGGAATCCGGTGGCGTGTTCGACATCGCTTGATCGAAGAAACCCTTCTTCACCGGCGTTGTCACATCCCTGATGAACACCCCTAACACTCGTCCTGGGTGTTCAAGGACAACATCAGTGTACACTTCAAGATCTGCCTCTCCACTGTCCCCAACAAGGATGAATTTCCTCTGGGGGAAGTCATTCATGATTCGATCCAGCGAACCACGCTTCCGTTCTGCCGCAGGTTCGAATATCCCCTGCAACATTCCAGAGTACTGCTTGAGGTGGAACGAGCCCGAAGGCAAACCTGCAAGAGAGAAATAACTGCGCAGTAGTGGATACATCTGCCAGGGAGAATTGGAGACGTAATGGAGTTTGACATTCATGGCAGCCAGTTTCGAGTACCACTCCTTGACACCCTTGATAGTCAAGTCGCTTAGTTCTCGAATGAAAGCGTTTTTGAAAATCTCTCGCGCACCGCTGCTGATGCCGGAATGTTTGATCGTATCATCAATATCGCTGACAAGACTAACACCCTTGCTCTCTGTAACGATGACATCTTCAACCGCAGACAGTTTATCCGAGGCCAGGACCCGGACTTGATCAGGGACGAAATCCAAAGCAGCTCGTAGATTGAAGTGACCTGATTCATCCGTCGTTACGGACTTCGAAGTCGACTTGGACTGGTTGAAGAAGAAGACCGTGATCGGTACATTTGCAGTTGGCATTGACATGAAGGGTTTTAGTCGAGCCAACAATAATTCATTTGCTGCTGACAGCTCTCCCCTGCTCATGTTTGCGGGTTCGTTCCACGATGGACGCTTAATCACCGATTGTCCACCGGGATCCTCGTCATCACAATCTGCGGATGCCGCCATTGATCGTGTTGGCGAGTTTGATCGACTACCGGCAGGAGTGTCTCCTTTTGAGGGAGTTGAACTGTAGCTCCCTCTGACCGCCGCGTCCGCTTCTCTTTGTCCGCGACGGGCAATATTCTCTGCCTCTCTCGCGGCGACTTCGTCCTCATACCGGGATGAATTGTCGTCCGCTTGTATGCGATTGGTAGGCGCTTGGCTTGACGGACGCGAAGTCATGGGGCTGGAGCTCGGAGCGTAGATGCCGCTGAGTCTTCTGGCGACCGCAACAAGAAGCCGGTTCTTTCTATTCAGCGGCCCTTGTTGGGGAGAATATATCCATCCACGGACATCAACGTCGACGATGGCGTTCGCATCTTCATATTTCTCCCATTCTCGCTTCCAGTAGTCTGCATCTCCGCTGCTGTGTGGCGTTTCCACGGACTCCTGCGTTCCAGGCGGGTATCTAGTGGCGTCGTCTTGTTGGTTGTTCCGCCTCGTATGTTTCCTTGCGTAACTGGGAAACAGGAGCATTTCCTCATTTTCACTTCTCACGATCTCCACATCGGGCCAATCTCTCGACATCCCTCCATCCCCAACGCTCTCCTGCAGCTTTTGCTGTATTTGAGCCTGATATGTCTGCCTCAGCTCATTCGCCGCCCTCAGGTACCCCTTCACCTTCTCTCTCCTGGCGCCCGGCACCCGATTACCGCCATAACTCGTCATCTGATCGGCTGCCGAGGTTGATCTCGTTCCCCTCCAACTGTGTCGACCACCGGCATGGTGCGGTGTTCCATATATAGCCCTCAAAATACGGCTCTTCCCGATGTACCGTCGCAGGGATGAAGCAAACCGGCTTTTTACAATCTCCCTTCGTAAGAATAGGACGAGGTCTCTGCTCGCTTCTCTCCTTTCTCGTTTCTTCTGCTGCCTGTGCACAATGGCCCGGTAGATGCTCGACTGTGCTTGAAGACGCAGTTGAGGGATGTATTCGTGACGGAAGCCGAGATATCTTTCGCGTGCGCGCCGATGGGTATTCGGGAAGAGGTAGCGGAGGAGGGAGAAGGCGTTACGGGACCTTGTTAAACCGCGGAGTGGAGGAGCCACGATGGCTTGGACGGCGGGTGGAGATTACGAGGTATTGTCGCCAGCGCTGAGTCTGGCGGCCTAGGCAGTCGCTGCGAGGAACAGGTGGCGACGTTATAGAAAAGCGCGCGACAAAGGCCGAGCAAGTACCAGGCTCTAACGTTACACAAAAATGAACGGCAGAATTTGTGTCTTTGCTCAGTTGCTGCGGTTTGCCCTATCGACGGCCGCCGCCCCGTGTCCCCCAATTTGCCGAGTACTGGGTACGTCATGGGGCCAGCCTTGGTCAGCCTTGCGGCTGTGGATCCATCCATAGATTTGCGTTTGAACACGCCCAGAGGATCAGAGATTGCTCCTCGTCTTCCCAACAAAATCTATTGCACTCTGTATGCATCAAATATGTATTGCTCTACCTTTTGCTCCCACAAAATACTCCTAGCACTGTGCGTCTCGGAGCTTGAACACGCGACAGTCCCAAGATAAGTCAGGCAGGTTGCACCCTAACGGGCCAAGCTCAGCCTGCGTTGTCAGCATTGTGCGTTGGCGAAAGCTTTGCTTCTTCTCCTCAGCTCCAGTCTTTGTCAAGTACGGCATTGATCCTCTCAACTACTTTCCGTCCCAATATCTCGGCAAAAATGTCTCTCCGCTCATCAGGGTGCATCGCCACGAACCTCCTTAACCCCCAATTCTGGTCAAATGTCATGTCAGGTGGGTGTGCTCTTCTCAACTCTCCAAGGACAACTTGGGCCGCCATAGGGTTCAAGCCAGCCTTCCTGAGAAATTGCTCCCAGAGCGTCTCTTCGTTGATGAGCGTAACTGTATCCATCTCCGGACGCAGGCTCTGACACGGGCGAGTCTCTGGAAACCCGTGTCGGCAAGCCAGATTCCAGGTCCATTTGCTAAGAGCGGTCTCAACTGATCGACCGCCATACTTCGACAAGACCCAAATAGGATGCACACGAAGGCCATAGCGATGGCAGGCATTTGCACAGAACCCCACAAAAGTGGTCATTGTGTCAATCTGTGACTGCAGCATGCTCCCCTCGAGACCCAGAGTCGTAACCAGAACGAAAAGTTGGGTGTAGTGATATCCGAGTCTCAGGATTCTGCTCTGAATCATACCTTGGCCTGCTTCGATTCCTTGTCCAGGCAAGCTTTTCTGGTTCAATTCTTGCAAAGTTGTGAATATAAGAGCTGTCGTCGGATTCAAAATCATGTCCGGAGACGCTGAAAGGGGTGCATCACGGTTAGATCGGCTCATCTGTCGATATATCATATTAAGTTGTTTGCCTCCATTTGTCTCTAGGAAGCTGATGAGTGAAGAATATCTTGCGAGAGTGGCTGTTTCGATCAAAATCGTTCTAGGCCATTTTAACTCCATGAGTGGGTAAACCTCGTCGTTATCACCGGGATATGCAGCTTCGGTCGGTGTGGAGGGTACCAGGCTGATGGATGGGTTCAACTCGGCCAGTGCTCCCGATGGTTTCGAGACCAAACTGCGCGCCGAGCTGATCTGACTGTCTTCTTCAAACTGTGTCGGCTGAATGGGATCGTCTACCAGTTCGTTTGCCGAAGGTGGTTGTGGTTGCGCAACTCTCTTGAACCTTCCTCCCCGAAGATCAAGAAATGTCTCCAACGCGTTGGAAGTTGAGAAGACGTTAAAGGCATGGCTCTTCTTGTGACTTAGCGAATTCTGGATTCCATTGGTATCCAACATGGAAGACTTCTTGGTCGGTGACGTGCAGGGCGAGTCCGATCCATGCTTGGGTCTCTTGGCTGGGACGATAGGCTCGGCCAGTTTGGACATGTCCTCATGCAGCTCAGAGTCCTCCTCTATTTCACCATCACTCTCATAATTCGTATCGAGAATGCGGAGGCCAGGCTGTTTCCAGAGCATTTGCTCACTTTTGGTAATTACTTGCGGTGGGTCCAGAAAGCTGCGAACCTTGCCATCATCCTGAACACTGTCGACAAGTTCCAGCTTGATGAATCGAGATGGAAAGGGCGACCAGTTAAGTTTCATCTCGTTCTGCAAGTTTCCCGTCTGTGGGCTGACCAAGCACATCTCATCAAGTTTGCGCATGAGAAACTCAGTACTTTGACCATCATACGGAGACATGACAGAAAATGGTTTCAGTTGCGGCACTGGCTGTTTCAGACATTCTTCTGGTATGCTGATTTTGTCGCGTCTCAACCAGGTATCTGTCTCCTCCGCTGCTCTGTTGGCCAACTTGATCAACTTTTCATCCAGGTCATTCTCTTGTTTCGCCTCAAATCCAACATTTTCAGACATAACGGTTGTGAAGGACAGTAGATCTTCAAGAGAACCTAGGTTACTGCTGTCGACTGTGCATTCCGTCGTTGTTGAATCCGGTTGGATTTCGACGATCGGACTACGTGGTGCAGTTCGGGTAAAGAAACTGGCTCTAGCTGGCTGCTCAGGCTCTGCTGGAGGAGACGAGATCGCGGCTTGCTCGCTCGATTTCTCGAATTGCGAAGAAGAAGAAACCATCAGCACATTAAGCCGCAGATTTTGAAGGCCCCTTCTCTCTCGGTGATGCTCAGCAAGTGGTGCACATATTGTCTCTATTCTCAGATTCTCTTCGATCTCCAACTTGGTCGCGTCCCCAATCCCTTCCAGGATATGTTTGGCCATCGTCGGACTTGCGTTGCTGATCCCGTCCAACAATATTTGGTCTTTGTCTTCCATCTCCTTCTCTAGCTGAAGGAGAAGATTGTCCAGGTCACCATCTTCATCAGATCGTAGAGGGAAGTCTAGATCGGGAGGTGACGGAACTCGTGGCCCTAGCGGCTCTGACATCAACAAGGGTGTCAAGGATCTTGCTCGTGGTTTCTACACTTCGTCAGTCCGGTTTGAAAGGCAGGAGATCGGGAGGCGAATCTTCACCATGGGGAGGAAGCTGTCGAGTATCGTAGCCTTCATTTCCTCGCTCACAGGGTCTTTCAACGAATCTGATAAATGTACCAGGGCCTCTTTCGTAGTATGGCATCTCTCATCTTCCAGCTCTTGTTCGACTCCTCTCCGAGCGTGACCAGATTGGATGTCGTTCCACTCATCTTGGAAATCCTGCCCTGATGCAGAACTGATCAAAGAACACATCTCGAAGAACTCCTCTGTGTCCACGTGGCTCAACGCTTCACGTCTGAAACGGCGAACATCTGTCTGGTGGTCCCCTGCCAGCAGAGGCTCCTCGATTTTCAGGTTTTGGACACGGTGCCGGTCTGGCAGAAAATGGCTCCAATTGATTGAAGGGTAGTGGTCCAAAACGCTCTCAGCCAGCGAGGAGGTAGCTTGCTGGCTAAGCCGCAGCTTCGGTTCTACAAACTTGTCAGAAAATGTCGAGAAATCTAGATCGGACAGCTGTTGGTCATCCTCAACGGCACGTAGTGGTAACTGTGAAATGTACGTCACCAGATCTTCGGAGGTGTGATCAATAGCAAGGCCGTGGAAGCGGGCATATTCGAGAACTGAAGGTGCAGACATGATGGAACCATTTCGATGAAATCAGCCATGATGGGAAGTGAAAAGAGCAGGTGATGGAAGGATGAGCAGGACTTACTCCTCCATCTCAAATCGCCAAGCCCAGGGATAGAGAGTGCCAATATACACATGTACCCATACAATTACACTGATTGCGGACTCAAAAGCTATTCCCCTGTCCAGGACTGTTTCTTCGCGTCGAAGTTGTTTTTGTTGTTAGATTCCACTACAAGATATCCCAAGGGAGCGAGACAGGCGCCTGCAATATCAAATCGGCTTACCAATGCTCCAAGATGAACTCGACGGTGAAACCTTCACTCATTGCATTCGCCAAAGGAGAACGGCTTAACGCCCGGGGCCTGTGCATCTATCATCCTGACTTAATGATCTGAACATGACGTCGTTGTCGTGTCTCGAGTGCAGCGAAGATACGAAAATCGAGACTCTTCAAGACAAATGAAGAATAACAGCCCTTAGCAGCCAAGTCAGCCCCTACAGGTGCATGTCAATCACTCTCTGACCAGTGTTTTGGAGCCTTGGTTCATGTTCTATTGCGGTCTATTCAGGACGCAGACGCCATACTTGATGGGTTCTATAACGAACATGTGACACATCATCCATGGTCCAGATCTTTCAAGGAAGTATTCCATCTCAATCCAAGATCCCCAAACCCCAAGCTCATGGTCCTTGGAACTCCAATGATATAGGAAAGCTTGCAATCTCCGATAGCTCGATCTCCTTGTTCACAGCGACCAGCAAGACACGTGTTTGGAGGTTGATCGTCCCCAGATCGATGGCCGGCTTGACACATCCGAATTTGGGGCTGTTCGAAGTGAATTTAAACCCAGTCCGCTTTTAGCTAACCATCTGCCATCTTACATAAAAAGTATATCTCGGCTCTCCGCACTGCATGTCGGTACCGGACGAGAGGAGAGAGGAGCTCCTGCATATTCCTCGGTAGCGCGTCGCAAGTGACACATTCGACAACGCCCTAAGATCCAATAGACCTCGTGTTAATGTCGATGCTGGTCCGCGATCTATGAGCTGTGCACAGTTGCTCTTGGAGTAAGAGCCTTTGGAGTATCTCTGGGGTCTGTGAACTCTTGAGACCCCTAATCCCCAATTGCAGAGAGAGAAAACATTTTTAAGGGGCAGAATTCTGGTATCAGAGTCTGCACGTGATGGTTGTGGTATGCAAGGTTACCCCCTGGCATCCGCAAGAACCCATGATATGACTGTCGGATTATGTAGCTAAACTAGAGTATTTCCAACTGTGCCTTTGTTCCGAGAATGTGGTACGGGTTCTCCGCCGTGTAATCATTTGCGAAAATGGAAAGATGATGCCGAAGGCTACACGGAGTGTCCTTTGGAGAAGAGGAGAAAGCCTCCCTATTAACTCTGTTTGCTTCGATCGTGTATCTGCATGAAGCTATTGGACGTTAGACACCGTTTTGCACCTTAGGACCCTTCCTCTCCGCCTCTAATAGCGCTATAGTGTCCTCTGTGATAAGATCTATATTGGACATGGTTGATCCCGGACCTTCAGGCATCGGGCTGTCGATGTACACCCTCCTGGTAAAATTCTTGAGCGTTTCCAGCACCGTGCCGCCCTCGTAGTCGCCATTCTCAACCACTTCTAGCATGACCGCGGCTTGCTCCTCGGGAGTGATCCAGATGTCCTTTTCATGGGCTGCCTTGAGCTTTTCGGGATGATCTGACCACAGCGGCGTATACACCATTCCCGGGGCGACGGCGACCACTTTAATGCCAAATTCCTCGTGCAAAGGAGCCAAAGACCTCACGATGGCCGACACCCCGGCCTTTGCGGCGCTATAGATCGGTTGGTTGAATAGCATACGTTGCGCAGCTAAGGAGGAGATGTTGAGGATAACTCCCACCGTGCCACCGGCCTTGCGGCCCTTGGATCGTGTGATCTGGTCTCGGATTGCTAAGCGTGTACCTTTGATGAGGGCTCCGAGATTGATGTCCAGGGACTTGTAGCTTTCTGTCTCTGTGTCGTTCCAGAAGCTGGACCATGCCTGTGGTGGACGATTGAAGTCAGCAAGCAATGCCTAGGCTTTTCGATAGCAAGGCGTGATGGCCAGACATACCGGCTCGAATACGCCAGCGCCGTTGCATACTATATCTAGCGTTCCTAATTCCGCCTGTGCACGTTTGAAGAGGGCTTCGAGTTCATTCCATTTCGACACGTCGGTTTTTTGGAATAAAAGCTTGGTCGACCGCGGCTCTTTCTCAAATTCCTTGAACGCAGAAGACTCTTGAATGTCTCCCACAATAACGTTGGCACCTTTGCTGATGAGCAGTTTAACAAAAGCGAGGTTTATCCCTGTTCGTTGCCACTTAAGATTAGCTTCAGCGCTTTGGATTGTATTTTCAAATTAACAAAACAACTAGGGTGAGTTCCGAGTTTACCTGAGGCGCCGCCTGTGACGATAGCATTCTTGCCTGCAACTGGAAATGACATTTTACTCTGATGCTCCTGATTCTAGCTCGTTGGGTTGCTTGATGTGTCCAAAATATGCCAATTGTTGACTCTACCAGCCTACAATATTGAATTATTGCCATCATGAACTAGATATCACAGACAGCCCAACTCCCTTGGAGAATATTGGAGAAGCAGGAAAAGCACTCCCGACAGTTCATTCACGTGCTGGCCTTAAATTTGTCTGTTGCTGTAGTGGTGAAGATTTTCCCTTACCAAGTAACTTTGTCTGTAGATGTTTCTTGCACCTCGGTTCTCCGCTCTCCGCTCTCCGCTCGGTCGAAGCCAAGACTCTCTCGACACAACACAACTGGCAGCTCCACGACAAGGCTGGGGTAGCCAGGCTCGATCAGGATAGGCTGCCGTCATTAGAGTCAAGTGCGGAGTCAGAACCCTCAGTGTCAGGGTCAACCCCATGACAACGAAAGCAGCTCGCTAGACTGGCGCAAATTGAAGCCTCTTACAATTCCTGATCGACAATTATCTACTTGTAATTAGACGACACTGTGGACGGCTTTGAGCTCTTGGCATCACGGTCTTCGGTCTGATAGGTCGCCGCCATGGCCACGGATGGAAGTCTAGTTGGCACTGTGCCTATGGAAAGAGCTTCCGCTTTACCACCGTCATTTGAGGGTCATTCAAATGGGTTCTTTTAGTCTCTTGGACTTACATTGTCGTTTAATTTGGCAGCCAGACCCACTTTCTCGCGGGCGTCAATAACGGCTGCCCAGATGGCCATAACACGACGGTTTCGCTTGACCACATCTCTTCAGCTCAACCAGTACGGGAGGACCTCCCTCGTGTCTGTGTCTTTAGCTGAACCTTCGTCTGCCATTTGTCCGCAATGATTCTCCAGGGATGGCGCGTCCCCAATGAGCTCCCCATGAGGTCTTCTCTTCCTGGTCAATACGAGGCGGGCCTAGATAGCTTCCCAAAGTCAATTTGGCCTGAAAGCACCTGACTTTGGCTCACAGACCCTCTTGGGAGAATTCACCTTCCCCAAGGTTCCCCAAAAGGTCCTCCAATCCTTGTGAGAACGAGTCGTTCTGGACCTTCTTGCTTTAGCAAGGCCAGAACTCGATTGGGTGGAATGCATATTGTCCTTTCCCCTTTCCAGCATCAAGTCTGGGGTACAGGAAGGTCGCACCATTTTGTTCAAAGAAATGTTGGAAACGTGGCAATGCACTAACTAGCCTCATGCAAGTTATATAGCTGTATCCCTGCGAAATCCGATTTCTTGATCGAAAGGTCTTTCCAGATTCTCTTCCTGAATAACCCAAATTCTCCCTCGCTTAAAAATCCTTGCGAGGACCAAAATGGCTCTATCTGCCTCAACACTTCGTCTGCTCGTAAGTCGATCATGCAAGAAGCACCATAATTTCTAGAAGCCATGTACTTACTTCTCAAAAGATCGTCATCTTCGTCGCGCTTGGAAGCACAACCTATGGCTATTGCGCCTCCATCATCAGCACGACCCTGGCGCAGCCCTCCTTCATCGCCTACTTTGCACTTGATACCCGGTCCAATGCCACAGATCTTACCGGTTCAATCTTTGGCCTTTTCCAAACCGGTGGTTTCTTCGGTACATTGTCATGTCTGAAGTCTGCCGACTGGTTGGGTCGACGCAAAGCACTCTTCTACGCGAGTCTGGTAACCACCGTGGGTGGAGCCCTCCAAGCCGGCAGTGTGAATATTGGAATGTATATCTTTTCACGATTTCTCACTGGCATTGGCATCGGTAGGTGGACTATTTCTCGGAAGAAACCAAGCTTCCAGCAGAAGAGACTAATCTTAGCCCTCTTGAACAGGCGCTCTCGTTACACTTGTGCCGCTTTATCAGAGCGAAATTGCTCCACCCAAGATTCGAGGCTTCCTTGTTGCCATGCACGGCGTGATGCTGTGTGTTGGTTACTCAGCCGCCAGCTGGGTCGGCTTAGGATTTTACTTCGTTAATGCTGGCGGAGCACAGTGGAGACTCCCTCTTGCTATCCAGGCGATTTGGCCTGCTGCGCTTGCTGCCGGGGTCTTGTTCCTGCCTGAAACCCCCAGATGGCGTATGTTGTCCCGGCCTTTCTGCTCCCCTTATTGCTGGTAGTGACATGCATACTGATGAATCGGAAACAGTGCTTGATCACGATCGGTTTGAGGAGGCTTTCGAGTCCTTCAAACGTGTCCGTGCAGAGACATCTGATGCCTTCTTGAGCGACGAAGCAGCCCTTAGAGCCGATTTTGCCGTCCTGCGTGAGCAAATCATCTTCGAAAAACAACAGCAATTGTCCTTCTGGGATCTTTTCCGCCTTCCTCATTATCGAAAGAGGCTTATCGTCGGTTTTATTACCATGGTCGCCCCTCAAGTCACGGGCACTCAGATCATTTACAGTATGGTTCACATGCTTCTGGTATTTCTATCACTGGACTATTCTAATCTGGTTGATTAGACTACGGTTCGCAATTATACAAAAGTCTAGGATTCAACACCCTTGAACAGCTTCTTCTGAGTTGTGGCTGGATCACTTTCTCGCCCTTTGGCAATTGGTTTAATGGCCTGGTTGTGGACAAAGTGGGCCGAGTGAGGATGCTGGGTACGCAATCCTGATTCGTATACACTACATTTTGGGGCGTGTACTGACTGTCTGATAGTGATCGGAATCAGTGGCTGCATCCTGTGTCTCGTAGGCGAGGTCATCACGCTCGCTCAGCTCGAGAAGGGACAAAATCGGGCAGCCACGAATGCGGCTGTTTTCTTCCTTTTCTTGTTCGTGGGCTTCTATGCAAGCTTCATGTAAGACTTCACCGCATGCCTCTATCAGTGTTGCAGGAATTAGTGAAGCTCCTGCCTTCTCCCAATCAATGTTCCTAGCGCTGACAACGAAACACAGTGATGCCACCACATATATCTACGCTTCTGAAATTTGGCCAACTCCGGTCAGGGCGAAAGGCCTGGCATTGTCCATCTCGGGCTTGTTTCTCTCATCGCTGGCAATTCTTCAAGGGTAAGTTGCTATAACTCTTCTCTCTTCGTGAATCTCGTCCAGTCTCTCAACATGGGCTGATTATTTATACGCAAATCAGAGCTCCAGCCGGCTTCGCCAACATTGGATGGCGATACTACTTGGTCTTCATCTCAGTCACCTCTGTGATGGTTGTTTTCATGTACTTCTACTTCCCAGAGGTAAGCTCTATCCTATTCCCTTTCCACTGTGCAAAAAAAACAGGGCAAAAGTGGCTGATCTGTTACGCAGACCAAAAAATTGAGCTTGGAGGAGATTGGAGAAATATTTGGTGATGAAGTTGCACATGTCGACGCGAGTACAGCAACGGCCATGGGTGAGAAAGGAGTCACCGAGCTACACATCGAAACCACAGATGCAAAACAGTAGGCTACCAGCTCATTGGTGACACACCTGGCGACCTCCATTAACAGAGAGGATGAGAAAAGCAGAATTACACGGAGAGGAGTCCCTGAGCAAAGGGCACGAGGTCGGAACTAATCAGAGCAGGGAACTGTTACAAATAGTAAATAATACTTGTTTCTGATCCTATCTCGCTCGATCCGCATATTTTGCAATGTCGTCTTTCATCAGGAATACCCACGGTACTTCCTAATAATAGCACCACTGTAATCCATAACAATACCACCATGCCTGTGAGCGAACAAAAAGGGAACTCTAGCTACAATGTTTGCACTGGTAAATAGATTCCCAGATGACAATTCTGACAGCTAAACTGAGGGCACGAGCCCTCAACACACCAAGGAAGCGTGTCAAGGTATATGCACCCCGGATACGGATCAAAATGTAACCTCATGCGCTCCTATCGAAAAATCCACGTGGTCCTGGGGCCAGTTGTCTCAGCCTTCTTGCTGTCGACCCTCTACACTTCACCCAGGTGGCGATGTGCTCGCCGCCTTCGCGCCAAGTACATAAGCGAATTTCCCAGGCCGAGACCAACGGTCACTCCGAGTACTCACAGAAGCGAGCGAGGTCTCAGACCTGCCACGATGGATCGTGATCGAACCTCGTCATACCAATTGCCTGCAGGCCAGCAGCACCGCACGGAGTACACATCCCATGGGGAATCGCACCGTTCTGCTCTTGGGGTAGGCAGTTAGCTTGTCCACCAACGAAAGCGTTCGGTCATGGCAGAGATCCGGGGAGGGATTTGGCCTTGGGGAAGCCGGACGAGGTCGCGTGCGGACAGAGTCTGCGAATGCATTTGCCTCATTGTCAATTCTGGTCTGATTTTCCAGGTGGCGGTTGTGGACCTTGTTGTTGCCACTGCAGTGCTCAGAGGGTGTTCGACGGTCTGGACCTGGTTCTCATAAAAGAGGTATTTCGCATGATTGATCCTTTGGGCCGATACTTTTCAGCCGTTTCAAGCCGGTACCATACATATCGTAGTGGTGACGAAACACGACATTCCGGCGTACGGATGCGCCCGCTCGTCTGTTCTCCAGATCAAAACCCACTCACGACTTGGGAAAGCCTGAAGGCGTTCGGACGAAAGGATTGCCCCCTAATTGTGGTTGGATAGATACACGTTGAGCTCCGCTAGTCACTTCGCTACCTCTTCAGAGACACGAACTCTGACTTCATTATCATGTAGAACCCGCTGAGACCGATGTCGGTAGCATTTTCGTCCTATTTCTCAACATATTCCGTGACGCGCTCGGCCACGAAAAGGGGTTCTTGTTGTCCATCAGTGTCCTAGCTTTTAGGATCCAGACTGTCTCGAGCAGCTGTGGGCGCTGACACCATCCTAGGAACCCCTAATACAGAGTCCAGGCCAATGCCAGCTTCTCCGTCCGTAGCCGGCACCTTCCGTTACCCTCTGCTTGAAGTAGTCAAATTCCCATCGCGTTTGAGTAAAGCGAATCGCCGAGAAAATGACCGCAGCTCCTACACAGCTGGGCCTGGCCTGGCCTGATCCTGAAATAATCATCCTTCAAGATGTTATGGCTGTGAGCTGAAGCACTCAAGCACTCCCGGATCGAACTGCTCTTCTCGACCCAGACAAGCAAAGTGGCCAATTTAGAAACGCCAAAGAAACCAAAATGTTAGTGGTTGGGGAGCCAAGTCTGCCAGTGGTCCTAGTTTAGTGGAGTATGCAATCTTCTTAGCCCCCCCCCAAAAAATTAGAGCAGGCTAGTAGATACTCTTTTTCTAGATATTGGTAAATGTGTAAATACTGCACATATTTAAATACTGTGTTTCCCCTGACTTGGAAGCCTTTGTTCTCGAACTGCCACCTAGAAACGATTATCAGAAGTCTCCCGGTCTCGTAATTCATCTCAGCCCAAGCACGGTGCGGGCGCGAAACGATGGAATTCAAGTATCTACCAGTTCCTGTGCGCGAGAGCAGGAAGGCCATCCCAAAGAATCTCTTATGAGCCTCAATAACATCTTCTTCTTCGAACTGTGCGTGTGAATTGAAAGGGAGCTCCTGTTTACCTAGATGACTAATGTAACGCCAGTCAGAATTCTGAGGGACTTGGTCTAGTTGTCACCGAGTTGCCTACCTCGTGCATATTGTATATCACCGTTATGGACCCACTCGGTTTGCCTGCAGTTTAGCCTCGCCAGCCTGCTGCGTACACTAATAGCCTAGTGGGCCCTGCCATTTCTAGTATGGTCGCATGTTAGGCGCGCCGCCGCTTTCGACGCCGCTATACTGAGTACAACCTCGTCTCCCATCCAACCCCTCGCCTCTCTTCCAATCTTTTCCCCCTTTCCTCACCTTCTTTACCAGAACACCTGTCATGCTTCTAACTGATACTAGCTGAATCCGCCCTATTTCCGCATCAGGTCCTCCATCCTCGATTATGTGTCCATTCTTCACCAGCTCCTTGAAAATCTGCCTCGCATTTTCTATGTACTCCGAACACTCCTCATCCCGGTCGGTACTCTACTAATCTCTCCGCGGAAGTTTCTGGCGGGTGCCCCCTTGATCTCCAATACCTTCATGATACGTTTGAATTCACTGGCCGCCCACCGTGGAGGGTCGGCTGACCCCGCCCGTCATCCATGCCTCGACCCCGTCCGTAAAAGTATGAGTGCTGATGCCTGCAAGTATCCTTTGTACCCTCTTGCAATGATAAGGCCGCGAGACGGGCTCCTCTTGTGTTTGTTCCATAATTGTAAAACCCCAGGATGATCAGTTGTACCATGATCGACATGCAGCTCTCCATGTCGCACCTTTGATACTAGGATTCTGCATCTCGACCTGGTGGTGGAAGACACGGAGGGTGGTAAGGCGCACCGGTTGTTTCAGCACATACTGGCACAGCGAGCTGATCGCTGCCGCTCGTGCATCTAATCACGAAAAAAACCGTACGGAGTTGATGGATAGATTATCCTTGCGTTGCAGCCTGCGCTCCTGTGCATATGGAATTTCAGGACCATTGCCCGCATATAATCCATGTTCATCGTTTTCCTTTTCTTTGTGCTCACACTTTCGTTGTTTCTGGGCACTGTTCTGGTCAAGTTGCGAATACAGTCTTGAAGAAAACGGTTCTCTTCTTTTCGAGTTTATCGCGGTCGAATTGAACTTCATTGATCGTTTCTGCCAGTACTCTAAGCAATGTTTGCAGATTTCGAACCCTTTTTAAGCAGATGTCACGGTTGGCTTGAGAAATGGGAGAACATGCGCGAGACTTGCTCTCCCAAACGTTCCCGAACACATCGGTCCAGAATCTGAATGTCCTTACCATTCCGTCTTAGACTCATTGCTCTAGCATCATCCGCTGAGTACCGTAGTCTCTCTCTTTGAAACACGGCCCCCTCTTCGGAGCTATCATCGAGTTCTGGATCTGGCTGTCGCAAAGACGACGCCTTTTCACTCGTAGACGACTAGAGGCTAGTAGAGGGGAGCGTAGAGATTTTTGTTCCGACTACAAGGTAGAAAATAATGTGTTCAAAATTTTGAGGGGAAAGATTCGACAAGAGGATACCTCGACTGTATCTGACGTAGTCATAGGTAGGGGTACGGAAAAGAACATCTGTAGGTGATGACAGATACTTGGATACTAGAAACTGCTTCTGTTTGACCTATTTCTCCTCGTAGAAGTTGTCCTATTTGTTTTCTCTTTCACTCATGGACTTGTGTGGTCATAATCGCATTGGCATTGGGTTTTATTGCGCAGCCGGTGATTAACACACTGACCAAACCCAGATAGAACGTGGAAGATTCGGGGTTGAGAGACCGGAAGTGTTGTGGCCGTTGACTTGCCCAATAGCATAGTGATTAGCATCGAGTGAGTGTCATTACCTAGTCCTCGTATTGCTCAAGCATACCGCTCCTTGAATTTAACCGGTATTGCCATATATCTAAACCAGATGTTGTCAGCTCAACCCGTGAGAGCCACTGTTTCAATTCTGAAGGAATCGACTTACCTCGCCCTCAAGAAATCTGCCAGCCCCTTGCCAAAGTTATCCAGCCTGGCAGTCGAACTTACGCCTCTTCCCAATAACCCATACACAACAAAGTGTACAGCTAAGATGCCCGGCATCTCCACCCTTTCGAGAGCAAATTCTTCCTTCCACTCTCCACCCAATAGACGTATCAACTCCTTCTTTGTGAGTGCGCTGCGCAGCCAATCGTATTCGTCCTGCTCATGCACCCAGAAACCAACGTTATTATTGGAGCCCTTGTCGCCACTGCGAGCATATACAACGTCACCCATGCGGGCCTCGATTGTAGGACCAAAGCTCTCCAACGGCACGGGATTAGTGGTCTCCTCGTCGATCAGCGGCGCCAATGCCTCCGTGACACTAACAGTGCCGGCGTCGAGTACTGTGTACGGTTTCAGCAGTACCGCCTTTTCTTTTAATGCGCTCTGCGGAATAATTGCGGGGACAAAACCAAGGAATGGTCGAGGAACCGCCGTCCTTGTATCAAGTGTAGCATGCATGCCGGAGTAATGTTGCATAACCATCTCACACCACGATGCATAAACCTGGGTCACAATGTCTCTACTCTCCCCTTGCACAAAGACACGCAATATCGCTGTTCCCGCATACTGATCCCTCGGGTTCGTTTCAGGGACGCCTATACGCTGATATTCCAGGATGTCGAGCTGATCTTTGCTGATCCCGCGTCTCTTCATGGCGTGCGCAATCTGCGCTTCGACCAGATCCCATTTTGCGTAAACTTCTCCTAGAGTGCCGGTGGCGGCGAGATACCACTCGAGTTGGTACCCACCCTGGTAGAACATGGCAAGTTTCGTGGTTGCGGGAGGAGGATAGCCCTTGACGCCGAATACGTTGACGCGGTTGTCACCGACTTCTCGCATTTGGATATTTTTGATGTCGGCTTTGACATCGCTGTTCAGGTATATGTTGCCCTGTAGCTCGTACAGGAGCTGACCACGGACGGTGTCGCGCGTGACTCGCCCCTTTAGGGCTTCGTGCTTCGTGACAACGCAGGTCCCGTCTTGTTCGATTTCGGCAATCGGATACCCCAAGTTGACGGAGCTTTCAATGGGAAATTTGGTGAAGCCACAGAAATTGCCGCCAGTGCCGTACCCGCTGCATTCAATTAGGTCTGTAGGGAGATCAGCCGTGAGCCCTTTGCAAAAATAATAGACTCACGTCCTGCAATCAAAGCGCCGGCCAACTGGTCAAAGTCGTGTTCGCTCCACGCATGCCACCACGCCGCCAGTCCAATGACCGGGCTAGCGTCCGCAACGCGGCCACAGATGACAATATCAGCTCCTGCCCTGAGCGCTGCCACGATCCCTCTGGCTCCCAAGTATGCATGAGCAGAAATGATCTCCGGCCGCTCCTTGTTGTCTCGGCTCAGCCAATCCCTCGTTAACTTGTCAATCTTGACACCTTCATTCTTTGCGTCTAGATGTTCAAATTGTGCGCCTCTAAATATCTCTTCCAGCCGCGACGTCACATCGTCGCCTTCCACATATGATAGCTTCAGATCATAACCTTTGGCAGTGACCTCTGATTGAACACGCTCAGCAAGACCTTTGGGATTCAAAGCTCCACCGTCTACGACTATCTTGATTTGTTTCGAGTTTGCTGCCTCAAGTGTTTGCAAGATACCGTCTTCGCATGTGGGTTCCCAGCCCTTGTGTTTGCCAGCTTGGTAGTCCAGCGCATTTGTGGCGAGGTTAAATTCAGCGAGATAATCACCAGTAATTGCGTCGACTTGTCCCGCTGTAGTTTGTTCAAGCATTTTATATCCCGGATCAGCTAAAAGGCATTGTCAGCTGCACTATGCCTGATGCTTGGGAAAGGTCCTGAATTACGATTGGCGCCGCTACAATTGGCGATCCTAATGGGACGTCTTGTCCCAATTGAGCCCATCTTGACAATATCTCTTGTGAGGCAGGTTCTGTTGCACTGCTTGGAGAAGGCGACCTTGAATGGGCAAACGGAAAGACTTGGTGGATTGACAAAGACAACGTGATATAGTTCGCAAAGACAATTTCAACAGGAAGGCCATTCTGTCGAATTTGGAGAAGAACGTAGTGCTCCAAAGGTTACGAGGCGGCTGGGCTTGTCCCCGACCCAAGCTTCTCAAGCCACGAGGCTCCGGCCGGATATCCGGCACTGATATATGACTTCACATCTCAGCGCGCATTGAACGCGCCAAGCGAAGGTTGGAGAAACGCGGAACGCGGACTCAAAACAGCCTCGTTCCGAGCTGCTTGGGGAAATTAAGTTGACTTGTGAACAGAGATGCCCGAGTTTACGTGATGGTAGAGCATTGAAAGGAGAAAGACTTTAGAGAGAACGATGAAAAGAAAATTGACAGGTTCTAATTGTTCGGCGCTTAGTCTGGACCAACCTCGTATTCCTCGTATTAGTGGGCCCACACTGATATAAGGATGCTCAAGGATGGTCCGACAGGGTCTTGGCGGGGGCGACTAAACACAGGTTTTACAATTTCTCTTCATTTTGATAGTGGGCAAGATCGATGTAGAGTTTATATCACTGGTGTAATAGTACTTCATTCTCAAAACCACTAGGTAGTCATCCGCACTATTCAATTTCTGCACTTCGACTTTGCTTCCTAGAGACCGAGCCTCCAATGTCCTCAACCCGGGCTATTGATCTCTTATATTGTATATCTGAACCCTGGCAAGCCTTCAATCACGACCTGGCCAGCATCTGCCTTCCGGTTCTGTCTCATAAAAATCAGGCTCGTCACCAGCAAGATGGCGATCATGATGCCCTGCGAGACGATGCAGGCAATGATACCGGGCAGATATCCCGGAGCGTCTTTCGATCGGAAGACCAAGCTGCCTGCGATGCCACCTACACCACCCATGCCGACAAATAGCGCACTGGAGAATGCTCTCTTCCAGTGTCCACGAATATTGTTGGCTTGATATGCCATGATGCACGGTATATTCGCATTGACAGCAACAGTTGAGAGGAATGCACCACTATTGGAGAAAAATCAGCATCCTCTTGCGCTCTTCGATCCGTCGGAAAAGACTCACAAGTACATGGACCCGTTGTTTTTCGTGAAGGCCATGAGCGGCAGGCCAATACATGCTAGCACACCATGGAACAACAAGATGGGTGCTCGCATCTTATACCTGTCACCTATCCATCCCGTCACAAACATCCATAATCCTGCTGTGAAGTAAGGCGGCGCTATGAGACACTGCGCGGCTGCGATCGAGAAGCCCATCCTCTGCTGCAGGATGATGGGCAAGAAGTAGGCAAAAGAGTAGGTGACGATCAGGGTCATACAGAAGATCAAGGCAAACGCCCATAGCTTCCAATCCAAGCCGTGGGCAAAGTATCTTTTGAGACTAAACGCCTCCTTCAGCTCGGCATCTTCGCGGTCTGCGTTTATACGAGCCAGCACGAACTTGACCTCCTCGTCGTTGAGGAATTTGTAGTACCGTTTATTACTCTCTGGAAAGCCGACCAGGACAGCATAGGCGATGATTGCAATGATTAGAGTGATAACGCCTTCCATGATGAAGATCTAAGCTTGATTCAGTGATGTTTTGTCGAGGTGCACAAGTATATGGCTTTTCACAGGCTACGCGGGACTATTACTCACCCATCTCCAGCCAGCGAGCCCCTGGAGGCTATCCATTTGCATCAGGCCATAGGCGAGGATACCAGCAAAGGCCGAAGCAGATGAACCCATAAAATACCAGAGCGAATACCTGCGACAAGCATTAATCAGTCTCAAAGAGAAAAAAAAAAAGAAGTGCTTGAAATCCAAAGGGGGGATGCATTTACCTCTTGTGCATTTCGTAGCGAGTGTACCAAGTGCTGTCAAGAGTCGAATGTCAACATTGCCTCTTCGGTGCTACTTGGAATCTGGCGTTGACTTACCTTAAGAAATACATGCACCCTGGAAAGAAGCCAGCTTCGAGGAATCCAAGAATGACTCTCAAGCCCACCATGTCTTTCCAATCATTCAGGAAGCCCATGATGATCAGCAAGACTCCCCAGGTCAGACAGATTGTGGATAAATGCCAGCGGGGGGTGATCCAACGGATGACTACAGTCGAAGGAAGTTCGAAAAGAATGTAAGTAGGGAAAAAGGACAGCGTGAGAATAGAATAGCGCATTCCAACACTGAGTTCGAGGTCCTTGGTCATCCTATGAGAAAGAGTTGTATCAGCCAGGCTTGTCAGCGAAGGAAGATGCAACGAATGAACTTACCCTGCTATAGCTGCGCTACCAACTGTCAATACGAAATGAGTTTTCAAGTCAGCCTATCTGTTTTTAAAACTTCAAACAAACGTAACAGAATTGGCTTAGAAAGAAAATGAAAGTACGTACGGTTGTTTCGATCCATGATGGAGATGAAATAAACCGCGCCGACAATTGGCAAAATGCGCCAATCGATACGACGAAGGATCTTCTTCTGCTCTTCTGGGCTAAAGCGTTGAATGTCTGGATGAACTTCTGTTACATGATTGTTTTTTTCGCCGCCATCGAAGAGCAACTCGTCATGCTGCACCTCCGGTATGGGGATCTTGAGCTGGTCGGTCGTCATCCTTGCCTTCTCAATAGACTGAGCACGAGGCTGCGATAGAAAATGCTGAGTGGATGGATTCAGTGGGAACGAAACAGGGAGTTCTATATGTCTAGTAGCCGTGTTCTTGAGCAAGCAATTGGAGTAAAGGAAATGATCTACCCCAGCGCTCCATGGAGGAAGCACTAATCGACGGTGGGGATAATATTTGTACATCGGGGTAGAGGTCAGTTTGTCGACAAACCCGGCTTCGATATCTAAACATTCCCACTTGGCAAAAGTACATATTATTAAGACTAACCTGAAATAGGAAGAATCCCAAAAAGGGGCGACCCACAGATTTGTGCGCCGACAATTATTGCCATTCACGTGATAGATGTGCCTTCGGATTGCGGTTCCGAGATAGCATTGTGGGGGAATCAAGTTGGGGTTGGGGAAATGGGAAAGACTACACGGTACTTACCTAGCGAGCTAGGTATCAGACTGGCCAAGACGTGGACCAGGAAGCGGGATACACATGGTTCTGTAATGGAAGTTGATGACTTGACCACTTATTGTTATCGACTTGATCGTGTTTGCGAGAAGCAAGTTACTCCGCACAATAACTCGGTTTGCCTGCTTGTGGGGTAATGGCGCCTTAGCCTCTGTGACACTAACCGGATGTGTTTCAACTCCGAAGGGCTGGAGGGGAAAATGTGCCACGGCACGCTCGTCCCGGCTTGGTATACCATACTTCTCATTGTTTCAGGTAAAGCGACGCCTCTGACAAAGGCTTGTCCGAGTCAACGTGCATAAGATTTTGGATTGTCAAGACTCCGGTAGCTAATTTAACAGCTCGTCTGAAAATCTCTTTTACGGTCGCTTGGAGACGAAGGCAATGCACACATGTTCGGACAAAATTCAGATCTGCATAAAATGCAGTAAAGAATGTATAGGTCCTCCAGAAATGATGAGCTGGCAGATTTGCGATCGAAAATTATCTTCGAAGGCACGTCCGTAGGCAGCACCGAAGGCATCGTGGTACGAGCGAATGACGGAAGTAAATCTTAACGGGCCAACATATCCTAATACCATTTCAATCATAGTGGCCACATTCGTCACTTAGTCTTAAACATCGTAGGCACAAAAAGACCCCAAAGGCTTTGTCCTACATTCTGCCCATAACAACAAAACTCGAAGTCTTGCGATTTCCCTTGTCTGGTGCCAAGCCTCAGACAGGCTTAGCAGAAGGTAAACTGACAATTAAAGACGATAGCTTGTAACAGGGGACCTGGCCCAGTTTTTACCTACCTGCGTAGGTACCTATTGTTCCAGCCGAATGACACCATGATCAGTCACGTGTGGTGATTGCTCGAGACATCTCAGGCTGAAGCACTGAGGGCTCAGGTCCATGCTCATGCCCAAAGACGGGCATAGAAATCCAGATTCCACCGTCGAAGTCCCTGTTTCTGGTCCCACTGAAGACGAAGTGACTGAGAAGGCCGCATTCTTGGCATGGAGAGGAAAATGCCCTCAAAAGTGGCGGTCAACACCGCCAAATTCGGTGGGAAGTTTCCCTGCAACTTCCAAGTTGGGTTGAACGGTACGGTAGCAACGTGTCCGTTCTAGGCTTAGTGTGGCCTTGGTGTCTCGGCACTGCGCTACTACTTTTGCGGACCCACAACTTAATCTCAAGTGGATATCTATCTTTTCTTTGTCTTGCAATCAAGCAATCCTGACTTTTGTCCAGCTATCATCATTTCTTAAAAGCAACATCGTAGCAGAGCGTATGAGTAACTGATTGGGCTGGGCATGCGTACAGTTTTCAATCCGCAGCATTGGGCTGGCGACAGCCCAATTAATCACACCATGCTTGCATCAAGGTGTGCAGCACATGCCAAGGGCACCGAACTTCACCTTCCTGTTGGCTGAAGGCTCGCTTCACAAGAACAGGCGACACGAAGCAAAGTATTGTCCTCAGCCGAAAAATCATGCGACGTCTGACCAAGCCCTACAAAAATATAATATTCTACCCACCCATGGCTAAACCTGCTGACTTGGCGAGCCTGGAACATTCTTGGATCAGAACACCAGAATATCAGGCCCGGTCTATGCCTCGTATTCCAACTCGAAGAGAGAGCCAGCTCAGGAGCCAGCTCAGCGGGCTGTGGACGAGAACCCTGAGAGTGATCACAATAGTGCCACCATCGGTTTTCCATACTTGCTCTGTGGGAAAATATGGTCATTTCAGATAAACTTCGCCCACCAGTGCGATAGCTTTTTCCGATAACGTGCTAATATGATAGCAACACGGCATTGGCCCAGCTGGATCGAATTGAACAGAACCACAGCCATCGTCTGCTCTCAGCCAACTCCACCGATACCAAGAAGCCTGACTTCACCATGGTAGCAACTTCTCCCAGACCAGCCGCGGAAAATTCTGAGGCTTGTTCCTGTAAGTCCCAGAGCATTGCAAGATCTTCCCCACTCCACTCGCCATGAGAGAAACAACCAGGCGGGCACTGGACAAGAGCATACCTTTCGGGATCTAGGAACTACAGCCTGGCATGGATGCTTATTTTAATCGGCATTGCTATTTGAATATGGTGCTACACTGGGACTTCGCTCTTCAAGTCCCATATTGTCGGTTGGACATCAAACTGTGCACGTTATTAAGAAATTTTTGCAGGTTTGACCTGAAATGCGTCTAAATTTCGATACATTCTATTGCCCAATGGCGGCGGGTAAGGAAACTTGGTCGGCTGAACACGAATACGACACCGTCTAATTATGCAAACCGGCGCCTCTACTGAGATTACTGGCCCTTCGACGTTGATAGAACAATAGTATTGTTCATCACTCCACAATCATTCCACAAGATTTTGTCCCACGAAATGATTCGGTCTGTTTTTCCGTATCATGGTCGCCGTGTTGCTGCAGGTGGCTAACTCTGGCAAGAAGGGTGACTATTACCCATCCATCACCAATTTCGAACTGAAATATAAGAATCAGGAATTCAAGGAATAACGAGAAACTCCACGATCTTTTGAATAGGAGTTCGGAAATTCGAGATCATCGAAGTTCAGCCAGTGTGTCCAATTGCCACGCTCAACCCGCAACCTACTTGGCTTGACAATGTCTTTCCCCACCAAACCAGCTTTCGTATACGCAGGGAACTGGGGTGATGAAACCCGCAAACACCCCGCCATGAAATGGATGGAAGATTACACCCGTTTCGTCGACGACCGCAACTTTGACAAGCCGTTCTCCGAGTGGCACACTGAGGACTCCTCATTCCATAAGGCAGATGGTACCGTCGTGTCAGGAGGCGCTGAGGCATGGAAAGAAGCTGAGAAGACATTCAGCATCTTCACATCGTTCCTCCACAGACCCTACTTTGTCATGTGTACCGAGACTGAGAATGGGTGGGAAGCGATGGCTCAGGCACATTTCTATGCGAACATGGTGGGCCAGCCCGCCGCAGGGGAGAAAAAGGTTACCGACCCTGAGGGTAACGCTTGGGATATTGTGGTGCCGGCGGGCTTCCATTTCGAATACGTCCGTGACGGCGGCGCAATACACGACGGCCTCCTGTTGAAGAGAAACGAAACCATGCTTGATACGTGGCCCATTATGCAAGTCTTGATCAAGCGAGGAGAGATCAAGATGGAATAGGTCTATGTGTTTAATCTGCGAGAGACACGCAGGTTTTGCTGAGGGAAGGGCTTAATGAAGGATTGCGTGGCTCTCGCGCCGAAGCAGTTGGGGCCAGACTGGGGTGATATTTGCTTGGGGTCAAGCAAGGTCGCAGTTCGGCTTCCCTGGTTTCCGCCGTGAGGTCGACTGCATTGAGGAGCATGACGATGACTGTGACCTCCTCGTCGACAGGGGAAAAAAAGGTCTTGCCTAATGATTCTGGCATGAGATCGCTGCCTTGACCTCGCGATGCAAATTTCTGCACCATTGAGTATCTTGAATCCTGGGAAATTGCTTCACATTGAATATCCTAATGACTCTTGAGTGGAGGCGGCTGACGAGATCAACTGTGGCGGAACTTCCTACTGGAAATGAGAGGATGTTCCGACGGCACACCGAGGTAAGCCAACTGCAATGTATTCCGCCAAGATTGCGATGCCGCCCTCGTCATTCTGATATAGGGAAATTGCACTGTCGAGGTGAAATTCCTTTGCAGGTGTGAATCTATTCTCTATGCCATTTTCTAAGGCCAAATGCAAAAGCTTGTGGACTCGAAGACCGGCCGGACTACATCAGCTAGATGCTGGAAGCCGATACCTATCCAGATACTTTCAGAACCCCTCCAAAGCCACATTGCCGATCAGGCTCCCCCAGCCTCTCCCAGTCCTGCTGTCCCTATACTATTTAAACGCCACTGAGTTACTCTCGGCACCCTCCCTCCCCTATTCCATTTCGATCGTGCCAGGTGGCTTGCTCGTAACGTCATACATGACACGGCAAACGCCGTCAACTTCATTGACGATGCGGTTGCTGACCCGCTTGAGAAATTCGCCATTAAAGGGAAACCAATCGGCCGTCATGAAATCAGTCGTCTCAACTGCTCGCAAGGCAATCACTTGAGCATGCACCCTCTTGTCACCCATCACGCCGACAGCTTTGACAGGGAGAAGCGCCGCAAATGCTTGTGAGATTTTCCTATACAAACCAGCTGAGACGATTTCATCGATGAAGATTTTATCTGCTTGTCGCGCAATCTTGAGCTGCGATTCGTTGACCTCACCAAGGATCCGAATTGCTAAGCCAGGTCCGGGGAATGGATGTCTCCAGACAAGATCTTCAGGGATCCCCAAATTTGTTCCCAATGCCCTCACCTCATCTTTGAACAGCTCTCTCAGAGGCTCGATCAGCTTGAGATGCATGTTCTCCAAAAGACCCCCAACATTATGGTGTGTCTTGATCGTGGCGGATGGTCCTTTAAACGAAATGCTCTCAATCACATCGGGATAGAGGGTGCCTTGAAGCAACCATTCTATGTCGCCAGCCCGGGGTGAGTTTGCTGCAGCATCCGCGATAGCTTTTGCCTTGTCCTGAAATACTTCGATGAATGTGTTGCCAATAATTTTTCGCTTCGTTTCGGGATCGGAGACGCCTTTGAGTCTCCCCAAGAACAGGTCCGAGGCGTCAACAACCGTCAGGTTGATACCCAGATGCTTTGTCAATGTCTCTTTGACTGTTTCTGCCTCGTTCAGGCGAAGAACACCATTGTCAACCAAGACCGCGTGGAACCTATCTCCGATAGCCTCTTGCATGAGTTTTGCAGCAACAGTGGAATCAACTCCGCCACTCACGGCGCCAATCACTTGGCCTTTGGGACCAACCATGGCTCGAATGCGTTCGATTTCCTTGTCGACGAATTTTTCCATGGTCCAGTCTTGCCGAGCCTTGCAGATCTTGACAGCGAAGTTGCTCAGAATCTGCGTACCTCGCGGCGTATGTGTGACTTCGGGGTGGAATTGGATGCCGAAATAAGGTCTAGACATACTAGCGATACCCGCAAAGGGGGCATTGGCTGTACTTGCAATGGGGTGGAAATTGTCGGGTAGCTTTGACAGCTTGTCCCCATGACTCATCCAGACCTCGATGTCATCTTCAACACCTTCGAAGAGGCGATCGATGTGCTCTTCCTTGCCGCTGTGTCTCTCAATTTTGAGATTGGCATGTCCATACTCCCTCTTCTCGCCGGCCAACACATTTTTGCCAAAATTCCAGGCCATCTCTTGCAGTCCGTAGCATATCCCTAGGATGGGCACGCCGAGGTCGAATGCGGCTGGGTCAACATGGGGTGCGCCATCCTCATAGACAGAGTAGGGACCTCCAGACAGAATGATGCCCTTTGGTTGGAAGTGTAGGTCTGCGATTTTCTGAGTGCATGGTAGCATCTCCGAATAGATGTTGAGCTCGCGCAGTCGCCGTGTTATCAGGTGCGAATACTGCGATCTTCACCGGTCATGAGTCGGCGCGCTTTGAGAAAGGGCAGTGGAATTTCCGACTTACCCAAAGTCGAGAACGAGGATGGTGTCGAAGGTCTTTGCAGGGACGTTGACTGCGGCGCCATTGACCTCGCCATTGACGGTGGCAGCCATTGTGACTGGGGGACAAGGTCGAATGGGCGCGAGAGAAAGAGGAGGAAGACGGGCAAAGAGGGAATATGGATGGAAATATGAGTCTGCTGCGACAGAGTGGGCTTCAGTGGGCTGGCTGCGAAATTTTTGTGGGGATGGAAATTCTGCGGAATGCCCCGCTGAGGAGAATTTGATACCGCAACTACGGTTCGCACGGAGGACGAACTTGAGCGACTGCGCAGAGAATGCTGTCAAACGATCGCAGCACATATTGACAAGTCTAATTCATAAGTCTAACTCAATGTACCAGGGACAGTGTCTCTGCACGCACAACACCACATAAAAGCAAGTCCCCCAGGCGCGCAGTCACGGGTGACCCGTCACCCTCTTCCCCCCCCCCCCAAATTCGCTAGACCGACGACAAGACGGAAGAACAGGACTGCCGCAAAGATGAGCAAGAGGAAGCAGGATGCCAGCGAAAAGATCGACGTAGATATGGGCAATGACAGCGGAGACGATGAGGTCTGTTCCGTTGGTCGAGATGAGCATGGAATGACTACTGATTCTCGACGCAGGATTTCGATGTCCTTGATGTCGACTTCGAGTGGTTCGACCCTCAGCCCGAGTACGATTTTCACGGCATCAAGACCTTGCTACAACAGCTGTTGGATGTTGATGCTCAGTTATTCGACTTGTCTGCATTGACTGACCTTATATTGTCACAACCCACGCTGGGATCAACTGTCAAAGTCGATGGCAATGAGACGGACGCTTACGCATTTCTTTCCGTCTTGAATCTGCAAGAACATCGGGTGAGTTGCCTGCGAGAAGAAAGCACTGGGCATGCTCGCTCATAAAATCATAGGAGAAGCCATTCATGAACAAGATCCTGCAATACTTATTGTCCAAAGCGAAGTCGAAACCTACACTTGCTCCCCTTGCGGAGCTCCTTTCCCAGGCTACCGTTCCGCCAATAGGCCTGATCCTTACAGAGCGTCTGATCAATGTTCCTGCTGAAGTTGTGCCTCCAATGTACACGATGTTGTTGGAAGAGATGGAGTGGGCAATCCAAGACGGCGAGCCATACAACTTCTCTCACTATCTCGTCCTCTCCAAGACATACACGGAAGTTGCTTCGAAGCTTGACGCTGAGGATGACCCTCCAAAGAAAAAAAAGAAAGCAGCATCTAGTTCATTCGAGACAATGTATTTCCATCCGGAGGACGAGGTGCTGCATAGACATGCCATCTGCCATAGCGGGTTTGATTACTCTATCAAACAGGACGAGGGACACTCAGACTCCAAACGAGCGTTTCAAGAACTGGGGATCAAGCCGCAAGGACACGCCATACTCATTGCGGGAGACAAGTTCAAGGATGCGGTGCAAAATGTGGCCGAATACCTAAAGCCTCAGCCTTGAGCAGAGCTCTCTGTTTTTATTCCCACTGTGTCCCTTTGAGCCTCTGCATGAGATATTCCACCTCGACGACCTTGGTCAAAGGAATGACAACCTGAGCGTACATCTTCACCACCGCCTCGACATTAATCTTCTCCTCTCCGCCGACGCCGTTGGAGGTCACCGAGGGGTCTTTGCCATAGGTTTTGGCTTTCAACCGCAGCCTCTGCAGGACTTGCTGCTCAACCTTTTCATTAGTGATGGCGGCATCGATCCCCTCGCGATCCTCGGCTTTAATGAGCTTCACGAATCGCTCAGTCTCAGCTTGGAATTTGCTCTCAGCCACGAATTTACCGAAGTGTATCCGCCTACTCAAGGCCTGCAAACAAGCAACATCACAAGTTGCGGCACTACCGTAATTTTCCTTGGCCTCACCACGATCTTCTCGCCCGAATTTTCGGCAAGCTTCTGGGAGAACCTCCTTGATATACTTCTCCTTGATGGTGTCATTAACATTAACATCGTTATCGTGGAGGATCTTGGGGTACGCTATGGCCTTGAGCACGGGTCGCTGCAGGACTCGGGGAAAGAAAGGATATTCGTCCGGAGCGTCATATCGTCGGACAAGAGAGTGCAAACGCTCCGTTTCGGAGAGGAGATAGTCGCAAAGAGATATTTGCGCAGGTAACGCAAGGTTGCTGGAAGGTATGGGAAGGGCACCGGCGTCGTAAATGGTAGCATTGAGGGGAAACTGGACCCGTTCGATCAGGTGAAAGGTGATAGTATCCTCGAGTCGGCTGCACTTCAATCAGTATTCGAGCTTGTCTCTGGGAATTGGGACTCCAAGCCACAAACATTAGTTGAAAACGAATATTAGCCAGATCCAACGCCTTTGAGGCATCTGACAGGTCTATCGCTGTATCCATCTCCAAAAGCGGCATATGTTAGATCGCGTACCAGTCGGACTCGGATGTCGTGCAATATACCAGAATGAACTCCTGCCAGAGAAACACTGGGGGAGAGGGGAGTTGGAAAATCGCAGCTCTGCTGTAAGAGTCAGATACAAGGCCTTTTCCCAGTAAGCAAGCAAGGCGAGCAATATGCGATGATATCCGCAGTGGGCGAAGGCACAATGCAGTTTTGGCATGGGAGAAAAAATACGTCAGAGCGCAGCTCCGACCTCGCGTCCCCGAGACCCAAGCCACAGGCATCGCTTGCCTGCGCTACTGGAGCATCTTCTCTCCGCATTTTACGACAGAGCCCTCGAACCCTGTTGAGCCTCAGGACTCGGCCTGTTCAGGTGCATTCTACCCCGTACTTCCTGTCTATTTATACAGTAAAACGCGCAGTTTCCTTCGACCACAGAGACGCTCGAACTGCATGGCCGGATCGCGGCCACATAGTCGTGCTCCCTCCCAAACGCGCAGACCAGCTGGAGATGGGGAAGATTCTGTTCTCGGCGCGGTCCTTGACGTGAGAGACTCTACCCATTGCTGCCGAAGCAGACTGACTTTGTGTTGATAGACGCGCCAGCTGGAAGCCTTTAGTCGAAAGGTGACAGCGACCGCAAGCCACCTCATGGGCGATAATTCTTCTGCTCACTATCCTGCCGCCATGAACAGCATCTCCCGACAGATTCGGCGCCCTGGCATTCAGAGAGCCGTGTTCTCCTTTTCCCAACAAGCACCTTCTGAGCTCGTCAGGGCGAAACTCTCGACTAGTGAGATCGCCCATCGAGCCCTCACCTACATTTCCGAAGACCAGCTGCAAAACATTCCCGAAGACCAAAACACCTATTCGTTGTTTCAAGGCTTTCAGGCGTCTTTGCCTGAAGGGGAAACCGAGCATCGCAAAGGACACCGACGGCGGAGCTCCAAGCAGCACAGGTTATTGGGCGCTGGAGATGTTGAAGAGGATGGTCCTCCGTCAATACAAAACCTGAAGAAGAAAAGGAACAGTGTCAACCACAGATTGGAGATGATGGCTATACGGAAGAATATGTGTACTACAGAGATTCGGGACATTGACAACAAAATTGCCAATCTACAAAATATGCGGAGGCTCGCCCTTGACCGATTGGCCGACCTCGAAAATGACGAAGCGGAGGTTGAGCATGAGCTGCTGGAACTTGACAACAAGATCGAAGAGATGCAGGAGGAGCTCGAGGAGCGAGGCGGGTTGGATCAGTCGACCAGCACCCTCAATGCTCCCCGGGTAGCTACACCGGAATCTGAGGCAATGGATGCGTCCTTCATGTCCCAGTCCATCTACGACAAATTGCCCTCCTCTACGTCCCCGAAGTCAAAACGCCGGCCGAAATACTCTAAGAGAAGATCTGTGCCGGTTTTGCATGAGCACCTCGAACCTGGATCTCACATCAAAACCATTCCCGCTCATAATGACTCCATATCCGCGGTAGATTTTGATCAGCCATTCGGGACAATGGTCACTGCAGCATTGGATGACACGGTTCGTGTCTGGGACCTGAACCTTGGCCGCTGCATGGGCTTCTTGGAAGGCCACACTGCATCGGTTCGGTGTCTACAAGTCGAAGACAACATCGTGGCAACAGGCAGCCTTGATGCCACTATTCGACTGTGGGATCTGAGCCGTGCCAAATATGAACCCTACGAGCACAAGATACTCGAAAATGGTGAAGACGACAAGGGTGATGAAGACGACGGCCTCGGGTTTGGGAATGAAAGTGAAGATGCTCCCCCTCCACCACCTCCTGATGCAATGGAAGAGTGCCCACTCTTTGTGCTTGAAGCCCACGTTGATGAAATTACAGCATTACACCTTCGCGGTGATATGTTGGTTTCTGGATCAGCGGACAAGACACTACGGCAATGGGACTTAGTGAAAGGGCGATGTGTGCAGACACTGGACGTATTGTGGGCTGCAGCCCAAGCTAGCTCAACTATCAACAATACAGACACCCAGTGGCGGCCGACTGGAAGATCTACAGATTCAAACGCCGATTTTGTCGGCGCTCTGCAATGTTTCGACGCAGCGTTGGCGTGCGGCACAGCTGATGGAATGGTCCGACTGTGGGATCTTAGAAGCGGACAAGTCCATAGGAGCCTAGTAGGGCATACAGGTCCAGTGACATGCCTGCAGTTTGACGATACTCACCTCGTTACAGGCAGCACTGACAGGAGTGTCAGAGTAAGTCGATGAGTTTCAGTATTCGATCAGTTGATGATAGACTAACGTGGACGACAGATATGGGATCTCCGCACAGGAACCATTTTCGATGCCTATGCTTACGATGCGCCCATCACGAACATGATGTTTGATGCCCGGCACATTGTCTGTGCCGCAGGCGAGGACGTCGTCAAAGTCTACGACAAGGCCGATGGGCGTCATTGGGATTGTGGCGTTGGGGCTAACACCAGTGTTGAAGATCGGATGGCCGGCACTAAGACGAGTATTGTCGATCGTGTCAGACTGAAAGATGGATATCTGATCGAGGGAAGGAGGAACGGTGAAGTTGGAGTCTGGAAGTGTTGATGCTTGCTGGAATTGGAGTGACCGGCGGGGACTGAAGAGGAGAATCCAAGCTTGCGAGAACAGCCCAGGCTTTTTTTTCCTCCTAGTGCATCGACTGACTGAAAATAGTCGTGTACTTCGACCGTTACACCTCTACGGCCCCTTGTGTGAGCGACGGAAACCAGAACATCACTGCCGATCTTACTGCCTTGCGGCTTCAAAGGAGTCAATCTGAAATTTGATCCCAATACGAGTCGGTTGGTGTGCGCTCGCCTCTTGTGCCCGATGCGAAATACCATATCTATGTATCAAAATCACCAATGCATATCTCCTGATCCAACTACTCGGTGCAGGCGACCCGATTCTCTGGCGGAGACACGGACTAAGTCTGCTCCAAGGTTTCTATTGCCATCTTGGCAAACACCGTTATATGTGCACCTCGCCAGAGGTGCAAGTGATCTCCAAGGTCCTCGATCATCCGGACTGTGACCTCTGCAGTTCATCACAGGTATGCCTGACGCCCAGCACTTTCCGTGAGCTTCAGAGGACTTCGGCCAAAAGCCGGGGGTGGTGATATGTCGTTGTAACTGGCTCAGGGAGGTTTTCTGCCAGCATCGGTTTCTCCCACAACTGTTCCTCGACCCGCTTCTCCGCGCGTAACAGTGCCAATTGCTGAGTATATGCCCAGTACGGGCACTTCCTATGCTTCGGGGCCTCAGTCTGCACCCTTTTCTCTAATCGGCTGTAGGCCTTCCTGCAACGAAAGAAACCCGTACTGTCCGAGTCCTTGGCGGCCAGCAATGCCTCCCATTGCTTATCCATGGCGTCGATCACGGCGATCACCTTGATCGCAATCTGCTCACAACTGTCTAATCGATCGAGGAGCCTTTTCTCGAGTTGCTCCACGGCGGGACTTTGCGTCAGAAACCCTTCCTCGCAATGCAGACAGCCTATCTCTAGCTCAAATAACGGCGCGACATAGTGTCTCAGGAATCTTCTGTTGTTCAGAGGATAAGGAAGCGTCCTGAGTGCGTCCCCTCCTCCGCGTCCAACGGCCTCAAGAAATGGGGATGCTTTGACCGGATTTCCCTTGAACTCAATCGCCCGCATGAGGGCGGAGACTTCAGCTTTGCGGACAGCTTCCGTACGTTCCGGAAAAAGATCTTCAACTTTTTGTGGGTTGACTTGGCTCGTGTTGGCGGATGATGTTAAAGCCGTATCGACCGCCGGCCTTATATTTGACTCTGGAAAGGATGCCAGGAGTCGCGAGATGTCCTTGTACTTGGAGGTAACCTCTGAAGTTGAAGAGCATGGCATCGACGGCGTGCTCTTGCTTTCCTCTCCCAATCCTCTTCTCTCCTCAGCGAGCTCCCCTATGACTGCGCGTTTCCGTAACGCAATATTTTCCATTGTCGAGGCTATCCTGTCATTTGTGGGCTTTTCGATCCTTCCTCCCTGGTCCGCTGGTGTATGTCCCAGCTTTATGGCCTCGAGATCGAGATTGATCTCTGAGCTGTGGAGTTGGGTGATCATTTTTGGCGGATAGGTCGCTGATGACTTTCTGGTAGGGCTCTTGCCTTTGCCCTTGGTGGATTGTCGAGGAGCCATTGTGTTTGCTGAAGAGGATACTGTTGATATGGGAATGTGAGGGGATGATGTATGATAAGGGAACCTGGTTTGCAAGAGGAATGGGTATTGTCTGGTTAACGGAGTCTTTTGCGTGTAGAACAATGATGATCGAGCAGCTTGAGCTGGCGATTCCCCAGTGCTTATATATTTCACCCTCCATGGCAGGTCCTCCTTTTTGGACGCTCTCAAGTCCCCAAGCAACTTGCACAGGCCGCCCAGAACAAATCCCGTGAGCCACTGCGAAACCAAGGTGTCGGCTTTGTTCGGCGTCCAGTTAGAAAGCAAACCAGAAAGAAAGCTTGTCGGGTATCCGTCTGTCGACGACCTTGTTCAGGACGGGATTCGGCTCATGTGTTGTCTTGCCGAGACATCCAGTGGCTCATTCGGCGAGGACCATCGCTTCCGCTTTTTATTTGTCACAATAACAGAGAAATTCTCTAATTGATAATGGCAAGGGCAAAAACAAACAAGCTGGATGCCACAATGGGCGGTGAAATAGTCGCGAACAAAGACATTATGAACCAACCGATGGGACAGGAGAAAAATTCCCAATGGTTGAGGCTTATAGTGGGGATTCGTGATAGACTATTATGCGCGAGGACCTTTGGAAGGGGCTCATGGGTTGACTATGTTTAACATGCTACACCCTATGTCGAGAAAACACCCGAAGGAAACATCGACTCTTGGCCAGTAAGGCTCGGTTCCCCTGTTTTGCAGCTGGGCCCAGCGTCCAACATCAGGCCAGTGGGCTAGTGGACTAGCGGCGGGTCCCCGCGCTGGGTTTTGGGTATGGTGGGTCTAGTGGATATGCAAGGCTGTGGATGGAAAGGGGGGACGACGTCTGAACGAGTACGAGTACCCTGTATTACTACCCAGTATTGTGTTTTTTTCTGCCCCCTCCACCTCGCCATCACCCTGCTCATCCCAAGGCCCTTGTACACGGAGAAAAACCTTTGCATTGTGTTGTGTGGATTGTTGATTTTAAAATGGACGCTGCGCGACCACATCGTCCAGCAACTGTAGCAATTGCTCTTCCCGCCTGCTACCTAGCATACCCTCTTGCAACTGATCACCACCTTGGCTTCTTTGTCGTCTTGCTCTTCTTGCTGCAATGTTGGCAGCGTTGTGCTCGAACTCCCACTCAATGTGGTAGTCGGATTTGCTTTCGGTGCATTTGGTATAATAGTTCCCCTTCAGCAAGTGACGGTTCCAGAAGATGACTTCAAAGGCGATAGGGAACGCACGCAAGAGACACGACACGTCTTCATCGTCGACATGATCCTGCTTCTCTGTTCCTTCCTTCTCGTGGGTCTGCCGGCCAGGCCCTCCCCCCTTATTGTCGTTCCGTTCCTCCTCCATGGCATCATCGCCTTCGCCGTCTCCGGTATGAACCGATGCATATCCCGAGTCCTCCAGGTTCTCGTCATCATTAATGCTGTTCTCTTGCAAAGTCTGAAGGCCTGCCATGGGTATTTGCCACACACATCGATAGTGACAGCTCGTCAAACTCTTCGAACTCGTTGGCCAGATCTCGAATCTCATTCTTCCATGCCAGGCTTCCAGCGGCGAGCTCTTCTCAACCACTAATTTCTTGGACTGAGTTGCCTCTATGAAGTGTCTCCCTTCATCCGACAGCGCTGAGCGAGGAATATCGCCCTGTTGGAACAAAACATAGTACCATGAACCCGGTTCCCGATCATATATCTTCTGCATCGCGCTCTGGCATTCGGCTGTGACAAAAGCGGACGTCACTTTCAGAGATAGGCGACTTTGGTTGGAAGTGATGGCTGCTGCGGTGCTATTGTTCGCTGGTGGTGCTACCATTTGTGGGACCGGAGGCACCCTCACCACGATCGGCGTTGCCATATGTGTTTTTTCAAGCTCTAGCGCCTTTCTCTTCCCTAATACCGATGGAGTTGACGGTGCCATCTCCGGCGTTGCCAAAAAAGACGAAGAGGAAGAAGAGTTGAAGCACGACGCTGCTCTACCGATGTTGAAAAATGCACACAGGTCCGCTTAAAAGAAAAATACCTGGGAGACGCTCTGCTTATGTACTGGGAGGGTGAGGAGTTTCTACGTCTATTCACCCTCGTTATTAGGTGGAGACGAGAGTTACAAAGTTTCTGGAAAAGTATGTTACCTTCATTTTCTAGCATGAGGACCTCTATCCTGCATCGTATTTGCTTGGCGAGGACCTTTCCCATTCTCAAACTAACTACTAAGGACCTGGCGCTCCATGTTCGAGCATGTGACTAACGGCAACTCAGGACTATCCCTCATGGTCTTCAATAACGCAGCTTATCTACGCCAAAAGGCCGCCATACCGCCTCCTTACACTTCAATTTAACGAACTATTCCTATACAACGAAGACCTATTGCCCACCAGTAACGCCCTCACCCTATCTTAATACACCTATTCCCTGTGATCCTTATGTATGGCGGCCACCACTGCTAGCAAGAGATCCAGCAATAAGAACAGCTTGAACGCCGTGTCTATTGAAACGGCAGAAGATTACAATGCCGCTCAAACCCTGTGCGACCTCTCGGCTAGGGCATCGCAAGACGATGTAGCCTTTACCTTACTACAGATGTGTGCCGGGACGTTGTCACGGGGCTCACATATAGACACCGGAATGGGATTCGATCCAGCACCCGAAGGTGGCCGCCTCTCTATTCAAACTGACAGCGAAACCAAGAGTGAAGGGTCGGATGCATACTTAGGCCTACACGGCCAGAGTTTAGAAGAGAGTCTGGACTCGGTACCCTCCTCGAAGACAACGATTGAGCAGGCTAAGTAAATTGATGGCGATTTCGCTACTCATCACATCTTTACCGAGGTGGACGTCTACGAGAGCAGCAGAGGCAATAAACCGGCGTCCGCCTCTGGTGTTACGGAGACGACGGTGGGCATTAACAGCGATGTCAGTGTCAGTACCACCGCTGATGTGAGCAGGCTGGAATGGGTGCCAGCCCGCGGGCCACGCATGGGTCAGTGCAATACCGAGTAATTACCTACTTGTATTGGTATCGGCATGATGGACTTGTCCAAGAATGATTCATTACCTGGAGTAAAGCCCTTATGAGCATTCAGAAGCTGTCTCTTGGAAATGATTAGCTCAGAAAAGATCTCTTACTCCATCCTCTCGAAAGAATTCCCTTTGTGCGTACAAATGTTGGCTGAAAACGCATGCAACAAGCCGCACGCGCCACGTCTTCAAAAAAAAATCAAAATCAAAAACAAAAAAGACGGAGTGATATGAGGGTATGGTGATAAACTGACTTCCTCACAAAATCAATGTACATAGCTTCACAAGACTAGGCTCGGCTGCGCCGATCACAACTCAGCTCCCTTTCAGTCTCTCTCTTTCTCTCCCCCTCTCCCCCACCTTCCCTCTCTCGCGTCCTCCACGCCAAATCAATATGGTTTATTCGCAAGCTAGCCGACGCAGCAGCCGCGCCGGGTGATGGTGATCCCTCTTGGCCTCTGTTTGGCGACGGCGGCGGGGTCCGAGATTGAATGGAGTCTTAGGTCGCCTTGCTCAGAGTATTGTCACAAGCAACAGCTTCATTTTCGACTCAGATACAACGCAACAGTTGGCGAGGGATGTAAAATTAGGTGTGCATGAGTTCTGGAGTGTAAGGGACGCCTGGCTAAAGGAAGGTCGCTCCGTGGGGAAAAGATATGGCTGGGATAGATGGAGAAAAGGAAATTTTCGGCGGCGAGCGAAAAGGGTGTATGAATCATGCAAGTGCCGGGTGGTTGATTTTTTTTCTTCGGTCGTCTTGTCGATTCATGGAGGCACCGGCAGCGGTGATGGGGTTGGCACAACTGATGAGGATTGCGGACTGTCAAGAAATGATATGACATAACGCGGATGTGAGATATGGAGAGAAAGACCTCTCAAGGACTAAGAAAACAATGAGATATAGAGCATCGAGAAAAGCATTTTTGTGTGAAATGTTCTTCAGAGGAAGGGGATGAGTCGAGCAGTACGCAGGAGAAATGAAGAGAGATAAGAAACGGCCAGCGAGGAATGGTGAAGAGACTCAACAGTATGTAAGTGAGCAACGAGGGATTGCCCTTAGGACTTGAAACATAATTCGGAGTAATTCCTTAACACCTGGTTTGAGTCCCCACTGCACAAAGCGTCGTAGTCCGGAGAAGCATCTCAGTAGCTGGCCATCATGAGTGAGCCCTCTGACCTGGCAGCTCTAGCGACCCTAACCTGCTACACATTAGCTCTCCCAGGTGCGAGGAGGAATGGGAAGACTTATAAAAGTTTTGTCCCGCTGTCCATGGACCATGTAAGCATCCAGGAACAGCGGGGAGATATGGCGCCCCCGTGCAAAAGCCCAAAGCATCTATATCGATATGCGATCCGCAACCATCGCAGCAAACTGCTCAACCCCCACATGTGATCCGTCACATTGAGCACACCGAAAAGTCGTCCTCGCTACCCGAGCAAGATATGTCCATCATGGCCACCAAAAGCAGGACTCCTGATAGAGAACTCCACACAAACCACAAACAGGTTGGGACAGTGTCGACGAACAGCAAATGTTAAGAACAGACAAGCCAAAGCTTTGATCCTCACTCGAGAGAGGTCCTGTCTTGTACACTTGGTGATCCTGTTCATCTCAAAAGTCCCTACCGTTTCAAGTCTAATGCACCTGTTGCACTATAGGATTTCCCGCTTGGACGTTTTGGTGACTTTGCAAGACTCATCTGTAACTCAGGCGACTAGACTTCCCCGACTCGTTGCGACAAAATCGTACCGTGGATCCAAGCGGAAGTTGAGATTTTGCGGCGAGATTCAGTTTGCTTGGTACAGGTTTTAGTGCAGAAGCCAGAAAGCAGAGGTATCGTTGTGTATATGTTCGCAAGAGTGCAGAGTCGCGCTCCTACTGTCCGGATTCGCAGTCATCCCTCCGAGTTCATCTTATCGCCCACGATGTATCCCACATTCCTTCTCACGCGGCGGACAGATTCCAGTCCAAACGCAATGTCCAAGCCCTGTCAAAACAGGATAAAATGCCTCTCTCATGTGTGATACAGCAGCCTCGAAGACAGGATTTTCGTTTTCTCTTCTCTCATGTCCCAAAAGAGACCCAATCAAAGGACATTCGCCGTATCTCAGGCCAGGACGCACAAATAACATCTTCAAAAATCGTCCTCTTCTCGCTCGAAAGCAAGGTTCATCATGAGCCCAGAGGTTCCAGAAAACCAAGGGCGCACTGAATCGGCGCTCTCCATTTCACCATGCCGGACATGATGCGGATGATTAACGCGGCTGATCGGGATCTTCGAAAGAAGCACACATCAAATGGCTGGTGCCTCGATGCGCGTTTGGTGAACGAGCTGTTATAGCGTAGACCGCTGTGAGAACAAGAGCAGAGTTGGAGAGGAGTGGCATCCAATGCTGACTTGACGTTTGCTGGATTCTGTGTTGGTCATAGCCGGCCGGAACAGACAAAGTGCCGAGTCGGAAGATATGCTGATATGGAATCCTTCAAGTCGCTTCCGAGACCTGGCACCAAGCAACATTCAGCCTGGATTCCGGCCAGTGGATCTCATTGGCTTCCGAAAAGACTCCCAGTAATCTTTGTATGTAGGCCAAAATATCTTTGTGCTCTGGGCATGACCTCCGCGCGCCAGTCCCCAGAAAGTCGTCATCTCCGCTCTCTCTCGATCATTGTCTCACGCCCATATAGACCAGAACATCCCATATGTGATCACGTATAATGTTCAGCATTGGATTGCCGACGCGCGATCCCTCAGGGACGCTTACCAACTTGACGCATGGCTAAACCGTCTTTCACCGCCCTCCGGGAAGGCTCTGAACGTCGTATTCTCTTTTGGCCGCATTTAATCCAACATGCTGTTCTTTGCCGGAGCAAATAATAAACACGAGGCAAATGAAGTTACTCAGAGACTCGACAACCGGACCGCGAAACTTGAACCGACAAACGTCTTAGGGTTAGGTTCCGACACGCATCCATATTGTCACCCGGAATCCGAGTTGCTCTTCATGAGACCATGCCAGGAGGCTCGAGCGGTCCGGAAGGCAGATGATAACGGTTCAAAGAACTCGATTTGTGTCGGGAAACTCAGGGGAGGTTGAGCTGTATAGAAACCCTTCAAGGGGCGAGAGGGTAGTGGACAAAGCGATTGGGACCGGAGGTTGGCTCTGTGACACTGTTCGAGATGGGGTGGAATATCCGGAGTTTGGCAGCAAGGAGAGGATTCAGAAGTCATGCACAAGGGATTAGAGAGCGTTGCAAGCTATACGCGGGGTGAGCCAACATGTTGTTAGAAGCACCACGCTGAGTGATAGCGGGCGCAGACGGCGAGACGGATATTAGATTTCAAGACCGTGACGCGACGCGACGCGACGTGCCGCTTCCTATTCGGGCTAGATCCAAATATTGTCAGTCAAAGCTTCTCTGTGCTGCACTTCAAATTTGCTCACCATCAACTTCGGAACCTCCACGTTTGCACGTCGAGATCTAAGCCTCGAGGAATACTAATCGTTCCTTCCAGAATGGTAGAAGTCCTCCATGTGAAGAGCTCCGGTTGTATGCCTCAAATCCCCGTCCTCGGCATCGCGGCGGGGAACTCAGCCTGAGCACCCACTCCAGGCGGCCATCGTCTCTGTCCTCTTTTTCTGATTTCTTTTCACTTTGTAGTGATATCTGTTTGGCACCACTTCCCTCGTATCTACGGGCTTGAGGCACCCGGCAGTCTGCATTGCTAATGACACCACCACCACCTATGCGGAGTTAATGGACGGGGGGCGTTCCCTGGGTAAGACTGACAAGGCAGAAACGTTGAGGCAATTGTTTGTTGGCGTTTTCCTCAGACCACAAGGGCATCTAATCATGCTGCTCGCGATCTGTTTGAACAGACACTTCTGACCGTCTGCTTTACCATTATTTATTGGTGTCGCCAGTCGAGGCAGATTGTCCTCGCCCCCGGACCAAAATGCAGACTTTCCCACGACTCCTGTTACTGCTCCTTGAGATTGGCCTAAGGTGGAAGCCGCTGTTGGTGTGTGACAAGGCCAGGTCTCACAACCTCCAAACACTGGCCAGCGACGGCGAAGTTGGAATTTTGGAATGTCCGTGCCGCCACGAATCCCGAAGTGATGGAGTCCGATTGAGCGGACCTCTACCATGAAGAAAAGCTGCGAAAGTACCCGGAACAAAGAGTCCAAGCTCTTCATTCCCGTTCCTGTGGGCCTTACTTCATGACAGGCTGCAACAAGACTTTGACTGAACAGCTAGGATACATCATCATGGCATAGTCCAGCCAAGTTGCACAGCGAGCTGAAGTCTCCGGCTCATTCACAACAATTCCTTTGAGATACTGCGTTTTCAATTTGCTTTACTCTCGCCACGGTAGGCCGTCGTCTACGTGGAACAGCCGAGTAAATTGAATATTTATCGCTAAGATTTCTACCCTGATCAACTATGGCTCGACTAGCCTCGTCCTTTCAGCCTTGGACAAAATTTATTGCCGAGAGTCCAAATTCTTCTCGCTATAATGCGAGACTGTCTAAATCAGAGAGGACGATGCTCGGTCCTAGACTTCACACGCTTCGAGAAGAAGGTGCCAGTCGTCATGACATGCAACTTGAGGCCCAGGCTTCGACTGGTAGACCGGTTACTCTCGAGCAACTTGACGGATTGCTGAAGGAGCATGACATCAATTTCTACAAGAAGCAATATCGTAACTCGAACCTTGATACCCATAATAGCGACGCTTTGTCAAGCTCTGCAATATCACCATTGCAGGGAAACAATGCCATGACGACCCCCAGCTTCAGCTGTGCCGACGTATCTTCTACCAGAACGAGACTAGAAGTGTTGCGAAGGCCCAAAAGTCCCGAAAGCGCAATGCAAGCCCCGGTATCTCCCCAGCCGTATGCCGCGGATATATCAATGGTCGGTGCTGAGCTTTCAGATAGCGATGGCAACTTAAGACGGTCCACTTTCGACGACATGATTACATCATCGAAGCTCGTTTAACCCGCCAGCGAGAAAGCAGAACCTGAAAGGCATACCCTGTCAAATTCCAACCCTAATCAATCAACAACCCTTTTTTCTCCCATTCTAACTCCGGGTCCGCGTACGCAGACCGAGACAGAAATTGAAATCAGGTCACCAATGGCGAGCAGTGGAAATGTCTCCGTACCAGATCCCCCGGTATATCGGCCAACAAGCCCAGCTTTCGATATCTACTCAGCTACTATGGGAATGCAGCACCACAATTTGAAGGAAATTGCCAAGCTGAATCACGCTGCCACTATCCTTTTTATCCTGGGAGCATTTTCTGAAGCGTTTGACTTGTACCTCATTTATCAGTCCGACCACAACACTCATCACCCACAGATGGTTCTCAACGCGATAAATTGTGCAAGATCTGCCCAAACTCCTCTTCAAATCCAAGTTGCGTGCGAAGTACTTCGAGGTGCTCAATAAAGGCTGCGACAGTACTACGGCCCCCGACATCTGGAAGATACCAAACTTTGGAAGTACCTCGAAACCTTGCAGTGTCATTACAATACCATCAACGTCGCAGGCCTGACCAGCAGTGTATCCGAATCATACGAGGACATGGCTTATTTTGGGTCTAATGCCTTGGTCCTGAGCAGGAACAGGCTCGGCAAATGCTTTGAAATGGTAGACAATTACATGAATTTCTGTCAAGGCGACATCATGGAGCACCTTTACGAATGCGGGACTACACGCAGATCCATCCACTTTGCATTAGACAAAATTGGCTCATACATAAAGAAAAACTCCCTTGTGCTTGAGTGGCTCCTTCCTGAGTAGTGGGTGCCGTTTGGTGAAAGCGGTTTTCGCGTTGCTCAAGCATTGGCTTGCTGCGTACTTAAAGATTGTCGGACAAACAAGGGGAACTTTTCAACAAGTTTGGATCTATCTTTGGATCTACCCACGGAATATTCCCACAGAGGGTTTCCCTGCGATTTGACCGGTCTCTTCGTGGCAGTGCTTCCCTTTCTCTCGCTGCAATGCACGGAACAACCTGAACGAGGAGACCTTCACTCTGCAACGGCCCCAAGGCTATCTTCCGCCGAACAGCTTCAATGCGCAATCCAATCCATAAGACAAAAGGTCCAAGACTGCTCTTTCTACAAGAAAACGATCAGATCGATTTTGAGCCACTTCGCCTTAGCGATGAACCAGGAACGCGTCAAGTCTCCGACTATTCCTGCAAGGAGCCTCATCAACATTGTCGCGGAACTCACTGGTCTACCTGAAATCCTTCTAATTTTGTAGTGGCGGTGACGGCTGCAACTCCTCGCTGCGGTCTAGGGATACCGCAAAAAATCCCTGGAGCGCACGAGATCGCTATAGAAGAAAGTGGACGATTAACTCCTTTCTCACCGACACTAAACCAATCCTACGATTCATTGAAAAGCGCAGACTACCGCAGGTTCAAGTATATATGTTCTCAGGTGAGGCACAACATTGCAGACTCAATTTGAGCCCAGCAAAAGAGATTGGTCAGGCCATAGAAGTTCACACAGCAGCTGGGCGTTCTCTAGGGTCACCGGTTTCTTGTCGAATCCTTCACCCCGGGAAAGACGCAGTATCAATTCATCGGACGTTGCTATGAACGGATAATCATCTATCAGTCCTGCTTTGGTGCCGAATCTCGTTTTTGTCTTCTGATTCATTCTACATAAGGCAACAAAGTTTAGTTAAAATGGTAGCTGGAATTGTCTTCAAGCCAAGCCATCGCTTTCCGAGGATTTATAGGTTTCGTCATCTCACACAACAAACACACGGGCCACTCGGCATTCAAAATCTCACGAACTATCGATTTCAGCATAATGGCCCTTGCTTTCAATATGCCCGACTTGGCTATCTACATGGCTTTGTAGAGCCAGTTTTCCCTGACTTTTGGTCTCATGTTCTGCACAGGGGGGTGATATCTAAGGAGGACGTGGTACTGTTGCACTCGATGGACAATCCAGCTCTAGGAAGAAGTCCCCTGTGCTTTGTGATCCACATGAGGCGCCATAGCAGCGATGTCATCCGCCATTCTGTCGAGTTCCGCAGCTATGGCGTCCTGTCCGTCGTCATTATTGGGCAAACTATCCTGGGCGCCCGTGCCACGGCAAGGCAGGATTCCCGCGAGCATCTCGTCCCTTTTCCCTGCACTCTGGGACAGAAAGCGTGGTGAGGACGGCGGATTTGGCTGCGTGCTGGCAGCGTGTCAATGCGGTTCTACAAATGATGCCTATGATTGTCTTCACCCACCTCTGATTGGCGCTCATTTTGTTCGGCTTCTCGGCAGCACAAAGGAGTTCTTTGGTCGAGGGGACTCTTTGATGGAATCGCTGTTCGTCCCAGGAACCGGACTCTCGCAGCTCAGAAGCATGGCTCATATATACACACATATTTCAACACAAGAGGGGTCTTTTATTTGATAGGTTGCAGACCTAATGGCCATGGCACATGCTGCAGAATTTCATGATTTCTTCTTTCGTAGAGCATCGAGCCTGACGATGGTCTCCGAAGCATTCTTTCTCTCACAGCAACGTAACTTAGCATTCCCCAGTTGGGAATGGCGTGAAGTCAGACCCCAGACCAGGCCATCCAAGCCATCCAAGCACCACTCGCATGTGTCACGGAATCTTGAGTGGCGCCTTACGAAGCCTCATTCTGGGCAACACCAAGACGATTCATCACAATCCGCTCACCGCTTATCTGTTGGCCCAACCAGTGAGCGTTCTGCTCGCTGTTATTCTTTGCGGCCCTGCCAGCTGAATGGGCTAAACTTGGTGGCTCTCTAAGGGGGATTTTTCTCGTTTACGAGGTCAATCAGGAAGGTGCCGAGGTGCCGTTGCATTTTTAGGGCCTAGGGTAGGTGCTCAACTAGTTCTTTTATTTTTCTTACCTTGTAGACATCCAATTTATATTGGACATCTATCGGAGAGTACCTGTTCGGGATTTGTTGGCGAAGGAGGCAGAGTCTAGCATTAAGTAATAGTAGATACCCCTACAGTACCTGATGAACCTACTGCCATTCCTAACAACAGCATCGATTTCACCCGACATTCATTTCCTCCTGACATCTGCCGCGATATCGCTACTCTTCCCATCGGTCTTGCTGAAGCTGCCCTTTCCGGACGTCTGAGCATTCAATGTATTAAGCTACACGACCGATACTGTACACGACTTTAAATATAAGAGAGAAAGAGGGAGTTGTGCCTCTCCGCAAGGAGCGTGCTAGTAATAAGAGAGCACCACTCGGTCGTGGAATCCCCTCGCTGGTAGCCTAACCGCTGTCATGGATTGATAAACGCCAGCCGACCGTTGGTTCGTGTGCCCGGGGCTTAGCCGAATCCGAAACACTACACCGCGACAGCTTTCTAACAAACACCAACCTGAATACCCGCTCTAATCAAGTAAAGATCAAGTCGCTGCAGCGAGTAGAGGAGGATAGCACTACCATTCGAATTCTATTTCTCACATTCCATCAGAGCAGGGCGCTAACACGCCCGAAGATTGTCGCGGGTACAAGACCCTTTCTTCGAAAATGCCTTAATTCGACTGCGGCGAAGGCTGGTCTTGGGGTAAATCCCCCCCATACGGACGTCAATTCAATTTGCTGGCTGGCTTCCGACTAGTTCCCTCGATGGGCGTCTCAAGTACTCCGCATGAGTCCGGAAATTATAGAAAGACCGACTTTGACGTCGTCTCTTCCTCATTTCCCCTACTTCTGGAATTTTTGCTCCCTTCGACTGATATTTTCCCAATGGCGGGTACTCGAACCTCAACCGAACAGACGGTTCTACAGAAGTTCTATCGTGACTACTTGAACGGGAGCCATATCCTGCACTATCACAATGTTCTGGACGCCTTTGGACATCTCTCCTTCCGACACCCCTTGAATCCGAATATCTTCATCATGTCTCGCAATGCCGCACCCGCGACCATCTCGTCCCCAAATGATTTGATTGAGTATTACGTCGAGGACTCCAAGCCGGTCGACCCGAACGCGGCAGCCGGATTTTTGGAGCGTCATATCCACAGCGAGTGTTATAAGCGCTATCCGGGCGTTCGATCTGTGATTCACAGCCATTCGGAGGCCGTGGTGCCCTACACCTTCAGCGGCGTGCCCCTGCGGGCATGCTATCATATGGCCGGCTTCCTGGGTCTGGAGGTGCCTGTCTGGGACATTGAGGACGCCCAGCGACCGGGCGATATCAGTGATCTGTTGGTGCGAAATGTCCATCTCGGCAGTTCCCTGGCCAATTCGTTTGCCGGAAGTAAGCAGGACGGAAACGATCTGCCACAACACACGGTGGTGCTGATGCGAGGGCATGGCTTTACAGTGCTCGCCGGGAACATGGAAGAGTGTGTGATGAGGGCCGTCTACACGCAGAAAAACGCCATGATCCAAACAACGGCCTTGATGACCAGGGCGGCGGATCTGCAGACTGACAAGGCAAGCAAAGCGATCAAGTATCTCAGTCAGAAGGAGGTCGACGACACCACGTGGTCAATACCGCAATCTGCTCATCGGCCCTGGAAACTCTGGTTGCGAGAGGTGGAAGCCTGCAATCTGTACGTCAACTCGGCCTAAGGAGTTCGGGCATTGGATCGGCCTGAGCGACTCGAATGTGTGCAGCATTCCCTGCAGTATAACATGCTTCACAATGTTTTATCGTAGGACCACATCAATGTCAAGCATGACTAGCTCACTTATGCACACCATCTCAACGCCACGAATCGATGATGCCATCAAATTGTCCAAAGCCATAGCCAGAATGTGACCGCGTCGTGTTCCTGGGCCCCAAAACCGCTAGGTGGAAGAGTGTCAAACCGAAATGAGCGTGATTAACTCTCCGATTCTCGGATGACTACGACTGAGCTCTCCGGCGACGGAGGTGCCCTAACCTGATCGAGGGCAAGGAGTTGATCCTCTCGGATGGCGGTCCGAGCTAGTGCTCGGAATACCGGGATACACCACTTGCCTCACCATGGCCCGAACAAACGACATCCCTCTCATCCTGTGCTGTGAGAGGAGGAGCAAACAATCATTTGGGTAGAGGTTGACGTCAGTTGACCATTTCGCACGATGATCCGTATGGATGGGAAGCTTACTGGCCAATTATGGCCACAGCGGCAAACAACGACGCCCACTTTGTGAAATGTCTCTCCCCGGTTTCCGCACCAGGGCAGAGTGAGAGGACGAGATTTCAAAGGTTCGAAGTCTCTCAATCTGCTCAGTTCGAATTGAGCGTCCAGCACTTTGGTGTCGGTGAATTTTTGCCATCCTCCTGTCGCATTCACATCTTGCCGCATAGTTTTATCACTGTTGCCATCATGACCTCCCTCGACGCAAGTGGAGCACACCTGAGCCTCGCTAGCTTACGGCTAGGCGAGGTCGCCGCAAACAGACAGATTCTTTTTCTTCCGGTTCTTGCTCTGTTGATATATATACTCTACCAGCGATACGTTTCGCCGCTGTCCAAAGTTCCAGGCCCGTTTCTGGCATCTTTCACCAACTTGTGGTGGCTGTCTACCGTGTTGAAGGGAGAACAGCATCTGGATTGTCTTCGACTTCACAGAGAGTATGGTCCATTCGTGCGGATTGGTCCCAACCAGGTGTAAGCGAGAGGCAATTGACGCGCTACGATGAGATGCTGACGCTCGGACACAGTATGATCGCAGACCCAGAGGCCTTCAAGAAGATCTATGGTACCTTGTCACCCTCTCCTCAGAAATTTTCAGAAATACTAATACAATGAGGGATCAGGGGCAGGTAACAATTTCCAGAAATCCGACTTCTATAAGCCGTTTAAGGCGAAGTTGAAATGGAGCCTCACGGCCGAGACCGACGGGCATGTGCACAGCCAGAATCGCCGGATGGTCAGTAGGCCATACTCAATGGACTCGATCAGGAGCCTGGAAGGATTTGTAGAACAAGTCATTGAGCATTTCCTCGAAAAGATGAAACCCATGACCAACAGGCCGTTCGATCTGGGCGAATGGCTGGCGTTGTTTGCCATCGGTAAGTGGGGGGCCCGGTTGGGTTTGAGATGAACCGTTTCGTTGACACTCCGTTTGAATAATAGACAGTATTACGGAAATCAGCTTCGCCAAGAGCTTCAACTATTTGGACAAGGGGGACGCGGATGGCATCCTCGCACTGTCCAAGGTGGTATTCGCCAGCGCCAACTGGGTGGGCGTCGTGCCGTGGGTGTATCGCATCCACCATCTGACCTCGGGCTGGACGGGCAACTGGCTCGGGGTGACGATGCGCAGCATCAAATTCCGCGCCCTGGCGCAGAAGAAGGTCCAAGAGCACCAGCTACTGCAGGACGAGAACGAAGACCACAAGTCCATTCTCGGGTACCTGCAGGACTTGAGAAGGAAGAAACCCGACGAGTTCTCCGAGTACGCCATGACGTCCGCCCTGACCAGCAACATCTTCGCAGGCTCCGACACCACGGCTATTGCCCTGCGCGCGATGATCTACAACCTGCTCAGCCACCCTTTGTACCTGCAGCGGTTCCTGCACGAGCTGAAGGAGAGACAGATGATGGGCGAGATCAGCGACCCGATCCGCTTGCACGAGGCCGAAGCCTGGCCATTTCTCCAGGCCATCATGTACGAATCTCTACGCCTGCATCCGCCCTTTGCCGCTCCTCTGCCCCGGGTCGTCCCTCAAGGTGGCCTGGTTGCGAAAGACGTCTTCCTTCCACCCGGAGTAAGTCGAGTCGGAATCCATGAGTCGTTGGGCCTGCTACTAACCTTCCGCTCCGCACCCAGACCGTCGTGGGAACAAACGCCTGGGCGATCCACCGTCGCCCCGAGATCTTTGGCGACAATGTCGATGAATTCTGCCCAGAGAGATGGATGGACTCGGCGACAAAGAGCGAACTGCGTAAGTTTCGGGGACCTCCATCACCATTTACGGCAGACGCAGTCTCGGGCAAGAGAGAAAAGGGAATATCGTGCTGACCTAAACAGAGCGCTATTTCTTCGCCTTCGGCGGCGGAGCTCGGACGTGCCTTGGTAGAAGTAAGCATTCCTTCCCCGCTCTGTATGGAAGAGGCATGAGCTAATGATTAATGTCCTTGGACGATGAACAGATATCGTCTGGCTTGAGATGTCCAAGGTACGATGGATCATTCTTCGCGAGAATTTAGCCTCCTTTGTGGGCACTCTGCGAATGCCAATCCGCTGACGCCACGCATCTTGAATAGTTTCTACCCACGCTCTTTATGCACTTTGACCTCAAGCTGGTCGACCCGAAGGCCCCAATGCCCGTGAAGAATATGTAAGCAAAATGCCCCGCGGATAGTTCCGGGCCCTCTCGGGTCCCCCACCAGGTAACTGCATTTTCTGACTGTGCTGACATTCTTTCACTGCGTACAGTTTCCTGGCCTTCCAAGAGGGTCCCTACGTGATCATGACTGACAAGGGAGGAGAGTGAATAGTTAGGAAAGTTCTTGTGCCGCGACAGCTTCGAATCTGGCTTTATCCATAGAATAGCGAATAGTGCACCATTTTAACAAGACAGTGTCAGTGCAAGGATAGACTGGCTTTCGGGGCTAGCAACTCTCTTGAAGAAAAATACAAGTCTGGCTCATTCAACAATCATGTCACCTGAATCGACCTCTGCTTGCTTTTTTCCCGGCCTGCAACCCGTCCTGAATACTGAGCATAGTAACACTGAGCAGCTACACGAGCGTTTTTGCCTTCAACGATACCTTAGCAAGCTCCGTGGAGGCAAATTCGGCTGCCCACCCCCTCCCCTGGGGAACCGAATCTAGCAGAAAGCACGAAGTAGACATGCTAACCAAAGCGGCGTTTTAATAGCCGCCCAGGAGCGCTTTATAGTATGAGACGAGAATGGGTGGCGATATTTGTGGTATTTGCAATGCATTTGACGAGGCTGAACGTTAATCTTTGCTCCCTTCCTTGCACACACTCAGTGACAAACAATACCTGTTTCAATCCCCCGTAGTCTCTCTACGCGGTCCAGCGAAGGACGGCCGCGGAAACACGGTGTGCCCTCCATCTTCCGAGGGCTCCCAAGCTGCCATCTCAAGGGGACACTCGAATACTGAATCCAGTCTGATCTTTCTCCGACGCGTAAGTATCTGAAATAAGCTTGGCACCCCATTGCCGCCCTCGGTTCTCGACACCCCGAATTTCAGAGCGGATAGCGCCAGGCGGGATGGAAATCGCACAAATCCTCAAAATCCTTCTCCATGAGCGGGTCGATCTCGCCTCTGGCCGCGAAATCGCGTGCCCTTTGCTCGCGCTGGGTGTTGGCTCTCTTCATGATGACGTACAAAGCGGCCGTGGAGATCATTGCAAGAGCACAAAGAGAGATGCCGACACCATGGCCCTTGTAGAACCGCGGAGGCGTGGTATACACCTGGCTCGCGATGATGCTGTAGCCCTGGATGAAAATTTGACTGAACCAGATGGCCAAGGCTCGCTTGGTGAACCCGCCGTGCATGGTGTTGATCCAGGCTACGCTGACGATGACTCCCGGGTACAAGCCCGTCAGGATGATGCAAAGGCCCGCCATTAGGGCCACTTTGTTAGTAGTCGCGAGCAAGACGACGTAGCCGGCTCCCACCACGCAGAAGCACCCAAAGATTATCCAGGCCTTGTGCTTCAAGTAGTCGGACACGAAGCCCATGAAGACAAGAGACACGAAGCCGAACGCGTATGGGATGATGGAATACAGCTGAGTCTGCAAGCTGGAAAAGCCGAACTCTTTTATGAAGGTGGGCAGGAAAACGGAAAAGCCGCCGACAATGATCCCCAACCCCCCAATCATCAAAGAGCCGAGATAGAGCTTGGGATCCTTGAGACCGATCCAAACCTGGTGGAGGCGGATCTTGGAACCCTCGGTGTTTTGGCCTAGATGAAGTTAGTGTTAGCAGGATCTGGAGCACATACTATCAGGTGGCCGACTAACCTTCTCGCATACGTTGTGCAATGATTCTACGTTCACCCTCATGTGGAAAGATGAAGCTGCCTTTTGCCGCCACAGTGTCTGGCAATGCTGGCAGGATGGCAATTATCAGAAGAGCCCAGGCAATAGTTAACACCCCCTCGATGATAAAAAGCCACTGCCAAGCATGATAACCCTTTGCGCCGTCCAAATTTCTTTGCACTCCGTAGGCAAAGAGACCGCTGAAAGCTCCTGCAAGAGGACTCATGCCGTATACCGCGGCTGCAGCAAGTCTGTCAGCAAGGAAAATCGACTTCACAAGAAGACAAACATAGCTCACCAGTTCTCTTGGATAATTCATAGGGTTTGTACCACAGACTGGTGTAGAGATAGACGTTATAACCGGTTCCTTCGGCAAGACCAAGGAGGACTCTCAGGATCATGAGAGGCGCATAGCCTTTGACAGCTGCCATGCAGCATGCGACTGTGCCGAAGCACAAAATAGCACCACCTATGACAAACCGTGGAGGAAAAATGCGGAGTAGTAGGCCTGCGCCGAATTCGACGAGCATGTAGCCAAGGACTTTGGATTTTGTTCAGCGTCGACTTGGAACGGGTGCCGAAGGCGGAGACTCACAGAACATCATGAGGCAGTTGAAATACTGGCCGTTGGACAGATTGATGTCCTCTTGGAGGCCCATGATGCGAGCATTCCCGATATTGCCTCGATCCTGGTCGATCGGTAAGACGCCACAGATCAGACAAGCGTGAGCAAGGCCAAACTCACAAGATACGCAAAGAGAATGCTACCTGACAGCAAGGGCAAGATCAAGATGTCCGCCTTTCGCACAAGTGCCTTCTCCTCCTTTGACTTGGGCAAGGTTGTTCGAACATCGGTGCCTTCGACGCCCATCACTTTGCAAGCCAGGTCGACATCGACTGCTTTCTCACGGTGCTCAGACACTACCGTGCTATCTTTCTCGACATGCGCCATCACGATTAATCCCAACTATCTTGTCGTGCCCGAAATGGCAAAATTGAGTAGGAAGACAAGATCACTTCTCTGAGCTGCAGCATAAAGCTTTAGACATCTCTTTGGGCCCTTTAAGATGAAGTATTCGTTCGAGTCACCCACCCCCTGATACTCGTTTCGTAAGTCTCCACTGCGGGGATTCCCCGGACTTTCTCCTTGCCCTTAATGTACACTGGACAATGGAGGGAAGTGCTTGATCACCTTCCGAGCTTCCTCCGCGATCAAGGGGTTGGTATTAATCAAGGCATAGCGTGGGTGCTGGAGCCGCTCTCTATTCGATCTTAGCTCGGGCATTTCCATGGTAATCCGAAGTCAAGCCCGCCGAAGAATCAAATCGGGTTGCGCTGTGATAGGTCAATATTAACTCAGAACCGTCGTACCAACCGGAGCCACCTCCGATTCGTGCTTTTCTGAGTCGGGCTGGATTTGGAAGTGCTTATTCATTCTCACTCTTTGGCGTCGCGCAGTTTCGTAGCCGCCGTAAAGCTCTAGTGTGTGCCGCGCTTGACTATCGGCAAGGCAATGGTATGAATGTGCAGGGGAGTTGGAGAGACCCCGAGCGGTCTGCGGTAAGCTTGTATTGCGGCTTCCACAGAAGAGTCTATGCTGTCCTCTGGCCTTTTCCGCCATCACATCTCGAATGGCACGGTTGTGAGCCAAGACATGTCATTCGTGTCGAAAGCAGCGATAAGACCTAAAGAGTCCCCCGGGTCGAAATCGAGAAGGTTCGACTCAGGCACGTTTCTGTCAAAAAATGATGGGCTGATAGGCCGTGACGAGGCCATGTGGCGGCCATCGACTAGTCGTTCTTGGAGTCCCTCAATTACAGTAGTCGGAGCATCCCGAAATTGTTGCTGCATATTGTTCTCTGCTGGAAATTGCCGAAGCCGGGAGAATTGATGGGGCACCGTCTCAAAGAGGAGCTTCAGGGTCGTAACAAGTCGTTTGATGGAACTGCCAAAGACGCTGAAATGATCCAATCCTTCCATCACCTTCCGCCATGAATCAAGAATCGTCGATTCCGATATCTCTGCCAATATGAAGGGGCTGATACGCGCTGCCACAAGCACTGTCGCTGAGGTGTAGAGGAATAGGACATTGTACCACCACGCTGCCAGGTTTGTGGCTGCCCCTGGATCTTCCGTTCGTCTCTTATCTATCAAGTCGATAGACTCTTGGGCCACCTTCACACAGACCAAACAGCACTGAAATATCACGCGACGCGACAGAAACGTCTCTAGGCAGGGGTGTGCTTGCTTCTCGTAGTTGTCGAAGGTGATAAAGGCCGAAAGCACGGGACGCAGGGAAAGCAAACGGACGTGGAGAAATCTAGACGGGGAGCGGGTCAGTGGCAAAGGACAGCCATTTTAGGCAAGAACGCATCACCTTTGATGCAATATAACGGCTTGTCTGGAGAGGACGGTGACAGGGTGCTGATTGAGCGGATAGTTGCTGATTTCCAAATAACGAGGAAGTTCCTTCTTCCACCTGGACAATTTTCGGTCAATTTCGAGAACGTCAAGTTCGCCCCGAGGACGGTGGTAGCCTTCGAAGTAATGATGATAGACATCGTCGAGCGAGTGGACATGCGGAGCTTGTGGCGAGTAAAAATTGACCAGGACGTCGTGCAGGATGCCGTACAGTAGCATCGACTGGTTAAAGAAGTCGCCTAAAGCCGGCTGTTCCGCCGGACTAGTGGATCCCAGCATTGCGGGATCTGGGGACATCTCTTCGCCTTCAACGGCAAGAGAAAGCGGAACGGAGAGTGCGACTCGGCGATCGATCATACAAGGGCGACCGTACGCCATGGCCAACACTCTGTCCATCAGCACGCAGCCATGCCACACTCTGCGCAAGAGTGACCTCATACGGGAGTTTGAAGGTCGTTCGTTAGTCTCTGGCATGTGTAGCTCCAGACTTTGCGCTGTTCGAATTGCGAGGGCGACAAAGACCCAACATTGGTGCGCCTCGTGGGTACTTTGGAGGTAGAGTCCGAACAAGAGATATATCTGCACATAGCGAACAGACGCAGTGTTCTCTAGATCCAGGAGATGCTTGGCTCGGGTATGAAACACCGCTGCCGATGCTGCCCGCTCGGAGGGCATGATGGACGGTGAAAGTTGGCTCGCGAGGGCGAAGATGAGGTTAAGCAGACAGAGGAAAGATCGTTCATGAGGTATTAAGCCATTGCCTTTCCAGAGATTCTCGTAGTCGGCAGTCGTCATCCTTCTACCCAGGAACGGGTACAGCGAATGGACAAATTGCCAGTACACGGCAAACAAACTGTCAGCCCTCTTTCGTCCAGGAAGGTCACTATCCTCGCCTGCCTTATCACATGGCACATTCGGAACCATGAGCGGATTGTTGTCCTGATCGCGAACGGTGCCCGATGGATAAACTGTCGAGGGCGACGCTGTCTTCTGTTCAACCACCTTGCGGACATGTTGAATAAAGGAGCCTGCGCTCGAGCTGCCGTACGGTTCCTGTCTGCGTAGCTCGTTGGTCTCTACTCCGATCATTGCAGGCATCACAGCAGTCTCTCTATGGGACGGCACAGGCTGCTGTGAGCGTGGCGTTACCGTCCGGGTGACTCCCTCAATGGGAGGCGACTGCACACTTCCTGTCCATGGGTTTTCGCCCTGTGTAGATGTCTGTTTCTCAGAAGATGATAAAAATGTGGACACAACGGCCGGCGCTGGTTGGATCACATCCGCTCGCATCTCGCTCTGTCGAAGCATATTTTGCTGTTCCAGTTCACGAATTCGGTCCTCGAGGCGACGAACATATTGCAACGGAGCATGCTGGTTGACACGAGTAGAGCCCGGGTCCCAAGTACAATCAGCCAACGCGCCATATTTCTTGCGACACGCATTGCACACTATGCAGCATGGTCAGCCTCGCAGGCTCCGTCGCGGTGCCGATTCATAGTCTACAGGGGGGGTAGCCCTCGCGACTTTCGTTCGCTTCGAGCTTGAGACGACCTGGCTTCGATCTTGCTTACCTGGTCGACTTCCATCGCACTTGACCTGCAGAGCCAGCCCATGTTGTCAGTAGCAGGTCGATACGGCCACCCTCGGATGACTATCCGAAGAAATTGCAGGGCGCGCTGACCTTACGACTCCGGCAGGGCTCACAAGCAGTCACGATCTTTTGCCGCTTGCGTGTCGGTTTTTCGGCCGAATCCTCCTGCAACCCTCGATCTGGATCTGGATCCATCTCCCAACTTTCGATTTAGAAGTGCATCACTTCCGCTCAGGTTGTGGCAATATCCTACATTGTCCGTTGAAAGAAGGGAGTATGGAAACATTGGCGAGGGGTTGGTAAGGGGAGTGACAAGTCCCGGCGAGAAGGTGAGAGGTGAGGAGGAGGGAAGGTTCTCCGAGAGAGGAGCTCCGAATCTCCGCCGCGCGTGCTTGTGTTGCTTGTGCTACACCATCATGAACTACCAACATCGTCGTTTTCACTCTGACATTTCTAGCATGAACCGTGGCGGATCACATTTCCGATGCGGAGATAACACAAAGCTGTAAGAAAGCTATGCGAGACCGCCTTCTTAGCGATCGCTCTTGTGACAACAAGATTCTTAAGCTGGATGAGAAGCTGATGGTAAAAGTTCAGGTACATGCTGAGTGAGGACGAGGCCCGCATTCAGGCAAAAGCGTATGAGATCCTCGATCCTAGCATCGTCTGTGGATCCTGAGTGTGTCGGTATTTTATGGACAGCGACAGCCTTGGCTTCATTGCAACGGACTACATGAAAGGCGAAAGAAAGAAGGCTCTCACCGAAAGCCACCAGATACGCGATATGACCCGAATCCTAGAGCACCTCGCCTCCATTAAATCCGAGAGACCTGCCCGCTTGTCGGTGGAACTTCCCACTGTTTCCTCTTGGGTAATTCGAACCATTCTGTTAAAACTGCCTCGTCTAACCGTCTAACCGTGCCATGTATTTTTCAATTGCGGTCGCTAAGTGCAGCATAAGGAGGTCTCCGTGATTCCTCCCAATTCGCTACCTCCATCCTCCCTTTGACTGGTTCGTCCGGTCTTCCTCCTGGGTGTTTCATACTGGTCTGGTCAGCGCCGCCTGCATGGCTCGTAACACTGGCTTTCACCACCACATCAAGCTCACAGCCCCAGTGACGATTACCATTTTTATCGGTAAAGGATCCCATGCCAATGAGGGTCTCAGTTCCTTTGCTCGATCTCTTTGGCCTTTTGGCATCATCTACTTTTGCGTCCTCGATTTTGTGGTCACCGTTGGCGGTGTTGAGCGTGTCCATATCCTCCGGCTGCTTCGCCCACTTTTGTAGCTTTGCGCTTGCGTAGACAAATCCAAGCACGCTGGCAGGGGTGTCGATGTCTCTTGGCAGCAGTTTAAAGCGACCACGCTGCAGGTAGACGATCACAGTAGACATCAACAGGTATACAAGGATACCTACACTAAGAAAGACCGCCAATGGGGAGATGATGAGGATTTCCTTGCGCACAGAGAGTTTGGCTGGTATCATTTGCAAAGCTCGGGTTACTCCAGGGTCTGCTGAACTCGTCGTTCGTGTTGTAGCGTCGAGACCTGGTATTGCAGACGAACCAGAAGCTATTGCTGAAAGTGGTGAGGTCGAGACGGCGAAGTCTTTGCTAGCCGACGCTGGGCTGCTAGGATACGTCGTCTGGACGAACGTGAGAGTCTCCGTTGTCGTAGTGGTTCCGACATAGCTAAGCATAGTGTACGGTCTGATCCCGCTAGATGTTACTACCGTACCATTATATCGAGTTTCGAAAGTGGTTGATACCATCGGGGTCAAAGTAATGTAATTGTCCAATGTGTATGTAGTAGTCGCCGTTAGGGTTGTAGTTACAAGTGGTGCAAAATCCAAATCCGAGGGTAGGCGCGTTCCAATTCGTTGATACGCCCAGTATCCATCGTATGCATTTACCAAAGAAGCAAAGGATTGGAAAAAGGTGGAGAAGACCTTCTGTGAGATGTTCGAAAGCATATTGTGATCTATTAATGCTGTCCTGTTGTACTTGACAAGAGCCAGAGACGCATAGCTGTAAAAGTCCGAGTACAGGTCCTCTTCCTGGAAGCTGAACGAGCTTGTATAATTGATGTATGTCTTCAGGTTGCTGGTTGTTGGAACTTCTACATTGGAAGCTTCCAGGAGTGCTAACTGGAAAAGATAGCCCCAACTTACCTAGTTAATATCATTGATTACGAAGGGAAAGTCGCATTGAGGGGGGCGTACCTGACTGTATTGTTGAAATTCGGAACATCCCAGTGCCTGTATTCTGTTTCATTCGCCCAGTGCGTTTCAAACGCGCTGTTCCATGCCACTGATGCATTCTGGGGTGTATTCAAGATCTCGCAATCTTCAACCCTGCCGTCACTGACTGCTACCGTAATTCTAGCAGTTGCCGTTTCAAATATGGGCAAGCAATTTACTGCAGTCACTTGGGGCCGGTCGGCAAAAATAATCCGAGGCACTCTCTCCCACACATACCCCGGATTTGGTATACCACCGCTGTTGTCCCAGTATAAGCGCGGAGTACTGGCGTTGATCCAAAGTACTGTAAAGTTCCTAGGCGCCTGACAATTATAGGTTGTGCGTGCGCTGTGGTTGAATCCGTAGGGTAACCATTGCCCAATGGATATGGAGGTAGGGCCTGGCTCTTTGCTTTGACTTTTGAACAGGTTGATCCGAATCAAATCAGAGAGCTCATATCCAGTATTTATATCTTTTGGATTTGATCCAAGGTCCCACACCACTGGGTCAGTGAGATTCCAGGTGTTGACCCACTTTCCAGAGTCGGAGATCGGACTGCATTCAATTCTCCCAGACACCGCCTGGCTATTGAATGCTACCTTGAGCTCTGAATGATCATCTTTAAGCGCAGGATTGCTGTCTACGCTGTGATTTGAACCATCGTTCTGAAGGAAATTTCTGAGATCTAGAGGCGGGAAGCTCCAGCCATCCTTGCTCCAAGTGGGCGGCGAGCTGTTATATGCAGACTGGGCGAGGGCATCAAAAATCCAGGATGTGTGGTATCCATTCCCTCCATAGAGATATGCAGAGATCCCTGGCCAAGACTGGTCAAAGCCTACGTTTGAGAATTCAGTATATCCGTGGAAAATGTGCGGTACAGTGCGCAGCTCGTATTGGGGCTGAAGCATGATATCTTGAGTCACGAACCCGAGGTCGCGAGACCAAACAGCGGACATCGCAACTTGCAACGCTTCGGTGAAAAAGGCACCTAATGTGACTAAAGCCAGCAACCAGTGCATCTTGCTTATCGCAACAGTGGTGATCCATAAAATCGGAGTGGTGGCATACGACAAAGTTGCGCCGTCTGACGGTCGCCGCAATTTTTGAGCCATTGCGAGGAATGGTGTAAGCCTTCGAAAAGAGCCGTCAATCGCAGTCCACCACAGCCTGACTGTTACGGCGATGAGGGTAGGAACAACTTTGTAGGGTGCCAAAGCACCCAGCCTGTAGCTGCCGATCTTTATTTTGTTCTGGAAAGTGAACAGCCGCTGATATACGCCAGGGCCCTTGGATAGCACGTACATGGCGATTAGGCCAGCAGTTATGCCCGCCAAAAATATCCCCAGGATGATTCCGGTCCAGGCACGCAGAACCAGAGGACGCCAGTCATCATTGTCAGCCTGGGTATCCGGAGGTTTTGAAGTTGGCGGATTGTCGTCCATTGGAACCAGCGTGCCATCCTTCACGCAGAATTGGTGGTTGTTAATAATAGCTTCGATCTGCCGGATGCTTGCTCTGTCTAAGTTTGCAAAACTTGCAGTTGCAGCTGATCCTTGCATTATCAAGGCGGCTCCAGTTGCGCTGCTGGGGTCTTTTTGAAGCTGCAGTGGCCTTCTGTTGCGTCTTGTTAAGATTAGAATTGCTATAGCCGCAACTATCAGAGCCAGTAGCGTGATGCAGGTTGCAACCCCAAATTCTAGGCTGACAACCAGGCGCGGGATTTGTGATATGACAAGGCTCGGCGAAGTTCTGGTGCTTCCATTTTGTTGCAAGTCGGATATTGTGACCATTAAAGCCTCTCCAAAGAATCGCTGCTTGATTGTCTGAGCACGCTTAAGGAGTGCTGGCTCTGCCATCATGGCCGAAACGTTAAGTTCAAATTGAGCCCCTAGAGCTAAGATAGTCCCGTTGAACTGCGCCTCAAGAGTATATGATTCGGCTTGGTTGGCATACTTCAGATTATTTGTACCGACATTGTTCATGAATGAACTTTCGAATGAACTTATATCCAGGAGATCGGAAGCTAACTTCTGTTGAGAACGATCGAAAGCCATGGCATCAGTGGTCACTACTGTCTCAGAATTCGATGTGGATACGTTGACCAGGGCCCGGGTCGTCAAATATTTTGAGTTGCAAATGTAGCCGAGAAAGCTGCCGTTCCACAGAGGGCTTTGAATGCCGAAGAGGGTGGCATTTGGAGAGAACAGGATGATGTAATCTCGATTTCCGCAGTTTGACGAACCCTACAAAGGTCATTTCAATCGCTCTAATAGCAACAATTTCATTTGCCTACTCACGTTGAATTGGTTCCAGACTCCATAGCCCGAAGACGTCGAGCCCAACCTCATGTAAGGATAGGTACACCCGTCATCTGATTTGAAAGTGGTGACAGTAGCTGAAGTATAGCCTGGAGTGGTCGTATTTTGAAAGACCTGAGTAACGGGGAAAAACTCCTTGCACTCGAAGTCCACTTTGAATACGTCAGTGAGCCCAGTCCAAACTTGAGGGAGAGTAACTGAAGAGAAATGAGCTTCGTTAGGCATCGTACTCCAGTTCGCTGGCCAAAACGGTGCTACTGCATAGTCCTCCCTAATCCAGGCAGATGTAGACACATTGAAGACAGCACCAGCAATGGCCTTAAAATAAATGATGTCGTCAATGAATGCGCGGCGTTCTGGTGATGATGGCCAAGCCACAGAAGAGAACAGGACTCGTTCCCTATTGGAAATCGTCCGAACATCGAAAAGACCCGCGGCTAGAGGATTAAGAATGAGAGATCCGAGTACACTAGCCAAGGTTGCAACGATGACAGCCCAACGGATACCGCCAGTCTTTTTTGGGTTGCGGACTGCTCGGTAGAGCGTCGTCCACCAGAAATCATCCCCCTTGAGCAGCGAAGAAGACGCCGTTGACCCCCCTGGAAGAGATAGAATTGCCCAGGGCTCCGTACGAACCACATCCTTCATAACTGGGAGCCACAGTAGCATATAGAGAACGGTGATGAGGGTGGGAAGAAATTGCCAGTAGAAATCGAATCCGCGGCTGATACTTTTGGTTGCAAGTCCGTTGTGGCTTCGAGAATAAGCGACTAGAACTGTACAAGCACTCTCAAGTGTGATTGACACAAGGATTAGCATCAAAAGATACCCATACCGCAGCGAAGATGGAACCCAGACAGGAGCTGGCTTTTTTCCGGAAGGATGGGGAATGGTTTTGGCATCGTGCTCTATATGTAATTAGTCCTGGAAAATGGCGTGGGGAATTTTATTAATCAACCCTGAGTTTTGCTATCCGGTGGTTGCGAAGATCGAGCAACTTTAAGCTGTTGTGTTTGCTCTTGGTTTAGAGGTGATATGTCCTCTGTGTTTTCCATTGCTGTAGCCACTGATTGCGTATTCACATCTCCTCCAGTGCCGCCGCCTTCCTCCAGATTCCCAGAAGAGATTGTCACATGACGGGACTCGGTGACGTCTACAGGTACTTGAGATGCCTCCATTTAAATCGAAGCCTGCGTGGCAAGCGTAGTCAATGAATGCGTAGGCTCTCTCGTAACCTTGCACAATCTGAAGTCGACTCGATACGAGATAGATGACGGAAGGGCTACTCGTTAGGGAGCTGACGGGTATCTATAATCGATCTCTGAAGCTTTTGATGTATTCCTAGATAGTTATGTCTTATAGTGTAACAGAGCACTTCAGGGTTTAGCGTGCACGTGCAACAACGCACAGAGGCCTGTCCAGCAGATCGGGAATCGAGAACGCGTTTCTGGTTGATACTGACAACAACACCACCAACACCACCCAGAGAGGCAGCGGCTAGGGCTACGAATACCTAGCACAGCGGCAGCATCGAGGAATAGGACAGGACTGATAAAACACTCTTAGAATTTAGGTAGACGGCACTAAAAGCCATGGAATTCATAATACTCTGTTCAATCTATAAAAAATGAATGGCACACTGCCAGCACTGTAAACTGTTCCGTATCTCCTCTCTGCCAGTCTATTTAGGTTTAATATGTGACTAGATAACTTTTTCACCTTATCACCGCTCTATTAGCTTAGTATAGCTCATTATAGTATAGCCACCTTATCTTATTACATCCCTCCCTCTCCTATCCATAGGACGACCTCGTTCGACAGTATATAGTATACTCAAGAATTATCTAACTCTATTATTACCTAGGAAGCGGGTTCATAGCACTATGAGAAGAAGCTCGCAACGGGAGTAGATTCTCCTCTCTTATTAGGTCTAGAACACGAACTAAAATATCACTAATAGATATAATAGATCTACTCGGTCTATATAAGGACACCGAAGACGCTCTTAATATTCCGCTTTAATAATTACTCTATCTTAGAATCGAGTCTATTTCCATACCAATGTTGCTCGGTGGCTCTAGGGTTCGCTTTTAGAATTCTTCCTTAACTAACTAAGTAACGCGAGAGAAGAGAGAGTTCACTCTTAGCGTTGAGATTCTATTCTAAGAGTTATTACTATTATATTCTAAATCTATTCTCTCTTCGCTATATAGGTCGATATAAGCCTATAATATTTAGTTCGTATTCTCTTAGTTAATGAGATTAATAACACTTTTATCTAGAGTAGTTATTATAATAGACTTTAATGGCTACCACTCATTGATTTCTACGCGAGATAACTATAATAATAGTATCTTTTTATCTCTAATAATAGCTTAATAAATATTCTAAATAAGTTAAACTCGATGAGAAGTATCGATTTTAACTTCTTTAATAGCTTTAATATCGTTTTCCATAAGAGCTTTAGCCTAAAAGATGATAAATATTCCGTAATTATAGTTATTTAGTTATTTATTAATATTAACATTCTAAAATATAAACTATTTACCGTCTTCGAGCTTTACTCGAACTTAAGAGTTGAGATACTCTAAAATAATCGAAATTATTAAGTCTTTTACCGTGCGCTTCCCAATCGAATCCATAGCGTAAACGATTCGAGAATCGAGATCGACGTATACTAACCACCAATGGTTAATCTCTCGATAGAGAATTAGCTTCTTCTATATAAACTTATCTTATCGCTACGATCGCGGCTAGATTATAAACGTAAATATTTCTCGAACGTTATATGAGTAGATTATATTTCATTCGTCTTCTACTTAGTGCTTTCGGTAGACCGCGATGTCTCTAATAACGTAATTCATAGATAACTAATCGTTATAATCCGCACTAAGTAAAAGATATTCTAATTCTTTCTTATTAATTATATATTCTCTCGAGTAGTAATTCCCGCCGCGAAGAGATTTCTTTACTCCGCGATTATACTTTTTAAATTTCTTTAAAGCGTCTTAAATTCGCTAAATTTCTAACGTATCTTTTTTAGTCTTCACTCTTTCTATAATTCGAATTACTTCGAGGGCAGCGTAATATTAAAGAGATTATCTCGAACTAATATTAGTCGGTAATACTTCGATTAATCTTTAGAATGCTCGTGTAATAGCTTTAAATTCGTACTAAACTACTTTATCTACTTATCGTTTCGTTAAAGTACCTTTATCGATATTATATTTAACTCTCTTAAACCAGTCTATAATAATCTTCTATACTAGTCTTTCTATATTAGAAGGATTTCTTAATAGATTTTATTTATATAGTCTCGTATTAAAGGGCGAAGGTAACTCTTAAAACTCTTCACGGAGATATTTACTATTAGTAATGGTTTCTTTAGCTTCCGTAAACGCTTATTCGATGAACGAGAAGTGTATTCGCTTAGGAGCTCTCACTTCTATCTCTAAAGATGTTCTTAGAACTAACGATATTAATCGCGGTCTCTTTCTAGGCTAAATCACTATTTTAATGTATTCGTTTCGAATTTCTAATTACTTTTTAGCCGCTTCCTTAATTACGACTTCTCTTTCTTTAATTTTAGTGAGCTTTTCTATTATAGACTTATTCTTAAAGTAATTTAGAATATTTCGCTTCTAATATCTCTACTCTTCTTTCGGTTATTTCTTAAGTACGGTCGACAAAGGCGGAGATTTTATCGCTTATTCTTAGAAGTTCTTTAATTAATTTCCGATCTTACCTTTCGCTAATATCTTACTAGATCTCTTCTCTATAGATTTCTTAGTAGGCGATTTTATAGTTAGTTTCTTTTTCATAATGAGATTTTATTTAATCTAACTAATTTAGCTAATCGGTACCCCTAGGAGACCCTCGGTGAGAATTAAATTATATATATTTAGTGACTCTATATTATTTAGCTAGTGTAACTTATTCTTTAATTAAAGATAATATTCTAAATACGTAGCTATAACTTATAGATATCTATAATCATTTATAGCGTTTCTAAAATCGTCTAAGTTCGACCATACCGTAAAGATATCGATTCGTTACGGTGCTGGCTAAGAAAACTTTGTACCCGTGAGACCGGCTAGCCGTTTCATTATTTAATGATTAATTCGACGCAATACATTTATAGATGTCTCGTCCCGTAGCTTAGGCGTTATTCTTATATATTAAAGCTCCTTTAGTGTATACACTATATTATCTAACCACTATATTACGATACCTTTCTAAAATTCTTCGGTTATTCATTATCTAAACTTCCGACTAACCGTATCTCTACCGCTCGCATTCTTTAGAAATAGAGCTATATTCTAACTTCTAGTATAATTAACACCTTTAATGAATCTTCTCTTAATTTCGTTGTACTTATTTCGGTTGTTAATCGCTTCTTTAATTAATACTTAAAATCTTTTAGTCTTCTTATTCTTAACTACTTTATTTTTAAATACTATCTTTAATTCTGGATCGCCTTTAATATAATTAACGATTTCTAGTACGAACTTTTCACTTAACTATTATATTCTTTTAACTATTTAGATGGCTTATCTAACTTATTCGATTACGTCGATTCTTTCTTTACGATATAATACTAGTATTTTCCGTAGTGGTTTTTAAATCGAGAAATAACGAGGATACGATATCTAAATATTTAATACTATAGCCGTACTAAGAGCAATATCTCTAAAACTATAAATGAGTTACGTTTCGACCATTATATTAGATCTTTATAAGAGAGCTTAGATTATTCACGGGCTAATATTAATAGTGCCTTATCTCTGAATCGCCACTTACTGCTGCTAATTTGAGAGCGTTGGTGTGAACGAATCTAATAACGAAGTAATATATTAAGGCGTTTACGAAACTTACTATTACGGTGTTATTAGTGTAGAATTAAGCGTAAGCCCTTATACGCGACGAGATCTTCGCGGAGTATCTTAATTACTTATATTACTTAAAACTATTTATAAATAATTAAAGCTTAGTTTTCTTAATGAAAAATACACTAAATAAAGCTATAAAAATAGTGTAGCGTTATTTTTCGAGGTTAATGAAGATATCCTTTAAATATTCGTTAGGAACGAAGAGAATTAAGTAATTACTTAACGGAATAAAGTAAAGACGAGAGAGAAGAGATAGTAGAAATAGTCGAGAGCTAACTTAGTCGCCTATTAACCCCATTACTCGTTAAGTAGCGAACTCCGTTATATACTAACGTCACTACTATATATTTACGTCGGTTTTAGTTTCTTCTTATTTATTCTTTCACTTATAAAATGCTGTCTACGAACTAAGTGAGGAATACTTCGATGGTCGCGGTGGCGGCGTCTTAGTATTTATTCGCTCGACTCTTTACTCGCCTTTAGTGTCATTTATAGTCTAGGTAGTACTTTCTTCTCTTTAATTAATTAATTAGCTCGCTTATTCATAGTTCCCGTAAATAAATCACTCTATATCGCTGCTATTACTATATTCTATTATTGTATTTATTTATACTGTGGATCTCGATTTACGCGCCGTAATATCTATACTTCGCCGTAACGCACGGACCGTAAGGCTACCACTAAGTATCTTTTTAAGTTTACGCTAGCCCATTAGCCTCTTAGCGAAACTATTTTTAGATTTAATATATAACTAAATAA